GGAACGTCCAGCAAGCTTATTCCTACACCAATACCCTCATGATGACAACGGAAAACAGCGACAGGACGTCGGTATTCGATGTAGAGACAAGAAAGCTACCGCGCGAGGCTCGTCCACACCCGAGTTCAAGACTTCAGCCAGGCACCAGCCCCAAGAGACACATTCCATCCGGGATCATCTCGCATCTGATAGAGCAAGCTGCCAGCGTGGTCGATCAGCATTCATTCGACACATGAAGGTTCTTGATATAGTCGTTCCTGGCTTTCCCACCACCGTCCAGGACTTTGCTTTTAGTCAACCGAAGCGTTGCCGGTACATGCTGTTCTCTATATCTGTTGATGTACAGATCATCCAGATTCCAACTGAGCATCTCAGATCGGAGTTTTTCTTTCTGCTAAAAGCTCAGAGACCTCTTGACGAACCTCCTGGACTGGCTCGTTGTTTCGCATCCTTCGACGAGGCATGTATGCATCTGCCTCAGCGCAAGTAGGAATCCAGACCAAAGGAGCTATCAATAGTCCACGAACAAATACACAAGGGACGAGGACGGAGAGTAGGGACCGGTGCGTGGCGAGAAATGACATAGATCTAGGCTGACAAGCACTACTCACTGCACCAGCGGACGCCTCGACGACCCAGTTTCGCATGCGAAGACACGAACACGGCTCCTTACCGTAGCCGAGCCATCTCGAGTCTCAATCATCACGTCTTTATATGGTGCGAATGCCCTCACGACGTGCCGGACGAACAGTTCACTGAATATCGAGCCTGAATGCTCAGCCCAAACGAAGGTCTAAGCTGAGAGCCCAGTGATTGACGGCTCCATCACGGCAGAACCTCCGGCTCGAAGATGCTTATCCGCGGCCATGTGCTTACCTGCCGGATCCCCGCTGAAGGACTTCATATTCAGGACCCTGGAAGTGGAGGAAGAACACGCGCACGGCCTCTCCTCTCAAGGATGGATCGTCGAGAGGCTCGTCTAGAGCGGTTTGCATCTCCACCACTCAGATTGCTAAGTTAGACACCCGGGTCGGGGCCGGTGCGATTCATATTCTCAGATACGCCGATATTCTCGGTCGAAGCCACAGTAAGCGAGGCAGTCGATGATGGAACAACGAGGCATTCCCTGGACAAGATTTGGGAATAGCTTCGGCCCACAACACGGAGAGGATTCGGCGGTTGCACGGGCCCGTTCGTGAAGACATCGGAGAAGTTCCGTCTTCGGATATCAGAGCGCAACTGTCGTCTGATGGTTCCGTGCCGGGCCGAAGGGGCCAGTGCGAAGAGTCGAAGACGTCCCGACGCATTTGTCAACTCGGCAAGAGTCTTCTCAACTCCGGCATGGATACCCTCTCTCCTCGGCCTTGCTGAAGCTTTGGCCCGCCCACCGTTCCGATCGGTCCACTGCCCGCCGCCGCGGTCACCATGGCCGCCCAAACCGAGTCAGCATTCTTTCGAAAGTTGGAAATGATGCATGCATAGGGAATTTGACGTCTTTGGTTTGGGGGATGTGCAAACCGTGGTACGCAAGCTACCGTATATGCCAGGATTCGCAAATGGATGATGCCTGACCAAGCACTCAATCAGCTCAACGGAACCTCGTTCGGCGCCAACGCTCTGACATCTCGGGCAGAGTGGAGCGCGGTGCAACGTTGTTGTCATTGCACTGTGCAAAAATTCGAACATTGAGATGGCTAGAACGTCCAAATTGGGTACGAGCCCGCAGACGGGGAATGTCGCGATAAACCCATGGCTGTTCGTTGTGTTCGGAGATTCCCGCGGAGGCAAGATGAGGAAACAAAAGACAGAATGTTTCTCTGCAAGTCGGCATTGGGAAATTTTTGTTTCCATCAAATGTTTCAACTCCCTGGGCTGAGGATCCGAGGAGCGGGGACGAACTCATCCGCCGCGTGGTGGGCTGCATGAAACGGTCCATCGGGGCAGAGGCGATAAGGCATGAGATACGGAGTACGGATACGGCGCGCCGGGTGGGATGGCTCGATTCCAATTGCTGGTTTTTTTGACGTCGCGACCGTTGTCTCGGATTAGAGCAGAGAGACGCAGCTGCAGGTAATGCGCCATGGCGGACTGACTCTCGGATGGAAACAGACGACGGGCAGAAAAAGCAAGGTGAAAAGGGGTGGCCTTGTATCGCTCGGCGGGAGGTATCGAGCAACGTCGAAGAGGGAGTGCGAGGTCGACTTGTCAAGGGACGGCGTCCAAGGATCAAGGGTCGCGGGTCGTGCTCTGTGGGGATCGTTGCTAGTGGCCTGCACGCGAGGAGATTCGAAATGGGGCAGCTGTCCGAGTTGGGAATTCAATTGTTTCTCGCTTGACCCTGGCTGGAAACGCGAGAATTTAGCCAAGATGAAATTGACTTGGGTTCGGTGTGGTTGACTCGTTGACTCGTAGCGAAGATGATAATCGAAAGCGTTGTGTAACGGCGCAATTGGAGAGTTGCTGCGGAGGCGGAAAGGCAGGAATCAGAAGCAGCGCTCTCTCAACCTTGGGCGGCCTCGCGGAATGGGATTCAGAAAACCGGTTCGGCAGCGGAGGTGAACGTTTGACGCTTGTTAGAGACGCGGCGCGTTCGCAATGCGGCGTCTCCTTGTCTTTCTCGACGACCCTGTCCGCGGCAATAGCCCTGCCATTGATGAAACGGGAATTGCTGGTAGCAGGGCTCAGCGCAACGGTTCGCGACGGCGCAGGTTGGGGAGGATCCTCTCGAGAGTGTCATGCCAAATTCCGACAGTGCAATGTCTCTGTCGGGAAGGTCTGCAGCTTTGGTAGACGACGCCGGCCGACAACCGGATTACCGGAGCAGGGTTGATTGGTGAGAAGTGAGAAGTGCGATCTGCTAGCTCAGGAACGGTTCCAAATGAAGGTGGTGAGCGGTGCGGCTGTGCCAATGGCTAGACGGAGCTTGAGGAAAATGTCTCTGATGGAGAGAACTAGCAAGACAGTCATGATGAAATTGCTTTGTCGACGGGTGCCGAGGAACGGGCATGAATAAGATAATCCGATATTGTCGAGGCGCGTGTCCTATCAGGAGCAGTGGAAGGCGAGAGGCCCCAGAGGCAGATTCCAAGCAAAGGTGTTGTTCGGCGCCAAGTTGTCGCTATTTCTGGTTGTGAGAGATGAGAGGCGAGAGGGTGTCTTGTAAATTGTGCTAGTGCAGGTTCACGGACAATTTCCTGCATGCCCGCGTTTCGGTGCATCTTGGTTGTGGTTTCTCTGCATGTCAGCGGTTTGCGTGGCTCTGGGAATTTGGTGCTGACTGCCGCGGCATAATTAGGGATGTTTTGTATCTGTACCTTGGTCGTCATCACTCTGAAGAAGGTGCCGTCCAGCATCCGCCAAGGCGACAGGCTCTGTGACTCGAGATCCAGCGCTGATCCTGCTCTGTGTTTGACGTTTTGGCTGTAGGAATCAGGATGAGCAGCAGTGGTGGAAAATAGCAGCGTTTGGGAAGTCGATAATGCGAACCTTGTTGCTACAACTTGTCAGGGTTCATATGCAGGTTTATGTAAGCAGTTTAATGCAACCGAAGGAAAGGAAAGCGTCAATGTCAAGTCAAGTCAATGTCACTTTCCGTCCTGGTCCCCAGATTGAGTGGCTTGACAGGCGCAACCGTGCTCTTTTTGCTTTTTTTCCTACCTCCTGCCCGTGCCCTTTTCCACCCGGAGTACCTCCCGCCCTCTCATTGTTGAGATTCATTTCTCAGACATTCTTCACAAAAGATAAGACGGATGATGCCTTATCGCGAGTCCAGATTTGCGCCTCAGTCTCGGTATGAAGCATCTGTAAACGTCCATCCTCTCGGTAACGGAAAGCCCAGTCGAGACAGCTTAGACGACTCATTTCTGGGAAACCACTCCATGTCGGACAAGACCAACAAGTGCACTTTCTTCTGCTCTAGAAAAACAATTACAAGGCACACCCCTGGCCTTCGCTACACACAGGTCACCCAGCATGTCCCACTGTCGGGGAACCACCTGGCTTTGACAAACACACAAGGCGTTGGACCCCTGCGGTGCATCCTGAGTCCAATCCAGGTCCCCCAATCCAATTGGATCCTGGTCCCATCCCCATCCCGTCCCATCCACCTCCCGTCCGTTATCCCAATCCTCATCCAGCAATGCGCACCGGCACCACCACCGACAAGCACCACTACCACCACTACCACTCCCACCACCACCGTCAAGCGCACCACGAAGCAGAAGCTCGTTTCCCTGCCTTAACACCTGGGCTATTCATTGCCAGTCAAAAACCCCGTTAGCTCTGCTTCGCGCGTGGCCTTCATCTTCTCCACAGCCCCCAAGTTTGTCCGTCGCCCTTGGTCCTCTTTTTCTCGTCGTCCTCCCTCTGCTCGCCTCTGCTGCCGTTACACGTTTCAACCACTTTGAGACGTGGGAGAACCAACATTCACCAAACACGCACACGAAGCCGTATTCTATGGCCACGTACGAACACTCGAGTCGAAATCAACACCATTGTCAGTCGATACGACCGCCCCGAGAGGCCTAGCAAAAATCTCCGTTCGGCGGCCTAACACTGCCCGAACCTGTAGCGGTACCCTGCATCTATATACGAGTACCGGGTACAGAACACGCACACTCTGCGTCTGCGTCCACTCGCTATTCTGCTGCCCATTCACCTTGCGCGCCACCACCCAAGAGAACCCAATTTCGATCTTTTCGACCCCCGTATCCATTCTTTTCGAGTTCCACCGCCTCTCAAGCTCCATCCTCTGGCATCTCCAGCCTCCCACTGCTGTCATTCCCACCCACTGGGGACCCAGTACGAATCACCTGGGCTTGTTCTATCCAACGACACAGACACACGCCACGGGGCGAACCGCACTGCCTTGTCACGCGTTTACCTGGCTGGCCGTTGGCGAATCCTGCAAACTTCGCCCTTCTGCCAGACCCATTGGGAGCCAACCTTCCTTTTTACATATCCTCAATTGATGACAAAACTTGTTCATCACGCACTTCACAATGCCCTCCACCACCGGCACAACTAAGCGATTCGAGCTTCCCAAGCTCGATTTCAAGTTCGGCTCCCTGACCGACGGAACCGACATTCCCCCGCCGCTTCCCAGCCCCGTCCAGGAGGTCCCCACGCCTCCCCAGACCCCGCGTGCGAGCGAAACCAAGGACTCCGAACCCGCCGTCCAGGGAAAGCACAATGACAAGACGAACGGTCATGGTCCGGCGGTGCCCAACTCGCCGGCCACAACGAATGGTACGAGAGGATTCTCAGATGACACGCCACTTTCTCCAGCAGTCTCGAGCAGACAGGGCAGCATTCGTCGTCTATTCAGCCGAACATTACTGAACCAAGCATATGCAGAGGGCGAGTCGCAACCGAACGGGAACAGCCGTCCCATGAGCCGCAGCCAGGGCAGCATCGTCGATGAGAAGAAGGCCAAGCGTAGCAGCGGATGGTTCAAGAGATTGAGGTCCCACGATTCTTCTCCGCCGCAAAAGCGATCCAGCGTCGTATACGAGCATCCCAACAACAGCCAGACGCAAAACAGACCTCAGAGCAAGCCTCAAGTCCAAGGGCCCCCGCCGCCCATGATTCCCGAGCTCAGCGCGCTCGAGGCCAAGGTCGACTTGACGGACGGAGGCAGTTTGGGATCTGACTTGTTCAAGAACATCAAGTAATTACTGACTCGGAGCCGACACCTCCCAATAGTCAGAGACGACTTATACCGAGTCACCGGTTTTTGGAGTCGGGAACCGGAGCCTTGTCGGACACGATTCCACCCATATGCGCCAACGAGCGAACGACCGAATCCGAGCGGACACACCAATACGATTTTCCTAGCGTTTACCACATTTGAATTCTTTTGGAGCCAGAGCTGGGGACGAAGATGGCGGTGGAGGAGCTAAAGACAGTATGTGAAATGGAGGCAAGACTGGAAGAAGTTATGCAAGATACCCAGCTCGCACCGCGGGCTCATTCTGACATACGATGTTTACACTTTCTTTGTTACGTTTGATTCTCTTCATCTCATTGCACTGTTTGGGGCATATCGGCATCACGATTGGAACTTGTACCTTTCGGGCCTGTTCTTTCCTACTGTACGACTTACATTCTGGTGTACATGTTTGCGCTGGTGGTTTGGCGAGAGGTCGATGCGTGGAGATGGACGGAGAGCGAGCCAGCAGAATAATACGTCAGATCGAAGAAGCCAGTCGGGAGAATCACGGAAATCCGAGCGAAAACGCTGGGGACGGGACGATCCAACTATAGCCGAAAGATTCACCAAACTGAATAGTTCATCAAGAGATGTTCTGTTGCTATTGGTGTCCTCGGCAACTACAGCTGCAATAAAAATACATTTTACGGCCTAAACCATGATCGGATCCTGTTCGTAACCTCTCTTCAGCACTTGTGTACTCGAGGCCATGTCATCTGATCTAAGGGATGACGTTCTGCGACCCGGCACTTGGGTATGACAGAGATCTAACCGCCTCATCCACCACAGCTCTTGTGAAATCACATCCACGACAGCAGAAGCGACAGCTCACGAACCACACGCCATCCGGACTAGACGCTTTGGCCTATGGAGCACATCGTGTGGCGAGAGGCGTGCAGGTGCAGGGCGATTTGGCGTCTGACGCGGAAGAATCGTTGAAGAAACTGACTGAAGCTGCTACTCGTCTCTGCCAGAAACAGCTTATTCTGCAGCTGAAGGGACTCGCCCAATCGTCGCGCGGGGTGGCGTAATATCAGACCTCTAGAGCTAACCCGTTCTTCCGGACCAAACTACTCTATACCGCCACCGAGCTGTCACTGCCGGCGCCGTCCAGCTGCAGCTCTGTGCCCGTGCTTGGGAGCTTGAGCCAAGCGCGGAAAAAGAGGGGCCTACCTCCCCGTCAGTGGACGCGCTACCTGGGCCAGCGACTGATTCGTCGGCCGGCGCGGGCCTTGAATCAACGTCATTGTGAGCTCGCCAGAGGTTCGGCCGGCCGGGTCCAGTTACCGAGCTAGTGCCATGTGCCGGGAGCTTTTTTGGAGCTCTTTCGAAACTTGCAAGCTCGCACGTCGACAATTTTTGGACAGGACCTTTTTGTCGCCGTAACAGATTTCTCGCCTCGCACAAACCTCTTCAGTATGGCGACGGGCTTGCGAACGACGACGGCGACGCTCCGCCCGCTGGCGGCGTCCGCGCTGCGACCGGCGCAGTACATCCCCCGCGTGGCACGACGATACAAGTCAGGACCTTACGGCTACACCCAGGCCAAGGCGCTCGTCTTCTCGAAAGAGGGCGAGCCGCGCGACGTCTTGCAGTACGAAGACACCCTCAATTGACACCAAGCAACGTTGACTGACGGCTTCGTGCACAGATTACACACCCACTCCATCTCCCCCTCCATCCCCTCCTCGGCGGTCCTCCTCCGCGCCCTCGCCGCCCCGATCAACCCCGCCGACATCAACACCGTCCAGGGCACGTACGGCTCCAAGCCCCCCTTCACCTCCCTCATCGGCACCCCCGAGCCCGCCGCGATCCCCGGCAACGAGGGCGTCTTCGAGGTCCTCTCCGTCGGCTCCAAGGACCTCGGACTCGCCCGCGGCGACTGGGTCATCCCCGCCGCCTCCTCCTTCGGCACCTGGCGCACCCACGCCGTCGCCGAGGCCAGGGACGTCATGAAGGTCTCCCGGGACGGCCTCACCCCCACCCAGGTCGCCACCGTCAGCGTCAACCCCTGCACCGCCTACCGCATCCTCCGCACCTACGGGCCCGGCGAGATCCGGGCCGGCTCGGACGGCGGCATGAAGGCGCTCGAGCCCGGGCGCGGCGGCTGGTTCATCCAGAACGGGGCCAACAGCGGCGTCGGGCGCGCCGCGATACAGCTCGGCAGGCTGTGGGGTCTGCGGAGCATCAACGTCGTGCGGGAGCGCGAGTCCGAGGCCGAGACGGCGGCGCTGAAGAAGGAGCTGAGCGACCTCGGCGCCACGGCCGTGGTGACCGAGAAGGAGTTCCTCTCGCGCGAGTGGAGGGACCAGCTGAAGGAGCTCACGCGGGGCGGGCGCGAGCCGGTCGGTCTGGGGCTCAACTGCGTGGGCGGGAAATCGGCGACGGCGGTGGCGCGGAGCCTGGGGGAGAGCGGGACGATGGTGAGCTACGGCGGGATGGCGAAGCAGCCGGTGATGCTGCCGACGGGGCTGCTCATCTTCAAGGATTTGAGGTTCGTCGGGTTCTGGCTGAGCAAGTGGAACGAGAGGGACCCGCAGGGGCGGCGGTTCGCGATCGAGGACGTGCTGGGCATGATCCGCGAGGGGCGGTTCCGGGACTCGCCGGTGGAGGAGGTCGGGTGGAGTTGGGAGACGGAGGGGGAGGTGCTGAAGGAGGCTGTCCAGGGGGCGCTGGGCGGGTTTAGGAAGGGGAAGGGGGTTTTCGTGTTTGGTGAGACGTGAGTTGGGGGAAGTGTGTGTTTGGTGTATGATATGGTATAGACGGGTTGCGGATGAATCAACGACAACGTTGCGCACGATGTGAGGAGGTTGTTATTCACAATGCAGTATTGGTCGTCTTGTTGACGCATGAACGTCACCAAGTGCCTGCTATAAATACTCGACATGCGAACCCCAAACTTAGCTGAGTATGTATAGATTATGGGCTTTCTAGACATCTCAGATCGGAAGTCCAGAAGCAGGAGCGTACTGCCACGCATACTCACTCCATCGACCATTCACATCCATCTGCCCCCGCCGTCGTCGCCTCTCTCCCCGGGCCCCTTATTCAGGGCAAAATACATGTATGCTAAGTTACATATCAAACCGCACGCCGCACTTGAGTTGATTGCGGGAAATCGGACTTGCGACGATTTAATCCAGGTGAACTTGGCGGCACATCTTCAATGTCCGAACCTATGCAGCCTTTTGGATTCTTGTGGTGGAAGCTTGGGAGGAGTTTCCGAGGAAATCAAGCAGCAATTTATGGCTGGAGGACTTGATTAAACTCTACTTTCTCGAGGCAACATGTAGCTATATAAGCATGACGGAAGTTAATATCCATTCTCAATCAAGCTTGGCTTTCTCGATTTGAGAGGTCAATAAGGAGTATGCCGAGAATACCTGAATCAGAAGTATGTCTTTCTGGAACGTGTGGCGTGTATAACACAAACGACAGCGTCTTGCCGGTCAAGGTCTCGACACTACCCATCCGTGTCCTTCTTCGCTTTCGGTCTGAGGATATTGAAGCTGTATACTCAGAATAAGAAGTTCGGCCGTTGAACGTGTTTTCCCTGGTGAGATGCGCAGCCAGCAGCGTCTGACTTCAAGTGTATCTGAGTCCTCGTCACTGGATTCCCGGACACGCTGGAAAAGAAGGAAAAAATCGACCACGCCATTGCCTTGGGGGCCCGTGTCTGTGACCAAATGGCATCCATGTACAGTTTCTTTATACCCCTATCTACGTCTTCCTTCGTATCGTTCGGCAAGATGGGTGTTGTGTAAGCGCCTGGGTACCTGCGATGTCTTGCCGCATTTTCCGAAACAATAGATGAACAGCAATAGCATCGTATTCATGTCTAAATGCATATATTTATGTATGAATTGGTTGGATTTCCAGAATGCCAAGCTATGTCATTTGCGGAATCTTGCCTTTCAAAACATCGAAGACTTACTGGTCTAGCGAGCCGAGACTTACTGTTAGCTTTCGCGGAATCAGAGGCTCGGATGCCGGGCTGTTTCAGCCGTCTTCCCCCGTCTTCTGTCTGGGAGTATCTGGTGTGTATATCTCAGCACTTGCGAACGATGGTGTGACCGCGCAAGAAATTCCATTGCACCAGCCGACATGAAACGGGTCTTCGGCGCAGGCATTTCAAGAATGAACTTCGCAGGTCAAGAAATGGCACGACGAGCGGCGGGAATTGATGCTCGAGAAAGTACGGGGAGGAATTATTACGTCTAGTACAAGCCTGCAATGAACTTGGGCTTCAACCCTCTTGAACTTTGTGGTGGATATGTGCCTCCCTCGAATATTCACAGTATAGGCCTTGGAGACGGCTCGAGAACTAGCTTCAATGGCTCGAGGAAACTGTTTTGACACACAATTACAAACTGTTTTATACACCATGTTGGTCCTCCATGATTTAAATCGTCCGTTCGTACACCCCTTGTAGCAGCATGACCGCTCGCTATGCCCAAGAGTAATTTCTGTCAGACACGTAGTTGACGCAGACGCTCAGGAGTATATAATCATGGTCGTAGGCAGCCTTTGGAAGCGTCAAGTCCCGATGAAGTCTCAGACACGGGTCTTCGGTTGTCTGGAACATATCCCCGATCATTCCCTGTGTTTGTTCTTTGCCGATGGGACTAGGAAGACCCAATCTCATATTTGGCCTATGAGATACTACGTCGCCAAATTTGTACTGATATTTCTCCTCTTTTGCCGTCTGGCGTTTCTATTGGTTTGTTCAGTTGAGAATACCCCGGTAGCGGGAACCCGGACGGGAAGACCGCAATCTTTTCAGCCTTTAGGTGCCGGGCTTCTTCGCAGACAAGAGAAACACAGGCTTCAGTTACCTAGCGTCAAATGAAGATCGAGCGTGGTGCCATCACTAGAGAGCTTCTATTCCACGTTTAAATACCTCCAAGAACACCGATGTCATAGTCAAACGAACTTGTTGGGTTACAAGCCACATGCAGCCAATCTTAACGAGCTGGCTTTTGCGACCTTATAAAATAAGATTTCTGACATTTCATTTTCGCTCAAGACTGGCGAGCTTCGTACCATTTTTCAGAAAACTAGAATGGTTCTTGCCCATTCTGGGTTTTCTGCGTTGGCAAGTGAGCCAGTCCATGGTCTTGAGAACACTACAATGTGTTTGGCAGTTCGAACCGTATGCCGTTGCTACGAAGGCTTTCTCTACTCGTCATTCTCGGCATATTTCGGCGTCACTACTGACCTATTCAGTATCAAGCCACCCCCGTAGAAGTGAGGCAGCATTGCACTTCTTCCTTAGTGATATGTTGTTGAGTTGCGTTGTCGATGTAGGGCTGTTTGGGAGAATGACATCGTTTATACGAACATGAGACCATCAATGGTGGGAGGACCATGGGCTCTGAGAACTTACAGACACTTGCCCATCACGATTGCTTTTGAGTCATTCTGCATCCCTGCGTTCCCAGTTGCTCTTACAACTCAAGCCGTCGCCGGTGACATAGCACGACCCCAAAGGTGACGATATCGCTCCGTGGTCATACGAAGTGCACCATAATTCGTTGAATATGATTGTAAATACATGGTATATGTCGTATATACAATGTACAAAGTGATCCCCTACCAGACCCAACGACAACCAAACCATCATCCCACGATCGAATCGTACTACGCCATCTGGGAGTCGAAGTTAACCTGCTCGTGGTCAAAATAGAAACCAAACTCCTCCTCCTCGTCAGACTCGTGAGGACTGAGACGCTCCAGGTCCCGAATATGGCGAAGGAACTCCGCCTCCCGCAGGCGGGAGTTCATCCGGACCCAGGAGCCGTCGTCGAGCTCCTCCCAGATATCGTCGTCACCCCCGACGATCGTGGCCTCGTATAAGCTCTCGTCGTCGCTCCCGTCGATTGTCGACTCATCCGAGTCGTCACCGCCCCCGGCGATGTTCACCTCGTCCAAGCCGTCATCATCAGCGTCGCCGACGAGAGTCGCGAGATTCACATCGTACAGGGAAGCCGGAGTCTCATCGACGGGCGCGTGGTCGGTATCGTTGACCGAGTTTTGACATGGAGTAGAAGTAGGGCGAGCGGTCCTGGCCATATTGACCTCTTGATTGGGCTCGTCACCAGCGTCGTCGTTGCTCTCGTATTCGGAGAGTATAAACGTGTGAGAAGCGGCGAATCCGCCGACAGGGCGCTCATTGTCGGCGTCATATCTGTCGTTTTGCGAGACAGTGGTGATCTCGCGGTGTTGACCACGACCCTCTTCGAGAAGATATTGGCGTAGATTTGCGGCATCAAGATTGTTACCTTCGGTATTTAAGCTGCTGCTGCTGTCGACTATGTTGTCGGAATGTGTATGACAGGCGCATTCTCTGCCATCACAAGCTCTTGGTGTGCGAGACATGTTTAATTGTAGAGAGCTCCGTGGTAAGAGAATGTTCTCTTGGAGAGTCGGCTTGGATACTTCTATCTTTGACAGTTTGACCGGCTGTCAGACGTGGCTGCCGGTGATATAAAGTCTTGGTTGTTGCTGGGCGTGTTTAGTTCTTGCTTGAACTGTAGTTGAGAGCGATGGAGAGGAATTGCACTACTTATATTTCAGTCAGGAATGCAACGGAGATAGAATGCTCTCACGGAGAAAGGCCAGCCTCTACAGAAACGCTCTAGGGAAGAGTCTCCGTTAGTTCACTATTGCAGGAGATATACGGTTGACGGACCAAGGAATCGGCCACTTCGATCCATAATTACTCGAAGGGAGCCACCAGAGGACTGAAGTCAAAAACAACTGAATGTGTTGCTGTCCAACGTTGACCAAATATTTTGGTGAACCATCATGGTATCGGTAAACTCTATTAGCAAAACCCCCAGCGCCTGACCCAAACACTCAATTCCTGAAAGCCTGCACCAGCTCATGTAACTTGTCGATAACCACCGGTGCAATGGCGCCTAGAGTGTCCTCGATGACCCGATCGAAATAACGCATAGACTCCTCCTCTGTAAGCTCCAGATGGAACCTCTCCCTGACCTTCAACACTGCCTTGTCCGGCTCCAGCCGAATGTCGGGGATATTGGCGTCGACCATGAGACTGAATAGATTGAGAATCAAATTGGATGATTTCCGTAGTGCCGTGTATGCGAGGAAGCAGTACTGCTTGAATTGCCTGAACTGTTCCGAGTTAACTCCACCCATGCAGTCTACCATTTCTTTGGACAGCTTCATAACCGGCGCAAAAGGCTTGGGGTCTCGTCCAAGAATGAAGCCGAAATCTGCATGGAAAAAGTGACCGTCTGGTGCAAGAAGAAGGTTGTCGAGGTGTCTGTCACCAACACCCAAAATGTACGTAATCACGCAGTATCCTGCGCAAGACTTGACGTATGTGTCCAATGTCTCCTGACGTAGTCCCAGAGGCTGCCTATCGTCAGGGTTGTTGGACTTCAGGTAGGCCAAAGCTGGGTTGTTTTTGTACTTTGATGCAATGCTCTGGAAGCTCGCAGAAGGCACAAATTGGGAAGCTCCGGCAGTAGTGCTCGTTGCCAAAATCTTGTATGGCGACAGTTTCAGGTCCAGGTTTTCTTTCTGTAGCAGCTGGTCCATTAGGGTGATAATCTGGATGACTAGTTGATCCTGGCGCAAGTCGTCACCAGTTTTGAAGATGATTGGATATTTCTTCCCTGTGGTAGTCTTAAAGGTGACTTTGATCGGGCACAAAGATGACTTGAAGACGATGGTTTCCTCCGGTACAACGCCTACGACGCTCATGGTAGGATCGAGTGGTAGAGGAAGCGGTGGATCAATGGTGAGAATTTCGTGCTTGGGATCCGCCAACCAATTCTTGACATAATCGGTCTTCTTCGCGATTGAATCGTGCGAGATCTTGACGTCGTTGGAGAGGTTGGACAAGTTGGCTATTAGCTCAGCCTGCCTCAACAGAATTTTCCTCGTCTCAGCGCCGTCAGGGCGCTTGACCAACTCCGTCATAAAGTCATACGCAACTTTTCGGTAGATGTTTCTGTTATCTAGTCCTTGCTCGGGACTCTGGTCGTCGCATTCAACCATCACATACCAGTGGAAATAGTTACCGAGCAGAAAGTTGTCGGCTGCGCGTGATATCAAAAATTGAGCCAGAGACGAGTCCTGGATCGCTTCCTGCGACGAGTCGGCCGAGATATGTTCGTATTTGAGAGCCTGTACCAGCTGTAACAAGTAGAGCAGCAACTCATGATCGTCCGCTTTGCGTAACCTTTCCACGGCGTAGGCTCGGACAGCTTGGTTGTCGAATGTGGGACCGAGCAACTCCAAAGCATCGTCGACTTCGATTTGGGTCCATCTACCCAAAACTTGCACAGCCTGCTTCGCTTCGCTGTGATCATGCCAGTTGACAGACTTGACAAACTTTGTAACTGCCCGCTTGTCACGGGTAAGATGGTAGCGGAACTTCCAAATCAGATCCTTTTCTTCGGGAGCCAAGATGTGGGTGGGTGAATAGGACATGATGAGGTTCAGCTCATCTCGAACCTTCGCATTTGGTTTCAAATCTTTGTCCAGGATGCCGTGGCGATGTTGACTTCTGACGAGTCTCCTGTGTTTGCTCTCGGCCGGGTTGTCACGAGCGCCGACCTCCGGATCGTACACCTTCATGAAGCGACTGCCTGGGCCTGAATCACCAAGCGCGTTGATGCCGGGGCCAAATTGCACTTCAGGCGGCGGCTTCAGCATCACGTTGGACTGTGATGCTGACATGTGCTGCAACGCCGAAATTGGCGGCGGCGGATATTCCAAATCGGCGAAGACGACCGGGAAGTCGAATCGAGGGAGCTCAACATTTAGTTGGAATTTGGAAAAGCCCGGGTGCGTCTCGGTATCGACAACGTTTTTCTCGTCAACCACTTTCTCCTTCTCGTTAGCTGTATTGCCGTTCGCCGTTTGTTGTCGCTGCATGGTTTTCAGGGATGCCTTTGCTGACTGCAGACCCCGTTTCTCGAAACCTCGGAAGACAAGCTGATCAAGCCAGTCAACCCTTGGGATTTCCCCCATCTCATGCTTCTTGAACAGCTTCTCCATGCGCTCCAACTCCTCGGCATCCTTGTCCACAGGCGGTGCAGGCCCTTTTCTCGATGCGTCCCTCTTCTTCCGGGGAACGGCAGGCGTAGTCGTGTTATCGTTACCGTCGGCATTCTTATGTCGATGTATGATGCACTTTTGCCGTCCCTTCTGCACCTGATTGTCTCGGTCGAACAACGGCAGCGCCGTGCCTCCAAAGGGGATCGCATGACCTCTCGCTTGTTTGCCGCCAGCGGGCGACGAGTCCCATAGGGTAATGGCCAAGCAAGAGTTCAGGGGGAGTGTTGAGTAGTCGATCGGAAGAGTAAGCCATTCGTTCCACCTGTTGGAGTCGTTCGTTAGCGACGCTCTGAACAAAGAGCACAGATACGGCGTACCTTCTCTCGGTGCGGAACGATTTGTAGGCCGTCTGGACAGGTACGGTGAGTGGTTTCGAGCCGGCCCAAACTTGAACGGTGATGTAGAGGTCGGAATGCGAACTGGCAAGTTAGCGATAGTAACAACGCCCCTGCAGGAGCAAAGTACCTTGTATTAGAGCCGATATGCCTCAGCTCGGCTTTCTCCAAGAGAGTAGAGTGCAGGAATGGTGTCTCATCGCCCTCAAGATTAATGCTATAATCAACGCATCAGCGCGTGCCTGGAAAGAGACGGACTGCTGAGGACTGGTGCATACATGCGGATGCTCACTGGGTAGTCCAGCGACTCGGAGCTTGCGAAGGAGAACGGCTCCATGTTGATAGTGGGAGCCTCAAGAAGGTTATGAGGCCATTCTGCGAAGTCGGGAGTTGAAGGCAAATGTCAGAACAGAGTCTGGCGAGTTCGCGGTACAAGATGTTTGCGCAGCGCAAGATGATGATGCTTGTTGCTCCGTACCTGGAAGCAGCAGCACAGACGCAGCTGCAGTTTCTGGGGCAGCTGACAGCCCAACCTTAGACCGGGAGTGAGACCCTTGCGAAGCTTCAGTGGGTTGGATGTCGGTCCCGTCATCAGAACCCCGCCCAAGCCACGATGTCTTATCGATAAGAGAAAAGCAAGCCACGATGTCCCCCACGCCTCTAGCTCGGGCGCGTTGAGTGGAAGGGCCACCCTGAGAGTGCTTGTCGCGTCTTCCCAGCAAGTAATTTGACGCGCGACTTCTTGACCAAATCCCAGCGAACTTTTGATCGCTTCGTTCATTATCGAGCCGTTCCGCGGCCACTGATCCTGTCGTGCACCCGAGGCCCGGGGAAGTACACCTACGTCTTGACTGACACAATAACGACATCTCCTCGTCGATCCGACTATCAATCAATCCAACATTCACCCCTCTGTTCATCCAAGATGCCTTCAAGATTAGACGGATCAACGTCGCCATCTTCGGCAGGCTCCCCGAGCGACGACGAGGCGCCTGGCCCCGCGCGTGGCCATTTGGCCATAAGAGATAAGGGCAAAGGTCGCGATGTGTCAATCGGAAAGCGGAAGCGCGCCGACACTAATGGCGAACAATCTTCACGTCGCCGTGCAAACGGACGTTCTCTCGATAGAGACGATGACCCCGATATCGACGTATACGATCCAGACCAACCCATGGAAGAGCGACGCGAAATCCAGCGAAGGCTTCGCGAACTGCAAAAAAGCATCAATGACAATGTGGAAGAGTACATGGCGCCTGGCTCGACAGGCCTCAAGGACGCCCTGTTGATGGCACAAGAAGTTGCCCGAGGCGTCAAGCAGACCACCGAGGCCACTATCGACTCCCGTCTTCTGGTCAGCGCAGTTGATATGTCATACCGGAAAACTGTCCGACTTATGCAAGGCAATGCGGCAGAAGGTGTGGACATCGACGAGTTCGTTTCCAAGTGCTGCACATACATGCGCCAAGCAGGTGGCATCGCGGACGATGAGGCGCCTGAACTTTCAAGCACTCAGAGGCGGAGACGCAGGACGGGAGGCGGTTCTAACGATGACGAAGATGGCGATGACGAGGCCTTCAACTGGAGCCACCTGGGGAAATTCGCCTCGCTACCCAATATCCGTCGACCAGCCCTGCCTGGCTTCCTGCTTGGTCCGCTATCCGTCGAGAAAAAGATCCGAAAAATTTCCAAGCGTACTGCGCCTTTCCGACCAAACAACCTGGCAGAGACGAGGCCTGAAGTACTGAACGTGGAGGACTTGGCCAAAAAGGAGAACGACCTCACGGCGATTTGCGGCAAGATTCTTAAGCAACTAAGAGACACCCAGGCGGATGCTCAGACGAAGCTCGTCGAGCTTTTCGAGGAGAGGGAGATGAGCGAGGAGGAGCAGGTCAAGACCATGCATGACTATGGTCTTCGGGAGACTGGCGGAGTTGACCTCCTTCGCTTCGTCGTGAATCCCAAATCATTTGGCCAGACTGTCGAAAACATGTTTTACGTCAGTTTCCTCATTCGCGACGGCAAAGTGGGAATCGAGTTCGATAGCAACGACCTTCCCTCCCTTAGTAAGTTGACTGCAATGCAATGTGGTGTGCAATATCTTTACTAACATAACTACAGGTCCTATAGGAGGCGATGAAGCAGAAGAAGAAGGAGGCGCCAAGCGTGAAAAAGCAAAGCAGCAGGCTATCTTCTCAATGGACATGGAGACATGGCAAGACATTATCGACACCTTCAACATTCAAGAACCCATGATAAAGCATAGAAAAGAGACGATGGCGCAAGGCCCGGGTGCTAGAGGATGGTACAGTTGAAACGGGAAGGATGGGGAGGCTGGCGTTCTGCATGAAACAGCACTTTTCAGTCGCTTTTTACACTAGATGGGATTAGGGAATGTCTGTGTGGCAGCTACGCGATTCTTGCTTTGTATGGGACATGATGGCAGGCAGGCGTTCAAGGAGTTGTGGCAGACATATACTGATCGGAGTTATTTGGCCTGGCAACGGGAGCCATCAGGGCGCACTCATCCTGTCGCAATTCAAGCTTATTCGGATTACTGACAACCCCGTCTGGCATCTTGACTTACACTGCTAATAAATGACCAGTTTCGGGATTTCCAAGAAAGGCAGTCATACAGAGATGACGAGGCCGCGATGTCGGTTGCTAGACAAAGGCGAACATGTTTGATGGAGGTGGTTGTGCACGGTCGCTCTATCGTCCGCCTATCGTTGAATGGATTCGCGTTGCTATTGTCGAAAGAAGGGAGAGAGCACTCCTCTTCCGGAGCACTCTCCTCTACGAATGCTATTTTGGGGCAATCACTCAAAGGGTCATTCAACTCCCCAATCCCTTGGATATCATCACGTTGCCGCAAAAGGAGCATGCAAGCGTCGTGGTCATACACCAGGACGCAAGGACCAAAGCCATGACTTGTACTTCTTTGAGAAACATTGTTGACCGACACGGTATCAATGGGCGTCAGCGCCGGTCAAAGAAGTCGCGACACCCAAGGCCAAGTTGACCTTGGAGCCCCGTCAACAGCGACCTTTGGATTCCTTTACAAGACACCATGCCATAAGTACGAAGGTCGCCATCTTGTCAAAGGCCAAGTACGACCTCCTGCATATCTGCTTTCTTCGGCGTTTTCTCTCTGATTTTCTTGTGTCATCTCATACAATTCTTCTGTTATCATACACTGAACTGAAGCTCTTGCGACAATACACTTCGACTATACTGCGCTACGCAGCAATATGGCTGGAGATCGCGACGAGGACACTGCCACTGACGACAAAGTTCCCAGCGGTCATTCTCAGATACCAGAAAACTCTCCAGATCCCACCAACCAAACAGATCCCCAGGAGAGTGCTCAGTCAACGGACATGGGTGAAGACAACGGCCGCGAAGAGGGCACCTGCGACTCCTCGTCACCGGCTGAACCTCCCAGCTCTCCGTTATCAAAGATGGAACAGGAGGACAGCACCTTCACCGACTCAGTCTTTGACCTCTCGACCTCGAAGGGCTCCGCCGGGAAAGGCTCGAATAACGCGCCTCTCTCATCTCCTGTTCAGTTCGACAGCCCATCGAAGAATGATTCCGTCAAGCATTCAACCACAATACCCAGCTCTCCGACTGTGAAGGGGCCCACGCCGCAGACTCCGAAACCACCAGAGCCCTCCTGGGCCGAGAGAGCTGCCAGTGGCATTACGCGCAGCAACACGAAGATGAGCATGAGAAGCGCCCCAGGGGGCAGAGGGGGAGCAAGACCGGCTACGCCTTCTCGCTCGCCAAGTTCGGCAGGCAGACCCAGTCGTGCATCTCCCGCAACGCCTTCCGCAAGTCTAAATGTCGCTCATGCCAATGACACCCCTCCGAGAACAAGAGGCAGCTCCTTGAGCGATAGTTTTTCGCCTCAAAACGTGACTCAGAAGCAGCCGACATCCCGAGACGGCCAGAGAGGAAGCGTTGTTGATGAGGACATGCTGCGCGAGATGAAGAATCTGCTGCAGGTTCTCACGCCAGAGCAGAGCCTCTCCGACCTTGGAGACGTCCAGCCAGCCGACGAGGAATCCATGACCGCCGAATCCCTTATGCCGAACATCATCAGAAAGCTTGCCGCCGAGATCCTGGAAAGAGACGAAAGCCTGGACAAAATCCAGCTGGATTTCGAAAAGTCCATGGCAGCCCAAGCCGCCACACAAAAGTACAACGAGTCTCTTCAAGAAGATTTGAAGAATCGGATCAAGGAATTCAACGTCGAAGCCAGGAAAGCAAGAGATGCGCACAGCTCATCTTGTGAAGAGTTTGAAAATACCATCAAGCAACACAAGGCGGAAGAGCGTGTACAGGAAAGCCTTAGACAGGCTGAGAGCCAGTTAGATGAAGCCCAGGCGGACCGGGATCGCAAAGATGTTGAGCTTCGACAGCTGCAGACTACGGTCAACAACCTTCAACGTGGCCAGCAGGCAGAGTCTTCCGCTCACGTGGACGAGCTTAGAGCCAAGATTTCCGAACTCGCAGAACTGTTGAAGACGGAACAAGACACCAACCGTCAAATCCAGAGAGAGCTCGAGGGAAAAGAAAGAAAATGGACGACCACAGACACAGAACGCGAAGAATATCAAACATATATGGAAGGCCATCTTGAGGAGCTCCAGAAATCGACCCAGGAAAAAGAAGACAGAATCGAAAGCCTTGAACAAGAACGAGACGAACTGAAGAGGAAAGCTGTTGCGGCCAGACCCGAATCCATGAAAATACTCGTCGGCGGCAGGGAAGTCACCTTCAAAGAATACGAGAAGCTCCTCACCAACGTCAGGGGCGAGAACTCCAGCCTCAAACGTCAACTTGAGTTCGAAAAGGAGGAGCGCGAGATAGCCCAAATGATTCCTTTGGATGATGTCCGACAGGTTGTCGAGCCATTTCTCAAGGTTTACGGCATTGCCTACCACAGCGCCCTTCTCGCTCTATCGAATGACTTGGCACATGAGGAGGAAGACCTTGAAGCCCTTCTCAGCGACGACGGTTTCAAGCCATACCCGCATGCTTCTTTCGTTTCCGACCCAGATGCGGGGCCCTTGCAAGCGTCTTCGGCCAGTTCTTCTCCTTATCGAAGAGACTGCGCTCCCGTGACAGGAGACGGCATCTCTCCAGTGTCTCAAAAGTCGAGCCCAGGTCTTGCAAACTCAAGGAACCTCGAGAGCGAGCTTGCCGGATTCGATTCAAATAGTGAAGCATCCGCATCCAGTCCAAGTGTAAGAACAGCCAACCCACCAGGTGATACAGGGGCCACTGCTAACATTACTTTGCAGCCTTTGGAGGATACTCAACAAGGCCATACCGATTTGACGGACGATCTTCTTTATGACCCGCACACCATCACCAAGTTGCGCGTCCAATTGAAGCAACTGATGAAGAAGCTGCAAAACCTCGAATCTGAAAAGAAGGGCCGCGAAGAAGAGATTGCGAAGCTTGAAGAAGAGGTGGCTGCATTGAAGGGCAAGATCGCGGTTCACCAACAGATCGCCGAGCAGCTCAAGGCCGAAATCGCACGAGCCAGGTCCAACGTGGCAAACAGCTACCAGCATAAAGAACTGGCCGAGCAGCAAGATCGCATAACTTCCCTCTTCAACAATCTTCAGGAGTGCAAGCAGAGGTTGGCGGTAGCCGAGAGCCAGCGCGATGCCCTCCAGAGGGAGATCGAAGAGAGGCAAGCCGAACTTGAGGTTTGGCAATCCACGGGTGAGGAAATCGGTAACATCAACATCGACTTGGACGAGCAGGCTGCGAAGAACGCACACGCGCTCACCGCGAGCGAGGCTCGGAGGGCCGAGTTGGAAGCTCAGGTCGCAGATCTGGAAAGCAAGCTTCGAGACGCCAACCACAGAACCCGCCAAGAACGAGAAAGGCGTGGTGAGGTTGAAGCCAGACATGAAGAGGCTGCAATTGATGGAGACGCACTCATCGCGAGCGAGACTCAGAGGGGCGAGCTGCAATCTCAGCTCGAATTTGTGGAAAGAAAGCTTCGATACGCCAACTATAACACCAGACAAGAACGAGAGAGACGCCGTGAGGTTGAAGCCAAAGGGGTCTGGAAGGGAACCTTTGGGGAAGCCCTGAGACTCAAGGATCAGGAAATCAGACAACTTCGTGACGGACTGGAGGAAGAACGCGATAGCACCGAGAAAAAGTCGCGCTTGGAAGAGGAAGAGGCCAAGAAGCTCGATGCATACGTACGCATTCTCGAAGAATCGCTCGAATCGTCGAAACAGGAAGCATCTCGCGCACGCATGGAGCTCCGCCGCCATGCTACCTCTGATGTCGGTGTACAGACACACTCTGCACGAGATATGTCCCCCACCGACTCTGAGCTATCCAGAACTCAACACTCCGCCAACGCGCCACAGCCTCGTGTGCAGCATTTTGTCCCACCTAGGAACGAAACCTCGTTAGCCAGCTTAGATCCCTGGGAGAGACGAGTGCACCAAGCAACCCGACTCGCACAAGCTCGGCTGGCTCTTCTGGAGTCTAGCAGGCGAAAGGAATACGCCTGGGACGAGACTGTTGTCCACCCGCCAGAGGAGATCCGGCAACTTCGAGTTGAGCTGCATGAGCTAGAAGAAAGACTGAACGCGGTAGACGCCGGTACAGGATCTCCAGAAGATACTCGAGATAGTCTCATAGCCTTCGTGGCTCATAAACAAGTGAGGATCAGCGACATCACAGCATCCATCAGCTCGCGAGCAAACGCTGTGCGCAATGGCATCATGTCTTGGGGGATAGTGTTCAACAGCTTGCTACGCGAAATGAGCGACCATACCGCACCGTCTCCTCCTCAGACCCCACAGATCGTTGGGGAAGAGACACCATCTGCTGTTGCAGAACCGCCCTTACCTCCTGCCCCGATGGGAGCGCAAGAGTTGATCGAAAGATGGGGAGCAGGACAGAGACCGTTCGCATTTCCGCCGAGCAGAGCTGGTAGCCCCGATGGAGGAGATAGCAGCAGCGGCAGCAGCATGGATGATTCTGACGACGATGCAGAACTCATTTCCAAGAATTCCGTTCGACGGGATATCGATATCGTGTATCTGCTGCTCGAGAAGCTAGACAAAACTGTGCAGGCCGCCATGGAATCAAAAATGCGGGTATGTAACACCCGCCACACGGACGCAGTCAGGATGAGAGAGGCCCTCGAAGGCACTGGCACCTTCACACCTCATGGACACTCGGCACCTCAATCCACGGTTGGGCCGCCATCCTTGCACGAGTCCTCTTCTGACAGCAGCTACAACGTCGCACCCTCGGTTTTCTCTGAGCCAAACAGGGGCGGCCATCCCGCATCAGACATCTCGGCCCCTGTGGCAGCTGCCATGCGAGAGTGGGAGCGCCATGCCACCGGTGTGCAAATCAGAACCGACGCTCTCCGCGAGGCTTTCGAGATCGTCCTCGAACACATCGTCAACGCGTCCAGGTACGAAATGATGCGCGGCCAAGCACGGCAGTTCTTGCATCAGCGAAACGAACTTGTCAGAGCAATGAGGGGCGAGAACCCGGACCTGGCCAGGCTTTTCACCAAGTCTGAGCAAGAAGTCAGAGACGAGAATGAGGCTCTGAAGAGGACTAACGCGGACCTTACGAGAGCGGTCAACCAGGGACACGGTGACCGCGAGGCGCGCAGGAATCTGGAACTCGAGGTCGTTCGGCTGCGTTCCCTTAGCGCAGTCAATGAGACCTCCAGGAGATGGGCGGAGGAGCGAAGGGCCGAAGCAGAGGAGGGGAGGGACGAATTCGTCCGGCAGGTCACCGAGTCTCTCGAAACAGTCAACGGGCATCTTCGGCAAATGGTGGAAGATGTTCACGGAGAGAGGGACGGTATTCGGGACGAACTCAGTCTGCTCATACGGACGAGAAGTGCGCGCACCGAGCATCTCGAGGAGCGCATCCGGTTCCTCGAGGCCCAACTGAGAGATTCCGAAAGACCCAGGATCGCCGCGGAGGACAGCTACACGATGTTGAGGATCGAACTGCAAAGCATACTCCAACAGGCGGGCGACGACATGGACGGCGCCAATCTTCGGCTTTTCCTTTCCAGGGCCTTCAACCCGGAGCAGCACGTACCGCCCCGGGACAACGTCGACGCGGACAACTTGGCCATGAGCGATTATTCTTGGGATGACCAGGACACCGTCATCGACGTCATCGACGTTGATGACGACGGTCACGATGCAGAGAACAGCCTGCACATGGTCCACGATTCAAACGGCGACCCAGGCGACCGGGACGAAACAAGGCCCGATGATGACTTGTCCCCGCGAGAACAGAACTTGAGAGAGAGACTCCAAAACTGGCAGAGAACAACCCACGCTCTACGAGACGAGATTTCGCAGTTGCACAGGTCATTCAGGGGAACCATGGCCGACTATCGTGTGGCGCATGATAGGGAACTCGCGGAACGAGACCAGCGATTGTCGCATATGCAGGCAGAGTTCGAGCTCTCCGAAGACAACCGCATCGCCGCGGCCAACAGGAACATGGTGCTTGAGGCTAGGATCGTTGATCTGGAGGCAGGGTTGGCCCAGCAGAGCGAGCTCCCCGAGACTCCTACCCGAAGATTGGAGCAATTGGCTGAAAATGCTACGCATATTAGGCCGCAAACGTTGCAGAGGGGAAACTCGAACTCTTCTTCGTCGAGCTCGGACTCAGACGATTCCAATCCTTCCCCAACTGGCGACCATCCTGCTGACGGTCCTCCACCGGATGGCTTGAGAGATGGGGATGCCTCTCCTTTACGAAGAGACGGCCCGAGGAATAGATTGGCAGATAACCCAGCGCCTCCCTCTCCAGGAAACGAACCCGACAACGCACCTCAATTGCAAGATGTCGCAGTCGACGACGACGACGAGACAACTGTGCCTCAGGAGATCGATAATGTCCTGCCAAGAGAAGATAATCAGGCTTCACCTCGGGCCTCACCTCGAGCCTCGCCTCGAGCCTCGCCTCGAACCTCACCTCGGGTCTCACCGCGGGTCTCACCTCAGGCATCACCTGTGGCGCCAGTCGTGCGATTCGCAGAAGAAGAAGTAGAAGAAGTTGCGCCTCTGCAGGAACCTCACAACGAGACCAATGTTGACGAAGGCGCTGATTTGCCGCCTCCTCCGTTGGAGACGAACAACACTCCCGTACACGCGCCTGAGGACACTGCTGTAGTACTATATGACAACCACCGGGGGCCACGTCCAGGACCCCAAAGACCAAACGGCGCGGATGACACTCGCTATACCAGGCCCAACGATGGCAACTATGCTTGGCAGGTCATGCTCGCGATCCGAGATTGCCTCAAAGGCCACTGTTTGTCCTGGGCAAATGTCATCTGGTTCCTTTGGATGACTTGCCTGTTCTTCCCCGCGAAACTGGTCGGCAAGGGGTTCCCGCTCCTCGAGCACCGGCCGACACCGAAGAGGACATCCATATTCATGGTGGGCTGCACCGCAATCCACTTCGCGGTTGGTTTAGCATGGGCCACGTTCCGGGCGCTGGTCTCTACGCAGACGGCCAAGGATATATGGCTTGCGGCGAACAGTTTGACCCGGGCTCTCTTCGTTGAATCGCAACTCATGTCGCCGTTGATGTTTTTGGGCGTGGAGGGTTGGGACAGCAGGTTCGCGCCACCCGTCAAGGTGGCCGCCGAAGCCATGTATCAGAGCGTCCGGGAGGCGGGGGCCAGTTTGACAGCGTGAATGGAGGCCGTGGGAGGCGCGGAAGGCGGGAGGGTTTTCCGGCGATGCTTGGCGGTGATTTTTGGCAGATTTATCTTGACTCGATGTCGTGATGAGGTGACGGACGAGATGAGGATGTGACGATTCTGTCTGGCGGTCGGCGAACGGTTCTCAATTGGTTGTTTTTTTGGTTTGTAATCAAATGTTTTTTGATAGACGGCGTTAGATGATGTGCGAATTCTTCTCATCTCAAATTCGAAGTCGATCCATCTCGTGTGACAAAAACCCAACGGCTTTCGATGTCGTCGGCAGATGATTTGGAATTCGGAGCATCGTCGACCCAGGGTCCTGGGAGGTGAACGTCCGGAAACGGGCTAGCGCGCATGGAACCACAGCCCAGAAGGTCTCCACTCCTCGGCCTAGTCCGGCAAGGACCTCGGGGCCCTGCGCAGACGGTAAAGTGGAGAAGGCCGCGGAACAACAGAGAGAGTCGAACGGAACGACTCGAATCCCCGGCTCGGAGGGACTTCGTTCTCGCAATCAGCCTTTTCTCCTGCTGTGGATTATTCAGACAGCCAAACAGCTCACGCTTGCTACCTATTTGCAGGAGGAGACTCCGCCATTCCTAGTGTGAAGAAACGGAGTCTGCGATCGGCCGACCCCGATTGTACCTCGGCCGCGAGCTTCGAAGGAGGCCACCCCAGCCCAGCATTAATTAGTGTAAGTGGCCCCTGCCTTAACGCCGGCGTCAGTGTCAGTGGCAGGATGGATGGAAGATGTCACTCTGATGCGGTTTCCACACCACTCTGCCAGTGATGTCATGACTGGCCCTGTCGAATTTTCGGTGCAGCAGCAAACTGCACGAGCAACGTTTTGACTGCAGCTGCGTCCGCAACGGCCGATTAACATCATCGCGAAGTCGAAATTTGAAATATCTCCAGTCAATACTGTAATCTCTTACGTCGAGTTAAAGAAAGAGGCAATCAGAGACAATCTGAAGCACACAAAGAAGCTGAAGCAGAGGGCAAAGAAGCTCGGCCGAACCGAAGACCATCTCATTTCACCACGCAACATCCACTTCCCACGCGGTCACCCCATCGGATTGATGAAACTTTCCCAGTCCCCGACTCAGGACCCGTTCTCGCCGACGACACATCCGGCCGCAGATCTTTCTGTCCCGTTCTCTTTTCACTTCTTTCTGCCGATCTCTCCTCCAATCCGTGTCTGGTCTTATTTTGTCAATCACACCCGGGACCGCGCCCTATCGAAACAAGACGGAACTCCCGCTCTCCCGTGCTGACCGCATTACCACCATCCCCCACATCACTCTTCTCACACACACGCCATACGCAGTACTACTCTTCCAATCCGCGTTTCTAGAACCAACCCGTCGGAACGCCTCCGCTTGTTGATTTGACAATGGTACGTGCTTGACCCGGGCCCCCTTTGTACACCAAGCCATGCAGTAGTTTAAATGCCCGCGCCCACCTCCCCGTTAGCTCGTGATCCGGCCTCATCCCAGCAGTGCCCCATTACCTCATAATCATATATAACCCCGAAGCTTCCATCTCCTGTCAAGCACGTTTTTCTAAACAAAGTTTCCATTTCATCCAGAGATTCTTACGATACCCGGCTACTACATCAGCCCGCGCCATCCGCACCTCACCAATCCAGCGCAGAGCTTTCTCGGCAACACACAACCAGTCGCAAGCTCACTCCCAAGCTCAACCTGAAGGCTCATCTCAGAACTCATCTCAAGCACCGCTCCAGGGCAAACACACCCTCGACTCGCCAGACCAGCAACCCACTCACCACAACCCCCTCAAATCCGCAAAGGAGCACGTGAAGAAGCCCGTCATGTCGCAAAAACTCATCCCCGCCAACCCGGCCGACGTGATGGTCATCCGCGACCTCACCCCCAACGTCACGACCTTCTCCGTCCCCTTCTCGCGCTTCGGCGTCCTCAAGATCGGCGGCCGCGCCACCCTCGTCAGGCTCTCCTCCGGCGCCCTCGCCGTCTTCAGCCCCGTCGCCCTGACGGACGCCGTCAAGGCCAAGATCGCCGAGAAGGGCGGCAACCTGGCCTACATCATCGCGCCGGACATGGAGCACCACATTTTCATTTCCGAGTACAAGGCCGCCTTCCCGGACGCCAAGATCATCGGCCCCGACGGGCTGCCGCAGAAGAGGGCGAAGCAGACGGGCGACCCCAAGATCAACACCTCCGACGAGTTCTTCGTGGTTTTCAAGGACGGGGAGAAGAAGCGCGAGACGACCATCACGCCCGAGTTCGACGCTGACTTCGAGTATGAGTACGTCGACTCGCACGCCAACAAGGAGCTCGTCTTCTTCTACAAGCCGGATCGTGTGCTCATCCAGGCGGACCTGCTGTTCAACCTGCCGCCGAGGGAGCAGTACTCCAAGGCCCCCGAGGGCGAGCGGGATACTTCTTCTGGTGTGGGCAACAAGCTGTTCGGAGGACTGCAGACGACCGAGGGCGAGGTTAAGTGGGTGAAGCGGTTCCAATGGTACGTCATGAGCGGACGGGACAGGCCGGCGTTCAATGAGAGCATTCAGAGGATCGACAAGTGGGATTTCGACACGATTATCCCGTGCCACGGTGATACGATCCAGGGAGACGGCAAGGAGAGATTTAGGAAGGTGTTTGAGTGGCACTTGGCTGGGCAGAAGAAATAGAGTTATGAGGATGAAAGGGGGTGATGGCGGCATGATGGCGTTGGTGGGTTATTAGTTGATACCATATTCTGAATTTGACGCTGTTCTTGTATCATGTTGGAGTGCCTTGTGTACACCGAAGCCTTCTCACAGGACACCAGAGTGACGAACGACGCAACTGGAGGTTGCATTCCTCGTACGCTGCGACTAGCCAGAGAAATCCAATTACTTCCCGAGGCTATCTCTGCGAGCAATGTGTTAGAAGTAGTCCATGTGTCGAAGAAAGCGCTAAGTACAGAAAAGTGCTAAGTACAACTTGCCAATGGTTGACAACCGAAAGCTGGACGCAGGTAAAATTCGTTTGTGATTGTGCATGTTCAGATCTTCTTCCACATGTCCTTGATTTTTGTTAATTGCACAGCAGCGCCAAAGCCAGTGGAATTCCAAGAGAGCTGATCGAACTGACGCAAGCGAGAGGCGGTGTCTGGTATCTCGAAGCACCCTCCGGAAGATCCAGGCTTGTTGATGTTCCTATTAGCCGCATTGATTTGATGTCGAGCATAGTAAAACATCATTGACGCCAGAGATTGGTGATTGAAGGCGACGGCGTCGATATTGGAGCGTATTTCCGCAGTCGACGTACAAGAAGTGACCCATGCGGAGAAGCCGAAGAGAGTCGTCATGGCCGAGATCTTCTTTCCGTCGCCCGCATGGGAGAACACGAGATTTAGGACGTCAGGTTTGGCGGCGGCAGCCATCTTCCTCTGGCAGTCGATGTATCTCACGAGGTTCCTCTCCACGGCAACCATGGCGGGGTAGGCCTGAAACCTGTCGGCGAGAATCCAGAGGCGTACATTCATCATGATGTCCTCCCGCGGGTATTTCCAGTCGGTGGTGCCGCGGTAGAAGTAGTCGAGAAGATGCTTCAGGACGTCGCAGTCGATATCAGTGAACATCACACTACCCTCAGTGGCCTCCTTGAACTTGGTTAGCTGAGATTGTCCATGTATGACGGTAAATGGTAACGTGCCTTGAAAGAGCTTCGCAGGAGGGTCGCGAAGTAAGCAGAGTTCTGGCAGAGAATGGCCTTGTGAACGGGAAACGATTCGGCATGGCACTTGATGGTGAAGTCGCTGAATTCTCCAGTCTGTAGCAGTTCGCGGTAGTCTATGGAAGGCAAGTTGGCCATGGTTTTCCGCGACTCAGGACAAGCGGCGGGCTTGTCCTAAGGTTTGGTGTGTGTGTGTTGTGTGTTGTCGGGTGGAAAGAAGGAAGAAGTTGTTGTGTGGGAGGAAACAATTTTGTAGAAGAATTTTTGTATAATGGGTAAGGTCGAGCTCTCGTCGAGGAAGGAGCGAAAGGGAACGAAAAGGAGGACCTTTCGCCCAGCATGTGTGCCTTCCCTGAGCTCCGGTTTATCTCTGTCTTCTTTTCTGTCTGTACCTTACATTTTTTGGTATCATTTCACAGATGATTGGTGCTTTATTCTGAGTAGTATTATCGCACTACATACTACTTCACACATATCTATGTACGACTAATTGACTTGACAGGGTGAAGAGGGCTCCTTCCCGAAACCCAACTCATTTTTAACGATCCAAAATGGTACTGAATCCAGGTGGCTCTCGTCTACCTATAAAATCAGACGTTCTTTCCCGTGGTTCTAGATTTCTTCACATCAATATCTCTCCAGAACAGAACCGCCCCCCAGGCAATCGCCATCAGAGAAGTGGCAGTAATGAAGATAACTCGCTGGGTCTCACCATACGCCCGGTCGATACCGATCCTCGCCTCGCTTCCCACTGCATACGAACTCTGCTTCGTCAAGCTCCCATAAATCTCATCCAAGTATGGCAGCTCCTGCTCGGGAAGATGCTCTCCGAGCTTCCTCCGGAACAGTCCAGTCCAGATGGCAGTCGAAATCGCCGACCCGGTACCCTTCCCAACATCCACGATCAAGGACTCCAGGGACAACAGCGCGGGGAAGTGTGCCTGCGAGACGGCCATGAGAGTCATGTGCTCGATGGGGTAGATCGTGCCGCCCCCGAACGAGATGAGAACTTTGCTGAAGACCATCAACCCGATGGAGGGTCCCACGGTCGGGAAGCTGATCATGAGGCCCTGTCCGAGGATGAAGAAGGGAATGCCGAGGAAGAGCGCGTAGTACTTGATCCGCCCGCAATACTGAAACGCCACGCCGATGATGAGGTTGAAGAAGGAGGCGCCGACGAGGTAGATATTGGAGATATACGCCGCTTGCGTGACGGATTGGTCGAAGGATACTATCAACATGGAGTAGATGTACGCGGAGCATATGAACTCCGAGACGTACAGAGCAGCGGCCATGATGTTGGTGAAGACGACGGTTCGGTCTCGAATGACTGCCCAGGGGAGGAAGGTCTGTGGCGCGAGGTATCTTTCGTAAAGCAGGAAGCTTACGATGAGTAGGAAACCGATGACGATGAAGGAGATGATGAGTGGCGATCTCCAACCTTGGGGTTGGTACGAGTAGATACTGATCGAGAGCAAGAGAAGAGAAAGTCCAGTGGCAACGAGGACGAGGCCGAGGACGTCGAATTCTCTGGCGTAGTACTCCACCCGGCCCAAGAACGACCTCTCCTCCGCCGGCTTCGCCTTCACAATAAGCCCAGAATCTCTCGCCATCTTGTCGTACTTAAACAACACGATCATCAAAGGCGTGAAGAACACCGGGATCAGGGCAGCCCACATCCCAAATCCCCACCTGAAACCAATGGTATTCAGAACGCTCTCCGCAGCCGGCCCATAAGCCCAGATCGTGACGATCGACGGCGTTGAGATGAAACCCAGCAGAAAGCCCCGCTGGTGCATCGGCGTCGCGTCCGTGATCAACACCACCATGCTGAACTAAACCCCGTAGTACCCCACGTTGTACAGCACCTGCGCGGCGCAGTACGTCTCGACGTTCCGGCACGCGGCCATCATGACCGCGCCGGCGGTGGCGAGGGCGACCATGGCGCTCATGCAGTGCGGGCGGCCCCATAGGTCGAGGAGGCGGGCGTATGGGAGCTTGACGATGCCGGAGGCGATGGAGGCGACGACGGAGGTCGTGGCTGTGAGGGCGTGCTTTTGGAAGGAGGATGTGACGTAGGGGGTTAAGACGCCGAAGATGCCGGAGGAGAAGGCCATTGCGAACTGGAAGATCCAGATCCTGTTGAGGCAAGTATCAGTACGGTTGGGATTGGAGATTTGGGGAGACTGCGGTGGAAGCGGAAACGTACAGAGTGAACATGATGATCAGTTGTCGCTGGCTGAGGATTTGCTGCAGAGCACCGACAGGCTCTTTATCGTCCACTTCGTCCGACTTGTTGATCCCATTGTCGGTAGGAACAACAGTTTCAGGTGGTATCGGAGAGGCAGCTTTGGGTGCCGCTTCGACCTTGGAGAGACCATGCTCTGAGGATGACATGTTTGCGGGAAAAGAAGAGAATCGTGCTTCGGTACATAGTCTGGTGAGGAAACAAGCAGAACCCCAAATGAAGGACATTTTGCCGGTCTATATAAGATGATGTATGCCGAGGGTGATGCATCACGGTCTAAAGCAGCGTTCATCGGACCCGAACTTGCAATATCTTCTCATCAGATGGTACCCAAGAGACCCATTAAAACCCATCAAACATCGTGATACCTCTAAGATTTACGAATCTGGACTCTCTACCCAAGTGGGGGATCAGATTAGATGTACGTAAAGTTATCTTCGGATGAACCCTTCATGTTGAAGGTTCAGGGGTAGTTCCACTGCATGAACCTGTCTCGCGTGGGTTCACGATGACAAGGCCGGGATCTGCCGGAACAAAAGAGGTCATGATCTGTTGAGTGGCCAGAATTTCGTGATAATAATCTACTCGATGTGTTCGAGCTCCTCGCAGAATACCGACGCCGAAGTTCTCAGACGGCATGTTGTGGAGCCACCGAGGCCGATGCCGATGTTGCGGAGCACAGAGTTCGGGAAGTCGTTCGAAAGCGGGCAAGGCTTTGGAGTTGGTCAACGTTTAAACTCAAGTGGTGAGATACCAAAGAATTAGCTGTTTTACCCGTGGCGGGAGGCATGTACAAGATAGATGTTCTTGACACTGGTTAGAATTACGCCACCAAGACAACATAGAAGGCGTACAGCATTGAACATCCTCTTCTATTGGAAAGGCTCTGATCCGAGGTCTCAGTCGACTTTGGTTTGGTAGACACGGACGAAGAGAACGATGTAGTATGCAGAGACAATGCATTCAGCAGTGAGAGCCATTCACTTCCGTGTTCCGACCACAAGCTACTGCTGACTAGTAAATGTGGGCATATGGCTTTTTCAAATACGTCGATCGGATGCTTTTAGTTAGAGAGACGCTGCTCACTAGAGAGAAGCTATGTGAACTGACGGTGCGTTTCTCATAGTGAGCCGACTCAATCATAAGGAAGTTATCTTGTCTTCTCGGTTTCAGAACACGCAGCAATTTTGATGGAGACCTGAGCTATGCTATGTGAACTAAAAACATTTGGGGAGTCTGCGGAGCTTTCCCATCACAACTGGTGAAGTCTGATGACCCATGCTCTCAATCAATCCCTCCATGATGGTGCTGAGAACGTTGTCGGTTGAGCGTAAAGAAAAGAGCTGTTTGAGAAACCTTTGGCCAAGGAATGTGCCGTATCGCCAGTCTTCCTACGTTTCTTCGGGGTAGCGACTGTGCCGTGTCAGTAAAACGCTTAGTATCAGGAGGTGATGCATACCCATGAGGGCCGAAAAGTCTCGCGTCGAGAGTACGTTGTCGCACTAGACGTGTGTCTGGGACATTCTCATCATCAGACTCGATTTCACTTGCGCATGAAGCGTAGATTTTACACCACTCGTACATAGTCTGTCCAAGCATGCTGTGTTTGCTTTGGAGAGCGCGAATCTTGTCGGAGTATACCCGATCAGAGTAGAGGTACTGGTCGACGAAGCATGCGGCCTCTGAGAAAATGAACCCTATGATTGAATTTGCGCAAACCGGATGTGAGAAAACCATGTCCAGAATCTCGGGATCGGACGCATTGGGCTTCTCCTCGTTGTCCATTAGAAGATCGTTCAGATGCGCCGCGATAATTTGCTGAGCCATGTCGACCAGGAACCGGTCGGCCAGGATCCAGAGTCGAACATTCATGGCTATGTCTCTGCTAGGGTATTGCCAAGTACCGCCGCCGCTGTAGAATAGGTCGAGAAGTAACTTCATTTCCGCAGGGTCAACGTCGGCGAACTCGACGCGGTTCTCCTGATTCTCCTTGGGAATCGGTCAGCCTTGTCAAAGTGAAGAACCCGGGTAAGTTGATGGCGGCATACCTTCCAGTTGCTCGCAAAGAGCTTTACAAAGTATTGGGAATGATTGATGAGCAGCACTTTGTGGGCGCGAATTTCTTCGCCGCTGCAGACTATGGTACAGTCGGCATGATCACCTGTCCGCAGCAGGGCGCGAAAGTCGCGAAAGCCGATAAAGGGATACTGGGATATGATAAGAGAAACATCGACGTTCTGATCGGAATCCATTGCGCTATGGCTGGTGCTGAGATGAGGAGGTATCAGTTAGCAAATATTCGCGTGAGAGGAAAAATGCCCGGGTGAGACTTTTTCCAGAGGAAAGTGCGCGTACCGAGGAAAAAAGGTGCGCTCGAGGAAGAGTAAAAAAAGAATCATCTAAGATTTGGGTTCGAAATCTTGCTGTGCTTCTCAAAGGCTAGGTAGGTAAGAGGAAGGAGGTCTGCCAGACAGAGAGGGCAGGCAGGCACCTTCCCAGCCAACCTTGGCCACGCCTTGATGATCTACTGAGAAATCAATATAAATTGGCAGTCAATTTTCATTGGAATTTTCATTTGAATATCAAGTGTATAGAATAAGCCTGGCAATTAAGCCTTAAAGACCCTTTACAAAGAGCCAGCAGCTATAATAGGTCACCTATTATAATTCCAACATCCTCCTGCCCCAAACTCAACGAGCAATCAAAATCCATCGCTGTCTTAAACTTCAGTTACAGAATTTTCCGACTAAAAGCTGCGATCTAGATCCAAATTATGAAAAGGCCTGATTGACTCATAATCACGTTGGTTCCTGCTGTAGCGAGACTGGCCAAGGTGTGGTCGCTTCGAGAGCTATGAGCTGCATCAGTCGAGTCCACTGCTGATGATGGATTTCAATCGAAAGTCATTCTCATCTTCTACTTTCTGTTATCTACACAGAAGCTTCGATTTCTGGCATCTTTAGACGCTGTAGGCTCTCGGTATCAGCTGCACCGCTTCCTGCGACGACTCTTCAACTCACACCGCAGCCTAAACCCCTTACCACCCCCTTGCCTCTCAACACGGACAAGTGTTTGGGAATACGTTAGTTTAGTGTGAATCAATACTTTCAAAAGCGTCGTCTCATTTAGCACCTTTTTAGATGCTGTGACTAATGCTGCTCTTGTTGTGTTGCTGAGTTGAGCCATAACATCAATTCTAACAGCCCCATATCATACTTGGAGAAGAATTTAGAATACCTAGCTATCTAAAGACTCCAAAGTCATCAGAATCTGGGTCCAGGTTCTTTAGAGTCAGAAGCGGTATCCATTATGTTGAGCTGGCCCTCTACACCTAGCTTCCATTTCCAGCAAGATCCTGGTGATGGCATTTGCGTGCTGTGAAAAGTTGGGCCTGGAGGATGACTATATATTTAGTTTATGGGGTCTGTCGTCAGTGTCGGAAGAGCTGCCTAGCTGCGTGAACTCTTGGTGTTGGTGACTATTCTTTAGAAGGATGACATTGCACTGGGTGCACCCGTCTCTAAGAGCTTCACGTTCTTCTACAGTATTGCTCTTTCACCCACGTCCAGAACGTATTCGTTGTGAACACACATCGCGCGACGATGAGAGACATCAAGGGCAGGTGACGTTATTTCATCTATCAACTCACGCTCAACTGCAACAAAGATAAACGGGATGGGTCACCTTGCACCTTGTGCTCCTTATCATCTTCCTTTCTAGCTAGCCTCTGCGATACCTATCGCAAGCGCGTTGGGATATCTCCAAGACGTGCACAAAGAACTACTTTTATACGTCCCAACCACATCCCATCATGCACAAACATCTCCATCACTCACGTCCTCATAAGGACAGCACAAGATAGCATATCACACATACAAGGATTCATTCTGATCTGCTTCTCAACACGTGCAAGCAACAGCATCAACTGTAATTGTGACAATCGAGCCAGAAAACTCTGGGCTGGATGAGACCAAGAAGCATACATCCAATCCATCAGCCTTTCTGAGGGCACATCGTCCTCCCGCATCTCCATCACCAAAGTATTAAGAACAAATACGCGCGCCGAGGCGAAAGACCTGGGCGAAGTAGTCTGCCAACCGAGTACCACCACCGCCCTCCACCTCACTAGCCAAAGTGGACATACGTATGTCGTCAACTGGCTGCTCAAATACATCACTTCTTTCCAATGCATTGCGGAGCAGGCTTGCCTCTACCCATTGCAAGAAGCAGAGAACCAACAGACGTCCTTGCGGCATATAAACATCCAAGTCCGAAGATACCCCAAGAGCAGGCCACGTTTCATGTCATCGGAGGAGAGCCTCACTCACCTAAGCTCTCCGAGACGTCTCGAGAGGCAGCAGCCCACATCCTACTTCGACGCGTTTACGAAACAGTTGTCAAGAGTTGACACGACAGTAGCCCCGGCCTACGGACTAGGACGCAACCCTGTTCTATGGCTCTCAGAACGACAACGCCGGGAGGAGATTCTCCACGACAAGCTTGGCTCACTTCACTCGTGTAGGGCCGGCATCATGTCCTCACAGGAACAACTGGCTTTAAATTGCTCTCGCTGAATCCCTCTCTTTCCCCCCCTGGGCTCCTGCTCCGTCCCTTCTCCCCTAGCTCCTCTGCCCTCCTATACCAACAACAGATGATGGCGCTTGACCCGCTCTCTCTCTACTACCAATCGAGTAAGAAGCCCCATCCAAGTAGAAACAACAATGCAAAATAGAACCATGTATCGATGACAAAAGGTGGCTGCTGTCGTCCCTTCTAAAAGAAACCTTTCCTCCCACATCGTCGCCCCTTGGAACGGACGCGCGCGTCCAGAAAAAGTACTGCTCACTTCGGAGCCAAGAAGCCGCCGTCGGTGCAAGGGCCGCAAAAGAATTCGTTGAGTAAATTCACTCTGGTATCGGTCTTTAATCAAACATGCTTTCCGTCGAGGGACGGCTGAGATGAGATGGCGTCGCACAGTCGAATCATGGAATTTCGGATCTCCTATTGCTCTTCCAAAAGTCGATGGCCTCAACGACATCCTCGCCCTTCTCGTCTTCGTACGCGAAAATGATCTGTAATTTTGTGTTAGCAACAGTGTCTCTCGCTGAACGACAACTAGACTTACCTCGTGAGTACTGCTGTGCAGCATCCGAATGTTCTTATGCGGCACAATGTGAACAGCACCAGTCTCAATGTTTCTGAGCTCGATGAAGTTCGGCTCAAATGCCAAGATCCACGGGTAGCTGAGAGCAAAGCTTTGCGGTGTGCCCTCCCAGTCGATGCGCCACTCGGGTCTCGCGCGCCAACCATTGCGGTTGACGAAGAACGAGAACTCGGAGTAGTTGAGCAAGAACTCTCCGTTGAGACGTTCGATATGAATCGGTTTGACGTTCTCCTTACGGGCGACGAAGTCAAGACTCGTGTCGGCCTGGTCGAGCAGCGATTGTGTCTCGAGAGTCTCAAGTGAAACAACCTCAAACCCACGAGCGCATGCCACACACAGCTTGGACTTGAGGAAATGGACAGACGACGATTCCGTGGGGATGTAGAACTCCTTAAATGGCTTAAGCTCATCCTGGACTTGGAACATCTTGCCGAAGCCCTTCTGCTTCTTGCCCTTGGACATCGCATCATTGGGCTCGTAGACCTTGATGGTTGTCGACAGAGCTGATGACTTGACGCAGCAGACAAGATGCCTGCCGAGGCAGATTCCTGTCTTGAAGAAGTTGCAGTGACTTTGAATCTTCTTAGGTTTCTTAGACAGAGTAGCCTCGTTCGGGTCAAGCGCTGCAAGGGGATAAGAGTACAAGGCTTTGTTGGACAGGACCAAGAGAAGCCCGTACTCCTCGAGAACATCGAGTTGGGTAACACTCGTCGTTTCGATGACACGCTTCGGTATCCCCTCCTTGCTCTTACGGTCAGACAGGTAGATACCATTGTCTGTGCCATACAGTAGCTTTCGGCCGCCATCGTAAGGCATGACACAGTTGACGCGGTTGGTGCCAACGAAGAAGCCGGCGGAGATGACGCTGGTGTTGAAGAAGTCGGCGCGGGCCCTCAACCTTTGTTGAGCATTGTCGATGAACTCGAGCCACTTCTTACGTGCGGCCTGGTTCGAAGCATACAGCGTAAGCTCGTATCCCGCCTTACCCAAGTGTCTAAACGTAATTGGCCAGCCTTCACCCTTCTTGTTGTCGTTCGTGTTGGCACGTAGCGCTGGCAGCAAGCTGGAAGACGATCGCTTCATGCCACCGGATCCAGGGATGACCTCCTCCATTTCCCTAATGGAAAGCAGTTCCAAAGGAATGGGCTATGCCAAGTTAGCTTCTTCATGGTGAAGTGGAAGACTACGATGCTCACCCTTCTGTAGGCCTTGATTTCCTCTCCCTTGCCAGCCTGCTTGACTCGCACCAGGAGAACCGCGTGATCGAACAAGAAAGCCGTGATTTCCGACGCGTCTTGCGGTGTCTTCTTCAACTGACTCTTGAACACCAATTCACGGCCCTCCTCCGTTAGTCTGAGGTCCACCCGCTCATTTGGTCGGAACCGCAGTTGCTCGTGCAGTCTCCTCAGGTTGAATCTGTTCTCGGCCTTTCCTGACTCGGCATTGACCCTGCTGAGAAGGTCGCGAATCAACTTCAGCACCTTCGGGATGTCCTCCCTGTCCGAGTTGCCTTCCTCAGTGTACTTCAGTACGTTCTCCAGGAGTAGCGGGTAACGAGCCAGACGAGTCGTAGGCTTGGTGAGATAACCGTTGAGTTCCAGTTTTCGCGACTCTTTTCTCCGCTCAATCTCGTCCACAAACTTGGCGAAGTACGGGTTTGAAGATCGCTCATTCTCGAACTCGAATTTGGCCTCCAACTGCCTGGAACCATACCAAATAAACGGCTCAAACTGGGGAACCCATTCCGCGAAGATATCGCCAATGTTTCCGACCACCGGGTTCTTCTGCTGCCGCTCAGTCAAAGACTTAGCAAAGCGCGAGCTCACGCTGTGGAGACTCGGGTGGTCGACAATATTGCTGAAGATTGCTTTGACAACCTTCTCCCTCTTGTTAGCAGGAATAGGAGAGGCTTTGGACCGCAGAGGAAGGATCCAAAAGTCGCGGAGGTACTCCAGATCCTTGACGAAGTCTCTCTCGGTGTAGCAAATCTCCGAGATGACTTCCTGCCTTTTCTTTTCCCTGTCACCAACGCTCTCGGCAATCTCCTTCGGCACTGAGTTGATCCAAAGCTTTTGTTCGTCGGTCTGGTCAATATCGTCCTCGTTCGTCGCAGCCTCGGCTTCCTTCTTCAGACCTGGCTGGATCTTCAGGTTCAGCCTGGATACTTGCTCCAATCTGCGGGGGCAGGCAATGGAGTAGCAGAGCTGGTCTCGTGTGCACGTGGGCGAGTAACACTCGGAAAGGAGGACGAAGACACCGTTTACCGGGTTCTCCTCGGGCTCGTCCATTAGGGTTTCTCGGAACTGGTACATTTCGGACGTCGAGTCTCGCAATCGGTGGTCGTAGGTAACATCGTGAAAGAATCGTTGGGCATCAAGCGCTCGTCCCAAGAGCAAGGCCAGGTTTCTGTCGGTCGTTCTAATAATGTACGACAATACATCAACCGCCTCGGCACCGCTGAAGGCGTTCTTATACGTGAGCTCGTTCTTCGTTCTGTCACCGGTGATGATTTTTTGTCGGAAACAGTCTGCTACTCTGGAGAGCAGTGCGGGATATACCAATGGAGGTCGGATTTTGGCCGTCGGTGGCCGTTCGCCATCGATCGACTTGCTCATGGAGGGCCTATGTGCCAGCGTCGTAGTATCGGATTCAGACGGCGTTATCGTAGGTGCTATCGTCGACGCCATCGACATGGTCCTCTGAGCGCCAGGATCTCCATTAGAGGAAGCCATGCTCGTCGTCCTTGTCTGAGACCCCGGCGCTGGTGTGTAGCCTCCTCCGAAACTGCCATTGGCGGTCGGCGGCTCCACTGGTGCTCTCCTGTTCGGAATCACTCGCCCGCTCATCGTCTGGTGCGAGTTTTGCTGGTACTGATGCAAGTCGCGATCCTGAGGGGGATACCCAGTCATCGACATGGCTCGATCATCGTGGCGTTCGGGAACGACGCGCCCTTGAGCTGTGGTTCGGGCCGAGCTCGGATTGTACGGGGCATGGCGAAAGGCATTGGCCGGGGCCTGGTGATTCGGCTGCGATCCGAAGCTGCCGGGCGGCGGTTGATACATGTTCGGTCTTGGGGCTGAGGCAAGAGACTGTGAGCGGTACGGATCGTTATTCAGCGCCGGTGCTGGCCCTCCTCCTCCTTGGTAAAACCTCTGTGCCGGGTTCCTTGGGCCGTACTGTCCTTGCGGCGGCGGTCCCCTCATGTCGCCGCGTTGAGGAACGGGACCCGGGGGACCAGGATACGGGCGACGAGCTTGCTGTTGCGGCATGTACTGTGCCTGAGGATTGGGCACTTGATAACCGCCCGACGCCGAGCGCTGCCCCGGATATCCATTCGGCTGCATTTGGGCCCCTCTCGGAGAGCCCGGGTCGCGATCCATATAGCCGCCTCCTGGAGGTTGTCTTGGCGGGGGTTGCCTTTGCATGCTCGACATGGAGGATGATGACATTGTCTGCGTTCTACCCTGGTGTGGCATCATCTGAGGAGGCATCGACGAGGAAGTCATGGTTTGGGAGCGTCCCGGCGGGGGATTGGCGCCGAAAATGTTGGAGAAGGCGGCATCGCGTTGAAAGTTATTCGAGTGACCTCGCGGGTCGCCGTGATAGTCGGCCATGATGGGATGGATCGATCTCGCTAGACTTTGCAACGGATGTTCTTATCAGCATCCGTTCGTTGTTGTTGGGCAGTTGATTATAAAGGGGAGATGGCGAGTTGTGCCAAGGTGGAGAAAAATGTGGTACAGGAATCGAAGTAGAGAGGTGTACTAACAACGCGAGGCCTCAACGGCCGCCAACTACGGTGAGGATACACGGAGCCGCTGAAGCCGCTTGCAGGGCAGAATTGGCGATGGCACCGACGACGTTCGGGTGGTCGAAGGAGCGGTGGTCGCGGCGTCGTCGGAGGGAGATCTTTTTTTTGGTGTTGCTTTTCGTTTCCCCTTCGTTCTATTCTCCGTCTCCTTTCCAGGATGGGCCGGGTGACGTTATGGGCCTCTGATTTGACACAGGGCCCTGACCCGGGCGGGTAATGTGAGGAGAGAAAACGCAGCGAGGGCGAAATCCCGTTGGGCCGCAAAAGGAGCGTCGAGTTCGAGGGCGAGGGCGAGGCAGCACGGGGTGCAGCAGCAATAACGATGCCGAGTAAAATGAGTGCCAAAGGCGACGAAATGTTGCGGTGGAAGTCAAAGGAGGGTCGGTGGTAGTCGTGGTTTGTTGGTGGTGGTAATGGCAGTGGCAGTGGCAGTGGCTGGAGTTGGGCAATTTGGCTAGGTAGGAGAGTGTTGGCCAGCGACAGTTGCTGCTGCTGCTGCTGCTAAGTCATCGGCATTGGGCTAGAATGGCCGGGACAAGAGCGTGGACTCGCGGCCAAGCGTGGAAAGCTGGGGATAGATTGGTAGGACAGGATGGACCTGGTGGGATGGGATGTCGCTGTCGCTGTCGCTGCCTCTATCTCTGGTTGCTGCCGGGATAGAACCATTAGAGACGAGACGAGACGGCAATCGGCCGTTTCTTTTGGTTCCGCGTGTCGGGTACAGTACGGCCTGCATTTCGCAGTCTGCATTCTGCGGCATGCAGCACTCTCATCAGCATGATTATCACCCTCCCTCTTTGCCCGATCTCCCTGGCATGGTGCTATGTTTGGCCCTGATTTAGGCTATCTATCTCTCTACAAGCGAATAACGCATTCAAGAACATCTCACTGCATAGGTAGCTGTAGGAGGCAGAACGAAAGAGGCAGAGATGACATGACAAGACAGGACAGCAACAGCGGTCTGGCGGCACAGGCACAGGACATGTCAAAAAAAGATGGTGGATCCCAAAACGTGCAAGTTTGACGATCCACTGAGGCGCTACTTCAGATGTTCAGCAGACTTGGCTGGTCCACCATCCATCTCCCCTCCCGCCGTTGCTTTTTAGACTCGAGGTCCCTAGGACTCTAACCTTGTCCCAGCATATGTCCTGGACATTGAAGGCGTCGTTTGGCCTGGCCTGGGCATTCTTTGGGTGTGAGCCAGGACGAGCACATGGCACATTCAGATGCGTAGGGTATCTAAGAATATCATATTCACCAGCCGGACCAGTACCTTTTTGCTGGGAGACAGGGACTAGGCTGAGACTGTCCGACGTGAGGTGGGCGGGTGACTGCCGGAAGAAATGGAGCTGCTCATGCACGACTGCCCCGGAATGATTCGAGGCCATCCTCTCTGTCTGCCTGTCGAAAAGGAAGTCTTTGTATCAGCATCTCGAGAAGCACCAGTTTCGAGGCTTCTGTTCAAGATACCGTTGTGGCCAACCAGGTGATGTGCTTCCCCATATCCAACCACCTCTTGCGACGAAAGGTAATTCGATTTACCTTTAATCACGCAAGGCACGTCCCGCCCCCTCCTTTGGGCAAATCTTAGAAGAAACCCAAACTTGAGATACATCTGCCTTGCATCGGGGCTGGATTCCGTATGTACATATCCGTACAGAATGGGCGTCCAAGGGGGAGATAAAAGTTGGCAGAATCCAGGGATTCCACTCCTCGACGATAAGGCGATGCATCGATAAGGAAATGCCGAGCACGGATCGCCTGAAGGCGTCTGCGTGGCTGCGCCGCGCACGTGCAGGGATCTCCACTTCCAAAACTCAACGACCTCCAGCCACGTCTTCAAGGATTATCTCAGCAGATGAGGCTGGTGTCGGGCCGGTGTTCTGCCGCGTCACGGGTTTCGCAGTCGTCCACATTGCACTCCTGATTGGGTCTCGTCACCGTCACCAAGCTCCAAGGTCCTGGATCCAGGTAGCGCAGACGAGCCATACATCGCGGGATCCTCGACACTCGCATACATCCCTCCACCCTCCGTCGGTCATCAACACCAATCCCGCATATCGAGACCGCCCTCACGTCTGCCCAACATGGCCGAAGACTCCGCTCTCGCCCCGAAGTTCGCGCCGTTCATCGGAATGGTAAGCTCCAGCTGCCGCGCCCCTCGAAGCATCGCTGGCCTCGCCAGGAGCTATGTCATAGACTCAACACCTCTTTGCTGACGCATGTTCTACATCTAGGCCGGCATCGCGGCTGCCATGATCTTCGGATGTACGTCCAACCGATCCCTCTCGACCTGATCTCCCATCCTTCCGCGCGACGAACGAGAACAAGCATGCTAAACATTATCGATTGAACAGGCATCGGCGCCGCATACGGTACCGCGAAGTCTGGTATTGGTATCGCTGGTGTGGGAACCTTCAGACCTGACCTGATCATGAAGGCACGCCACCTTGTCTCCTCGTCGAAGAGCTTCGTCTAACATTGCGCGCAGTGTCTGATCCCCGTCGTCATGTCCGGTATCATTGCTGTCTACTCCCTCGTCATCTCCGTCCTCATCGCCCAAGATCTCTCGCCCCCTGGCACGGGAAGCGAATACAGCTTGTTCAAGTCAGTCCTAGCCTACGCAATACCTGTGTCTCGATGCGCATATACGGCAAGAATATCCCACTGACTTGTCAACAGCGGTTTCATGCACCTTGCTTGCGGTGTTTCTGTCGGTTTCACCGGCCTCGCTGCTGGATACACAATCGGTGTTGTCGGCGACAAGGGTGTGCGCTCGTACATGGAGCAGTCCCGCGTCTTCGTCGGCATGGTCCTGATTCTCATTTTCGGCGAAGTCCTGGGTCTTTACGGGTACGTCTAGCAATGCGTGATAAAGCCCCTGAGCAGCAGCTAACCTCCGACACAGTCTCATCGTCGCCCTGATCTTGAACACCAAGTCCAAGGGCTAAACATCTCATTCCCTAATCCCACGAAATCGAAACGGCGAGACATATACGACATTTTAGCCACGCCCTTCAAACAACGTAACACTACTGTACATTAAGCGAGGGAATCCGCCGGAGCGCTAGTTCGAAGAGCAACATCAAAAGACGGGCCGCAAGGTGGTGGTCTCTGGTCCAAAGCTGCATATGGCACGGCGTTTTATCAGGAAACCCCTCATGTAGATTTTTATGTGTGTAGGGCTGCGTAGAGAAGCTCAGGCAGGGGATGGAAGGTATGATAAGGCTCCGGGTTCCGTATCTTTGAAATCTTTTGAAAGCAGACCGCGTTCCGTTCAGCCTGTGATGTTTGTCCCAATGACCTTGCGTCTCTGCTCGAGCCGAACGAAGTGTTCAATCTTAGGCATTCTACACAAACCGTACAACTTCACCACACATACAGATTAGTGTTGCTAGGGCCGGCATTGCATACATCTTAGACTGCGCCGACGAACACTGAAGAGGACATGTTTGGCCTACAACTACTACGTCTAAGACTTTCGAAGGCATTGAAGACATCCAAACCCATTCTATGCGTTATATCCCTGGACTGCAACCCAGTCTCACAGCAATACCATTATCCGTGGACAGAGGAATCAACAGAAAACGGCACTCGGCTGAAGGGTTAGAGATGTAACAAAGTATGAGGCGCCAGATTCAGTATATAATCGCACCACAGTCTCCAGTACGGCGAACCCCTGGAAGAATCGAGATAGCTGGGTGGTATGAACCCGAGTGCCGTAACAAGCGTCGAGAAGCCCAAGTCCGATCATCGGGTGAACGGTGTTGTCAACACGCCAGCGCGAGGTACCAAACAACAGCCAGGAGTTCTGGCATCGGCTTCCATCGCCGTTCGTCAAGGTTCTGGTAGAATAGGGTTGAAATACTCCGAGAAGACAATCTATAGAGAAAACCAATCTGTTCCGCATGGGTTCCTTCGTCTTCCCCTCTGTGCCCGCGTCTCCGCTGGCCTGGGCCGAGGTACCTTGCTCCAATGCTACTCTCAGAATTCGACTGGAAAAATCTGGCGAGACCTTTTCTCGTCATTCCCCTCCCGTTCTATTTAAGTGGATAGAGCATGCCGTAGATCACATCCAGCAACGGAGTGGAGCATCGCGCCGGTTTGTTCGCGGTAGCCCCATGAACTCAGATGGACATCTAGAATTCATCTGACACCGACAACCCAACCTGGTCGCACTGGCGAGACAACAAACGCAGTGTCTACCATTCCCATGTCGCTTGAGAAACATCACAAAGGGGCAAGGATTCATCGCAACACATCTTCCGGTAAACCACATCACGCTGGGTGGTGTACGCGTTCCAAGAAGATGGCTAGTGAGGATTTGACCTTTCTTACTCCCGCCAAGCTCTTTTTGACGGTGCAAGCAATGCGAACCCAAAGTTTTCAATATGCATGCCGTTTCCTTGGCTGATTCGTTTTGGTGATACTCAAGAAACAGCGATTCCGGATAATCCCCCCCTGACCGGCCGCTTGATGTGACTTTCGCCGCAGACATACGGCAGGGAGCTTGACAGCAACGCCCTATGATCCCCTCCTGCTGCAGGAACAGCATTGAGACCATTGTACCACCCCGAAGGTATGGACGCAACGTACAGGCGGTTTGCTTAAGGAAATAGAAAAGAACACTTGCCTCTTATATGCCGTACTCCAGGGCAGAATGTCTCAAGCGATAGTCTATGCGAAGCACAGAAAGCCTAGGCAAGGACGACAACTCAAGAACACATATTCCAGTTGGCTTTTGATGCCGCGAAAGGTCGAATTGGTCCGTATTTAACGAACCAATGCCATTGGACACGTCAAGCTTCCGCAGAGTAAGCGAATTGTTCGGTTTGATGCGGCAGTTCTGGAACACTCAGGGATGACCGCCAGTCGAGTTATCGAGACGATATGCAGGGTCTACATGTCAAGTCAAAAGGACCTCGAACGAATACGCAAAGATTACATCCAAGAAGACGACGGAAGACAAGACTGGTAACATACGATAGGCGTCGCTCGAGCAGGTGAGCAGCGAAAACACCTCGTCATCTCATCCCAACCGTACCACGTGTCTCATAGGAGATGACAAGTGCTGGAAACCTCAGTCTACAAGCCTCCAGTTGCTGAATTTCCTAAGGATATATGGACACGGGCATTTATACTACACTCCTACATAGAGCCGTTCGCTGGAATTCAAATACTCTCTGAGCGCATGACTCCCGACCTGATTGGCAAACCGGGCCCAAGATACAGCTCGTGTTGTTGGTTAGTGCTGTGTGCCTTCTTCTAATGTTTCCCGTCGCCACATTGTTGCCGAGGTTGTGTGGGAGTCCATCGCTCGTGATACCGGCGACCTGAATCCGTAGAAAGCCCGGGCAACGTGAGGACCCAAGGACACGGGGCTGAATCACGCGAATATGCTCCAGATACCAAGGACCAATGACACACCAGCGGATGAAGTATCCGCAACACGGGTTTGAACACGACAGTCTCCGCGATGAATCCCCGCTGAAACAACACACTACGTGGTCGATGAGTCCTCGAATCACTTCCCGTGCAACCGAGTTATCGTGACAGCAAGCTCATGACGGAGCTGCTGAAGAAGCTGTTTATACGGCATCTCAATGAGACATCCCGCAGGATACGGTTTGGGCGGTTCAGAATCCAACTTCACATGTTCAACCCGCGGAATCGCTCTGGCGCATGCGTCCTGAACAGGCCCGACTTTCCAATACGTTATCTCACAACGTGAATCAATCGTCTATAAAAGCGTCTTACAACACAATCAATCTCTTCAGAACAGCGCCACCAACATGGGTGAAGCGACAGCAAGGATTCCATGAGTGGCCATTCGCTTAAACTCAGCCATCCCAAATACCCGTCTCGAGACATCCTCATCCTCATCCAAAGCCCCAAACCCCAACGCCGCTCGCAACTCCCTACATGATTCAGACCGAATACACATCTAACGCCAAAGACGACGCAAAACAACAGTATCATGGCTCAGTCAAGACATTTAGATGGTGTGAGTGGTTCCATGGTCAGATGATGCCCTGGACCCATCGTGAGACGCACGAGAACGAACTTGGCGACGAAGCGAAACTTTGGAATGATCGCGTCCGTTATGAGACACTTCGTCGGTTGCATGGCTGTTTATATATGATGTAGTCGCATTCGGGGCTGATATGATGGCCCTGGAACTGACGTTGCGCAGAAGATTCACGGGCAACTCGAAAGTCTAGAAGGTAGGCACATGGAAACCGACGTATAAAACAACCCGTCTGGCGCAGGACATCAGAAGCATAACCGCAATTCTAATGTGTTGCTCCAGCGTCGCGAAGACGGGCTTGCGTTTTATCTTCTTGAGAAATATCAGTCAGGGTATGCTGCCTCGATTATGTAACCATCCCTGAACCCCCCAAGTCAGAATCGAGATCGGGATTCCTCTTCGAGCATCAAGCGTCCCTGGTGTATTGGAAAGAATACATACAGAACACTGCAGGACGCCAACAAGCACATACAATAACCTCAATCATCAGTCTCAACTCCCTCCTATTCTCGAAAGAATGACCAGACTGTAGCCAACACCGAAACCACGAAGAGAGTATCGTGTCCTGACCGGCCGCTGCGACAAGATATCACAATCAGGCATGTCCAACTACCACGGGTGTGCCAAACTCAGGCTCAACGGACTAATAAGGCGTTTTAATATACCCCCCTCTTCCGCCGTCCCACCACCAGCCACGACTTCAAGCTTCCTCATTGATGAATGATTCGGGCACCGAAGCTCAGGATATCCATCCGTCTGATCGATATAAAAGGGGGAGTTTGATGCATCGAAAGAAAAACTCACCAAGCTAGTACGGCCGTATTACCTCTTCGGCAATTCACGCTTGGCTTCTTCGGTTGTGTACGGATGACCCATGTTCTTAACATCGTCCCAAGTATCTCAGCATCAATACCCAACTCGAGACTCATTTCCGCAGAAAACACCGTGTCTCTTGCGTATTCGCCAAAGAATACAACCCAGACACAACCGACGAGAGACACACACTCAAATCCTCGAGTTAAAACACGGAAGCTACATAACAGCATCACGTCATCCCCCTAGCACACGCACGCTTGATACGCCCAAGGGACGCAGAACGATGGTGACATGTTTGTCACCCAAGAAGACGGCTATGAGTCAACTAATCGCTCCGTTTCCAAACCTCACAGATGTGGACCGATGACTGGCTTATATAACCCTCTAGACGCGGACTATCTGTGCCCATTGAACGGCACTGCTTCATCTTCACTGGTTTACGCCAAGGGCAAACGGTTGCGGGAGTTGTTGGTGATTTTGCGTCGACGAGACTGTATGACGCGTCCGGCTCGCCTCACTTTCACCCGGGGCGAGCTTGACAAGAAATCCCAAGACGTGCCAAGCACATACACTGCCGATGATTCCGCCAGCGTCTTGCACGGGTACCTCCAAGACACACTTCCAAAGCACGACGCGCGAAATCCGCCAGATACCTTCAATCAAGGCGTATGATGAAATCCGTTCAATTTGATTCACCCAAATCCAACCCCGAAACCCTAGCAGGTTCCCTATTCCCTACATTGATACGACGAATCGAACGAGATGGCCTCACTCGCCTCCAAGGCGAGGATGCAGCCCGACTGTTGAAAGTCCTCTCTCTCTCTCTGAAAGACAAAAGAAAAATGCCCATGCCCGTATCCCCCGTAAACCCAAGATGGAAATCGTCTCCTGGCCAGGAGGCATCATCGGCTCTCTTAAATGCTCTATCTAAGACGCCGATGGATGAACGTGAAGGGAAAAAAAGAAAGGAACCCGTAACTCCGATCCCAATGCATGTCGGACTCTCGTTTTCGCTCAGTCATATGTCGCATGCGCGTCGGAAAATTCATGAATCGTCTACCAAAGACGTCCCGCCAGGCGCCTGGTCAGCTTCTTTCGCTGAGAGGGCTGCTCGGTTTGGCGGACGTTTCGCCACGGGCTGCGTTCGCGGCCTTCCCAGGTCTGCATTTGCGCTGCAATCGGGTCAGTGATTGTGCTTCGGAGAGAGCGATAGGCTACTCACCGAGGAACCTGTTCCACCGCCGGTCCTCGTCCCACAGGATATCCTCCCCAGTCTCTCTGGCGAGCCTCTCCTGCCTGGCTCTCCCGGCGGCCTCTTCACCGACGAGATACGGGTCCTCGAGCGGACGGAACTCCCTCGCGCGTTGTGCGGCCTCCTCTTCTGCCATGCGCTCCGACATGAACCTCCGCAAGTGCGCTACGTGGTCGGGGCTGCTCTGGTTCATTCGTCGGCGGGCGACATTATTGATGGTCGGATTGGAATGCACGGTCGACCAGGTCGGGATTCGGAACTGGTTGAGTTGAGGAGTGGCGGCGGCGACCGGAGGGATCGGGGGCAGGCCGGAGCGGGGCTGCGGCGTCGTGGTCCCAGAGCGGGTCGGGGCCGGGGCGGCAGGGAGGAGTGAAGTCGGGTACTGTGTGGAGCCGTTTCTGTTGGCGGCGGCGCTGTTCGCCGGAGGGGAGTAGGCGGGGATCGGCTCGGGGTTGGGTGCCGTGGAATGGTATGAAGGTGCGTCCGAGACTTTTTGTGTGATTTGACTGTTAGTTCGGCTTTTCAAGACTTGTCACTGCAACAGAGAGCTGGTGGTTGTTGGTCAGACTCAGGCAAATCAGGCGGCTCGTCCACCGCCAGTGCAGAGCTCCCGGTGTCCCACACGCGACCTCGTGATGGAGTTCTAACTCACAGTAAGACGGTGCGGCGGAGCGGATCGAGGCTGTTTCAAAGTCCTCCAAGTTCAGCGCATCGGGGCGCGAGGGGAAAAATCGCGGGTGTTCGAGCACAGCGGTGGCCATGTTGGTTGGTCTTGATTTTGGCTGAAGAGGCGCAAGTTGTAGGGCGGGGTTCTTTGAGAACTTCAAGAGTAGCCTGTCGAAGGTAGGATACGAAAGGTGGAAGAGAGGAGAGCGACCATCTAGTTCTGGGAGGTCCTTCGAGAAAAGCAGAGCAGGCGCGGCTGGAGGATCGCCGGGCGGTCTGATCTTTAGGTTTGTGTCGTGTTGTAGGATGGCGAGCGTCGACAGCGGTACGGGAAATGAATGTGCGGGACGTAGATGACGCCTTTGAGGGCTCCAAATTCTAAGACAAGGAGGTCAGAGGAGAGAGGAGGAAGAAGGAGTCGGTCACGCTCGAGGCGAACAGAAAACGAGGTGGACGCGGCGGACGGATAAAGCAGTCCAAAAGATGGCTGCAGCTCTCAGTCCAGGCCGGCGGGAACTGGGATGCCTCTGCCCGAAGAGTGGGTGCCCTTGGTGCGTGGTGTGCGTGGCCGCAGAGGGAGGGGGTGTGGTGTGGAAGTGGAAGCTTGTGTCTTGGCGCAGCAGTAGCCGCGAGCCGCTCGTATGTATCTTGTTGTAGTCCTCGGGGGAGGAGGGGACTTTGTTTGCGAGTTGAAGGAGGTGCGGGACACGTGAGAAAGAAGGGACGAGAGAAGAGCGGCGGTCCAACGACGGGAATCCGAACGCAAGCCCAGACGGAAGCGGATACTGGGGACTGGTTTGCGGTGGTTTGGTGGTTTGGCAGGGCAGCAGGATGCAGGTCAGATGTACAGTTTTCCTCTTTGAGAAGCAGAGGGAGGGGTGAGGGGTCGAGGCAGTGGAAGGGGGAAATAGAAGGAGATGGATGGCATGCAGGTTGGGCGTGGATGGTACCCTTATACTAGATCAGGATAGGGAGGTCGAAGACGAGGAACAAATCCAGAAGCCGGTCAAGAGGAACGACAGGGCTGGCTGTCAGTCAGATAATGGAGGCAGCCAGATTACCTAGCGTGTAAAGTCGAGATTGTTGCTGTAGATGGAGACGCTTCCAGGAAGAAAGGTGCATCACTACGAAACACTGGAGACGGAAAGCAGCATCGGCATGAGCATGAGGATGAGCATCAGCATCAGCAATCAGCAAGCGGGGCGTCCCGGGCTGGAGAGGCCGAATGGAGGACAGGAAGTGGCACCCGGGGCGTCGTGTTCCTGGCGCAAAAAGCGTGCCGGTGCCCAGCATTGGCTGACGACGATGGGGGCATCTGTCATGGCCGGCGAGCCCCATTCTGGATTCCGGGGGGCGTGGGCAGAGTGGAGGGAGATGGATAGTGTTGTGGGAATGGTGCGGGTTGTTCGTGGTGGATAGGATGATGGGATTGGGATTCCGCTTGGAGAACCAAAGCGGGAGTGAACGACAGGTACGATGCATGGCTTGGCTGGACCAGGACGATTCAGGAAAAGCAGAGGGGGCATTCCGAGGTTGAGTTTGTGGTGGAGGTAATATTGAGCGTTGAGTTGAGAATGAGATGCATGAAAGGTACTGTAGAAAGAGGAGAGAATGATACAGACTCGGTAGAGGGGAAAAGAAGCAACGAAGAAGGCGTCAGCAAGCGCGGGGTCAATGGAAGATCCACTTGGTCAGTCTTGCAGCTTCCAAACCATTTCCATGTTCGTCTCGTCGTGTCGATTTGACATTTGACGGCACCGAAATAGCGGCATTATTAGCAGCACCAAGCAGCAAACACGACACACGGCGCACCCAAGGTAGGAGCTTCAGCACAGCCCCAAAGCCGCTAGAGATGGCTGGTCCACCAACGCCGACGCCCCCCGAAGCCCCCGAGATGCCACAAAACACCTCACTCCGTCGTGTCTGTTGAGGCATATAAGTCAACAAGGTTTCCATGGCTTGACATCTGTTCTTCGTGCACGGTTGCACATGTTTATGGACGACGAGAGGCTGCGTGTTTATCTGCTGGTTTCTGCATGGAAAACAACAGCGGTCAGGGCCGTTCATATGTCTAAGGCGATGTTTTGTTTCCCGTCCCGTTCACCGCGGCTTCTCGTCCAGTCGACGTGCTTTCTGGACGTCTTGGCGGGGAAACACCGGCCGCAACTTTGTGGACCCCAAAGACGTACACGGAGTACTGCATGTATTCTCTTGTATCTTCCAGAATCGATGGCGGGGGTTGCACCTCGGGTCAATCCATCCGCCAGCCATCTGGGATCCCGAGCAGGGATCGAGGGAATTAAATACGCTGGAGCTGGCTCCGGACATAACTGCACCTAAGTTGGGTGGTGGTTGGTAAGGCTGTTGACAACTCAAGATGATAGAGTTCGACAGGACATGACGAGGACTCTGGCAACATCGATATCACTCCCGGATACCACTTCAACAGCATGCGAGAATGTGATGTGGTGGTCGTAGAATGAGGTGCTCTCCGCAGCGCCCAGCGCCGGGACGACACGGATTCCCCGCCGCTTCCCCACCACGGCGTCAACCCTGAGTGATGTTAGTGTTGAGCACGTCGACCTGGATAGTTACGGACAAATGCGAAGTGCAGCCCCCAACCAACAAACTAACGACTCAGTAAAAAATACACAACTCGCCAGAACCGTATTGACAGACCTTGTCCCGTTAGTAAGGCTGAATCCATCGCTCAAGCCCAAAGTCGAAGAACAACCAGCCAGCATCCAAGTCTGCCTGCTGCGTTCGCACTGGAGCTACGTGTAAAGCCCGCCTTCGCCTTATCCACTATGACGAACAATCATCCCCAGGCCCAGCCCTACACTGGCAATCCCAAAACCTGCTTCTCTGCAACCCGTTCTCCGATCATCACAATGTTCTTCCTTCTCTTAGATGACCGGGCTTCGCTGAGCCGCGTTCCCGACCCGTCTGCTTCGCTTTCTGGTTCATGTGGAACTGAATGATGCTGCCGTGCAGAAAACAGTGGGTTGGACGCGACGAGATACCTACTCTCACGTCTCTGCGCAGAATCCTCCCAGCTTCGAGATAAACAGACGCGTGAACTTATCAACAACGTACCCAACGCTGTCAACGTCACTGCCACTGTCACACCCAGACCGTCCAGCCACAGCGAATCGCCTCCCCTGAGCTACTCCGACACGGTGTTGCACTATTACTCCCCTTGGTTTTCTCGGATACCAATCGTTACCTGAAGAAGAAAGAAGAAATGTGGCTTGACCCCGGCGCCCCGATGTGGCACATGAGCACACGACTCACTCACAAGACCACCTCACCTCACCGACCCGGGCCTGGGCCTTGGGGATTTTCGATGTTGATGTTCACGACTTGCATGCACCTCGGAGTGTTTTTTCTCCAAATGATCATCGCCTTTTTATTTCTTTCGCGAGGGGCGTTGCGTGCAGTAGGTAGTAGTGTACCATTCGTCCCTAGGTTGTTTTTAGCTTCGCAAACCGCCGGACGGCAGCTGAGAAGGCGCCAGATCGGCGCTGCAGCAAAACGAGTCGAAAGAGCGGCGACTGGGCGATCGATCTGGATGCCCAATTCCCATGAGGGGGGTGTCTCGTTAGGTCATTTCTGTGTGAACAGTCAAACTTTGACAACTCGCGAATCCTCTTGGCCGACGGGAGATGTGCTCGTCTCCGTGAGGATCATCATCGTCTGCGAGCCGATATCCGTTCTGCGAAAAGAGGAAACTGCGTGTTCTGACGATAATGATAGACGGTCTTTTTTTTGATAGGTGACGGATTTGACGGAGACATGTCGTCAAGTTTCCCCATTTGCGAACAAGGCATCCGGCACTCGGCCGCACCGATCTCCATATTCTCTCCATGTGTTCGCAGGGCTGGGGGTGATATGGAGTCTGGAGGGGCTTTGACCTTTTTTTGCACATGCGGTATGACATATTCGATGGGCGACTTTGTGTCTGCCTTGCTTTTTTGTCAGGGTTGGTTGGCGTGTCACTCTAGACCCGTTGAAGAGTGGAATGGCCGACTTCAACTGTACAATGTCAGTTCTGGTATGTTAAGACCTGTTTCGCTCTGCTGTCGACGATGTTAAAGTCTTGTATGTCTGGGTGTATTAGACGCGTCGAACGAGTCTCCAGGCAGGCTTTTGTCTTGGAACCCATAATGTCAAGAAGGGCTCTGTGGGACACTTGAGACCTTTTGAAGATGATGTTCTAGCGAATGGCTGTCCATTTTGAGAGGAGCCGTGATATACAGGCTCACCTGTCGCCATCTCACTATCTCGTACAGGCCCGGATCTGAAGTGACGTTCCCTATCTGTTCGGTCTGGTATGTCTGCTCTTGTGATAGTTAGCAAGCTGACCCTGCTCAGAGAGTCGAATACTTAGACTGCGTCACTGTGACTTCCGTCAAAAACAACTTTAACAGTACTTATAAGTTGCTTACACTTCGTTATGGCTCATTTTTACAGCAGATGCTGAAGGTAAGCGGGGTATCTTAAGCTCTATTCAAATCTCAGCCGTGACCACATTCTATTACATGCGACGGCAACACGTATTCTCTAACAAACGAAATCAGTCCCAGCACCTCTACTCCTCACAAGCGCCCCTGCAGTACTCAGCACCAGCGGGAGGTGGACACCTCGCGCCGTCAGGCACAACCCCGCTCGCGCCGCCCGAGACGCCCTCCCCGTTGAAGTAACACCTCCCAATGTCCTTCTCGCACGGGTTCCCCGGCCCGGGGCAGCAGTACCCGTACGCGTTGATGTCGAAGTTGTAACAGGCCACCGGCGCGACCGTCGGCGCGGCGGACGCCGTCGTCGTCGGCTCAGGCTGCACTGTCATCGTCTCCAGGATGGACGTGGTGGTCGAGACGGCGGCGGTCGCCGGGACGGACGCGGTGGTCGTCGCGCCCTCCCAGTCCACCAGGGGCACCTTGGCCAGCAGGTCGAGGAAGGCCGTCTGGTTCATGCCGGACCAGTCCTCGCAGGCCTTGTCGACCTTGGGGCCGTAGGCCTTGGGCGCGCAGCTGGAGCTCGTCGGCGGCGACGAGCTGGTCGAGCTCGGGGCCTGCGTCTCGCGCGGCGTATTGGAAGGGGTGTTGTTGTTGTTGTCGCCGGAGGGCTGGTTGGTGTCGTTTGACGGATCGCTGACGGTCTGGCCTTCCGGGACGGGGACGATGACGCCGCCGAAGTTGGCGAGGCCGCCGCCGGGACCGCCGAAGGCGACGGCGCCGGCGGGGATGACGACGGCCACGGCGCCGGAGACCTCGATTACTTCTGCGCTGGAGGAGGGTCTGGCGGAGGAGACTCTCGAAGCGGGGGCTGCTTGTCTGGTTAGTAAAGATCGAATCAGCCCTGTGAGAAATGGATGTACTTACGCTGCGAGGTGGTGCTGGGCCGCGCGGGCGGGATGGGCGTGCGAGAGGCGGAGGCCGATGATGAGGGGGGCACCGAGGAGGTCGAGTTGGAGAAGCCGATCTGGCGCCTCACCTTGGCCAGAGTGGAGGGGCGGGCGGGCGCCGGGCAGGCGTTGGGTTGCTCGTCCTCGATGGGGAAAGTAGCGACGTCGAGCGCGAAGAGGGCGAAGTTCTGGGCGTTCTTGGCTTTCTGTGCGGCAGACAGACGGGAGCAGCTGGATTATTCGTGTTAATCAAAAAAGCCCTCAGTTCATGGTGTTGGCAATAAGCAAGGCTCACCAGTTAGCAGAGTAGCAATCTTCCGAACGGTCATCGAGGAAGCCGTAGAACGGGTTATCCAAATCATCGGCGCGCTCGCCGTCGCCGGTGGCGATGAGCATGTGCTGGACCTCGTGCACGAGGGAGAACCCGCGCGACATGCTCCCGACGGCGCTCTCGGCGCGCCAGTGGTCGATCATCTGCTTGTTGGACGCGCGCGTGGCGTCGAAGAAGGTCTCGCAGAGGAGCAGCATGGTGGCGCCGAAGACGGCGGGCGCGGACTCGGTGGCGCTGTTGACGCCGGCGACCATGGCGCCGTCGGCGCAGGGGCCCGTGGTGCCGGAGCAGCCGTAGACGAGGCTCTTGTCGGTGACGGTGTTGGGCGGGAAGAAGGGCTCCGGCTTGAAGCGGAAGGCCGTCTCGACGGTCGGGGGCTTGAGGGAGTCGAGGACGGGTTGGAAGTGGCGGTCCCGGAGGGTTGCTACCGTGGCGCCGCCGCCGGAATCTGGGGGATGGACTTCAGTATGGGTGGATGGTGAGTTACGGGGTGTCATACCGGATCCGAACCAGCTGTAGTACGCCGGCGATTGAAGCACGTTGGGGTGTTTCAGCGCGGTGAGAGCCTCGTTGGCGAACTCGTGGGCGTCGGTGACGGCTTGCTCGATGGCGGTGATCTGGTCAGGGGTGCACGACCACGTTCCCTTGATGATGACGGCCTCTCCATCGAAGGGGGCCCGCTTGAGGATGGGTTCGTCCGATGCGGCGATTGGCGAGATGGCCAGCAGGGAGCCGGCCAGGAACGAGCGTAACGTGAATGACATGTCGTAGTGAGGGTGCACCAAAGAATGAACGACTGTGGGAATGAATGAGTGATGAGATGAGCCTGGCGTAGGCGTCGAGGGCTATCATCTCAAGCCGGGAAGACATGATGAATACTTATCTTGAGATATCTCATTGAGATTCATGTTGTCTTCCATATTTGGTTTTCTTGGGATAACTCTATTAGACGACATGTTTGTTCTAGAGATGGCGGAAAATCTACCCGAAACACATCGGTCGGTGGATGGTGCTGTCAGAAAAGTCATGATCCTGGGCGTGCCGAGCGAGGTTGATGCGAACCCGGCACCACAAATAGCACTGGGCGAGGTTCAGCCGGGTCCAGTAGGGCTGTGTGTAGATCAGGGTCACGCCTGGAGGCAGAATGCGGTTTAGATGCCTAGCCCTGTGGAAGCTGCCAAGCGGCATGTCGTGATTGACTTGCATCTCCAGCTTTAAGTCGCGGACCTTGGCGGCAATTGATAGAGGGTACATGAGGTTGCACGTGGCATGAAGACTTACAAATAGTTCGTTGTCGAGGCAGGTGATCTTAAACTTAGCCCTTCTCCGCAGCTAGACGGGGTAATCTGCTGTAGGGCGTTCATGCAGGGCAAGATAACGAAGTCAGTCATACTTTGACTGGCAGCTGTCATCCATTCCAGTTTAAAGTCAGGAAGCCAACTTTAGCTTATCTTGTGGGACTCGTGTGTCAGGGACAGTCTATGCGAGACTCACCCCAAATAGAGGTGCACAGCGAGCTGTTAGCCGACCTTTTCTGGTCCAACACGGCCATGTAGGGCGCATTCCTAAGTCCGCCTGGGTTTACTGTAGATAGAAAATGGGGGGAGGGGGCGCAGCGTTTGTCTGAACTCTAAAGACTCGCTAGCGGGTAAGGCAAACCCATGAGCTAGGATGGTCGAGATCAGACTGAAACGGCCGTGTTAGCTTGGGATGGCTACGTCATTTGATCCAAGCGGATTTATGTGAAAGGGCTGTTGTCATCGGAGCACACTGCCCTCAAGTGTTGAGCGTTTTTCTGCGTTGGAATCGTCGGCTGTCGCCTTATGGTGATGCATGAAGTGGCAGGAGAAACCCAAGAGCTCGAGTGGTTCGTCCCATGCCTGGTTACCGGCGTAGGGAATCCGTGTTCTTTGCCAGGCAACAATGACAACTTCGCGCATCTCGATCGGCTTAAGAAGTACACCGGCAGAACGAAAGTGGCCTAAATCCCTCGCGAAAGCTGCAGCCAAACCACACGGCAACTGCGGTTCGCCATGGAAAAAGTAAACCACCATCACCAAGATCCCGGGCCAAGGCTAACAGTAGCACACACACCCCCACCATCCTTTAGTCGTCCTTCTTCCCAACCGTGCCGCCCTTCCTGAGACCCCAAAACGCAATGACGACGACGGCGACCGTCGCGGCGAAGATGGTCCAGAAAGCGGCGCGGTAACCCGCCATGCGCGCCTCCCTGGGCTCGTCGGCGCCCGAGTGCTCCGTCACGGAGGACGCGATGGCCGCCGTCACGGCCAGGCCCACCGCGTTGCCGATCTGGCCGACCTCGGCGAAGACGCCGCCGGCGAGGGACTGGAGGTCTGCCGGGAAGGCGTCGGAAATGATGAGGTTCGAGACGGTGAAGAGGGCTGCGCGTTTATTGTTAGGTTCTTTGCTTTATTCTCAGGAAACACGATAGAGAAAGGGAAGTCGTTACCGTCTGCGCTCACTGGCGATAGGGCTAGAGCCCAGAACGGGGCGTACCAGTAGTAACCGCTGATGTCGACCGTCGCCATGACGAGGGGCGCGGCGATGGTGATGAGAGCCGAGACGCCGGCTAGAGTTTGGACTTTGACTCGGGAAACGAGCCAGGCGCATGCTACGTTCACTGCGGTGCCCATGACGATGTGAGGCAGGAACCGGAGGGAGCTCTGCAAGGCGGACACGTGCTGAACCTCTTGGAAACTGCGGCTGTCCGTAAGCGTTGCCGGGGTTTCCAGGGATGATTATATACTTACAACAACATGATGAAGTACTGAATCGAGTTGAGGGCGGCCCAGCTGAGAAAGATGGACACCTAATCACATGAACAAACAAAAACATGTATCGAGATACAGAAGACTTACACAGATCGAAGTAAAGGAAGCGTTCCGCCAGAGACGGTTAGGTATCAGCGCAGGGCGGTTCCTCTTGACTTGAAATTCCATCCAAATCGGAAAGGAGGCCAGCAGGACCACTGCGACGATCAGAAGAGCAATGTTGGACGCATCGCCTAACTTGGTGTAGGAAGACGTCGTCATGGCCAACACGTACAACAGCAGCCCGAGCGCGACGCTGACGATGATGGCTCCAATCCAGTCGATGTCTTCAGACAAGCGGCGATTCCATTTCTTCTCCGAAGTCTGATGGACGGATGGGAGAGACCAGATCGCTGCTGTCGACAGACAAAGATTGATCATGGCCATGAGGTAGTAACCCCAGCGCCAGCCAATCGTGTCTACGAAGATGCCACCCATTACAAGCCCAAGAGCTGCAAGACTGGGTTAGCAATTATCTCCAAAGACGGGTATCGGAAATCATGTCATACCATAGCCTAGCGGAAAGCCAATGCCGTTCATCGAGAAGGCAACGTTGCGCCAGTTGCCCTTGGGAAAGGTTCTGGTGATGAAGCTCATGGCCGTCGGGAGACACATGGATATCGAGATACCCAGGACCGTGCGAAAGAGAATGAGCTGAATACCGGTCTTGGCGAGGCCGACGGCCACCGTGAACACGGCGAAGAGAAAGCTGCCCGTCAACCACATGGGCTTCGCACCCACGACGTCGGCGACGGCACCGAATATGAGCAGGAGACATCCTGCTGCGAGGGAGTACACGGCGGCAGGCCAGAGGGAGAGACCGTCGGAGAGCCCGACGTCCGAGGCGATTCGCGGGAGGCCGGCAATGAGGAGGCCGGAGCCCATGGTGTTGAGGAAGTTGACGCCAGCGAGGGTGATGATGACTGTGACGCCTTTTGCTCTGGAGACATTTCGGGATGGTGAGTCGGTTGGGTTCTCGGTGTCTGTTGGCGGGATTGATTGGCTCGCAGTGCCAGTGGCGGCGTCTTGGTTGACAGAGTCTGGATGCTGGCCGTTGTTGCTCTTTGATGACTTCAGTGAGTGCATTTCGACGTCTGGTGTCGGTTGGCCAGCGCCCTGGACCAACAATGCCTCTGGCATTTCCTCTTTCACACCCATTGTGCTGTGTCCTGTGAAGTGGCTACTGAAATAGATTGTTTGAGATGTTTGACATAATATCAAGAAATTGGCCTCTAATCATTCGAAATTTAAGGCAAAATACGCAGGACTGAAGCCTTTGAAGACAACTTTGACACCATTGCGCTTGCAAGTGGAGGGCGTGCTGCATAGTCGTAAGAATCAGGCAATTGACTGCAACTTTGCAGGGGAGAAATGCAGGATTACCAATCAACCGAAATTGGTATCAATCTTCAACGAGGAGAACGACCAGAAGTCCCTGCAGAACTCGCCGCTGTGAAAGCTGACGCCATTGAATTCTCAGGTGAGGGTGAGAATGGACGGTCAACCTGAGGCGTACCGGGAACTCCACCAAGCTGCAATTGGAGATGTTTCCAACCTGGGAAAACCGAGAAGCTCGGACCATTGAGCGATTAGATAAGATAACTGGACGTCTTCCCATCATCACGTGACCCCGCGTACAGTGCCACCGCGCTTCAGGCAGCTTTGTCCCCGCCAGCGCGACGAGCGCGAACAGTGTTGCAAGCCCCTCCGACGCAAACCGTCCTCGTCCTGCGCAGACCTGCGCCCCCGCAACCTCCCTCGAGCCATATCGACCCTACGATGCATACGAGATCATGGCGGCAGACCAGCTCTACGGCAAGCCGGCTGGCGCTGCCGCGAATGTGCCGCCTCCATCCACGCTAGCCGCCCAGCTCGTCGAAAATATTTCCGCCTCGACCAGGTCTTCACGATCCGACGAGAACGCGGAGCTGAAGCGGCTCATGGCTGTGATAGAGAGGATCAAGAACAACCCCGAGCTGCTGAAGACACCCGAAGAACGAACGGAGCACAACCACATGCTCATCTACGTGTACGCACGCGTCGTCCTCGAAGGTATCAAGCTCGATGACGTCTTTGCCGACAAGGACCGATTGCGGAACGAGGCGCTCAAGGCGATCAATTTCATGAAAGTCACGATCGAGGAGACGCCGAACGTCTTGAACTATACTACGGATGGGAAGCAATTCGTGTTTCGCGGGGAGGAGCCGCTTTGGCTCTGGGTCTTCCCCAAGGTACTGAGATTGCTTGGCCACGCTCGGTGTCTCGACCTCACGACGGCAATCGAGGGCTTCTTCCGGTTTCTGATACTCGTGGCCATTCGTGCGGGGTCAATGTGGTCTTTGCTGTCTTCCATGATCATGTATCTTCGGGAGACGAGTAATAGTGAGTTGCACTCAGTGACCGTCGTGCACCAACCCTGACTAACACGGATGCTCCCAGGCTTGCTGTCTCGCCTCCAAGATCTAGTACCGACTGTCGTTGGCAAAGATGTTCTCATAGACATGACCCTACCTACCGCCGGTACGCTCGAGTTGCTACTTGGAAAGCCTGGCACTCTGTTCGTACAACAAACTACATACTCTCTCCCGCACGTGTCGCAAGGCATGCGTCAGGCAGCGGCTTTAATATCAACACTCGCGCATCCATCCGTTGCCCAAAACTCAAATATTTTGTCTCGATCGTCGTTTGTCGAGCTGAGGCCTTGGCTGCTTGACTCGTTGCTTTCTCTCCGTGCTGTGCAGAACACATGGCAAGCCGTCGTGCCAACCGCAAGAGCTGACTTGCTCAACATCGCCCTCAACCTCCTCCCAGAAAAGCCGCCGACAGGAAAGAAGGCCATGCTCGCACAGAAGGCTTATACTTCACTAGCTTTGCTTTGCGCCGAGCTCGCAGCACGTCCAGATGAGATTGCAGGTTCGGATGAACCAAGTCAATTCGCCAGGAGAACCCTCTCCGTAGCCCTCTTACGCATTGCACGAGCATCGCTAGTAGACCGCGAGATTGGCAGACTGGCGGCACCCAAAATTGTTTTGCCTTTGGAGCTTCTTTGTATGGAAATTCCCGCTCTCGGAGAACTCGATGGCAATGATTTTCTAGTAGGTTGACTGCCTTGTTATCGTCGACTCCAGGCTCACATCTATAGCGCTCTCTTCGCGTCCTGAAGCAAGCTTCGTCACCAGTTGCCCCTAGAAGTCTCGAACCCGGAACCCAGCCGGCTCAGTTCATCGATCCCGAACTTAGACTCCTAGTTGAGCGTCTTGGAATTGCCGAGAGCTCTGTTAAGGAAACGGAGGAAGCTGAACCTTCCATCAAGCGCAGAAAAGTCTCAACAGAGGCCAGTGGAATCTCCGAATTGACAGCGCGTATCAACGAAGTCCTCGGCGCGGCTGACGGTATAGGCGGTCTTGAGCACAACTTTCTGTAAGTTAGCGTGCTCTTCAAAACATAACCTCGGAAGCTGATGGCCCTTAGAAATGCTTATCCGCAGATCGACGAAGAGCGCCAATGCCTCGCCATTGACTTGATATCACGCACTTGTTGCGCCGCTGACATGACCCTGTCAAAGGACGAGCTTCCCACAAGCAAAGACGGCAGGTTACCGTGTATGTCCTGCGATCGGAAACTCGAAGGGCCCATGAGGCCGGAGGTGATCGATATACAGACAAAACAGGAGGCGCAGTCGACTTTCGCAAAACTCATCAACCTCACCTCCTTCAAAGAATCCAAACGACCAAGAGTGGTTGCGATGATCGCCATGAGACGACTCATCAACCACACCGATGATCTCGAGCTTTTCGACCTGGAAACCTCACCTCTCGGACAGTGGTGTCTTCAGAGCCTGCACAGCTCTATAAGAGAGCTGCGCATTGCTGCAGGGTATTACCGTCGAGCATCTTATTGTCGTGCATTGCTGACCTCGTTCGTAGGAGGGCATTGGCTCTATTCCTGAAGGCCTCAGCGTCACCAACCATAGACGTCGCTGTCGTATACCGTAATCGAAAGAATGCACTCAGTCTTTTGAAAGCTTCTTCTGAAAAGGAAACAGTCCTCTTCCATGAGACTGGGGTCTTGGCGTGGAGCCAGCTTGGACGGTAGGAAACAACATGACCCGGAACCGCCATGTGGACGAGGTGCTAATATCATGCTAGGGCTGTGGATGGAGATGAACTGAACCTCATCTTACACAAGTTGCTGGAATATCTTGGCAGCAGCAACAGCCTCATTTCATCATGCGCATCCATTGAGGTAACTTAAGCCGCAAGAGTCATTAACGAAGGTGGCTGACACCAGACTAGATTATGAACTTGGCCGCAGCTCGTAACGTGACACCACGTGGATTGTTCGAGCCTTTCTGGAGAAATCTGGCGTACTTTGCGATCAAAGACATGGTGTCTCGACCACAAATCAGTCGATCGATTGCTGAAGTCTTACAAATGTCCGTCAACGAGTTCCTTCTGCTTGTCCAGAGCCATGCGATCCCTTGGCTCGTGTTGATGAAGAAGAAGGAAGTCATACAAAAGATTGCCGAAGCCCGAGGCGAAACCGACGTCTGGGTCCCCATTCTGGACGGTGCCAATGCTGGCGCCACTATCGCATTGCTCCTCGTTCAGGATGTGCCGAATATTGAGGAGTTTGTCATGTCAAGGCTCGTCGAGGCGTCGGCACACATAGAGTCTTGGAGCCTAGTTGAGCTTATGCAGGGCGAAGCCGTCATGATTGTCCTCGAACTCCTGAAGCTTGCAGGCGAGGCAGACGAAGCTCGCAAACCCCGAGTAAGTTGCAGATTCTTGTTTGCGTAGTATCAATGCTGACCTGCAACCAGATTATCGAGGCCCTTACAACAATGAGCACCATGATTATGGTCGCAACAAAGGAACCAAGACCGAAAAAAGGCAACATCATCGGTCGATTTTTGCAGTCATATATCCTCGGCCTGATGGCTCGGCTTGCGGATGTCATTAACGACATGCCCTTCTTGTGTCCACCGCCAGAGGAGCAAAATCGTTGCATACGCGCCATGGAGGAGATGATACGACTTTGCAAGGCATATGTGCGAATTGCGCGGCCACAGGCGAGTTCACCTGAATGTGGTATTACTTCCCTATGCTGACTTTCCCAGATTGCTGCTTGCCTCCTGTCAGCACTTGCTCAAGACGAGCTCAGAGAAGCGGCTTTCTCCTGTTGGATTGCTCTACTGACTTATCTCGAGGCAGAGGATGTAGAAGTCCTGCTTGAAACGACCTTCTTTGTCATCAATCACTACTGGCCCTTGATTGAAGACAAAACAAGGGCCAGAGCCAGAGATATGATGTTGAATCTTCTCAAGAATTTCAACCTGGTCCTCGTGGACAACATTTGGAAACTCCCATCCCTGGGCCACATCTCTGAGCTCGCAGATATCGAGAGTCAGCTCCAAGAGCTGCGGCAACAGCAGCCCATTGCTACCAGAACAGCCATTGCCATCTTTGCTGAGCGCGTTTCCCATGAGAACTCGGGCGTTGTGCTCCAAGCCTTGACAGAGCTGGTGGGATTCCTCAAACAAAACGGAGGTTATCTCCAGACTTCAGCCATCGGTCAGCAACCGGATTCCGTGGTTTCGACATTATTGCGAGCTTTACTCGACTGCGCATCAAAGTACAGTGCTCTGCAGCTTGAAATCGCTAGTCTCTGCACACAATGCATTGGTCTCGTGGGATGCCTCGACTCTAACAGAGTGGAGGCAGTCCGAGAGCAGAAGTCCATGGTGCTTTTGAATAACTTCGAGAATGCAGAAGAGACGACCGACTTTGTGCTATTCATTCTCGAACAAATCCTCGTCAAAGCATTTCTGTCCACAACAGACACGAAACTGCAAGGCTTCCTCTCCTATGCTATGCAAGAACTCCTGGATAGGGTGGACATCAGGGCGGCGTGTGCCATGCAGAAGACTGGCGTGCGAGATGGCGCGGCAATCTACAGGAAATGGCTGGCTCTGCCGGAGAACATGCGAGAGATCCTGACGCCGTTCTTGACATCCAAATACCTTTTGACGCCCATCAACATAGCGCCGGCTGAATATCCCATCTTCCGACCAGGCAAGCCATACGGCAACTGGATGCGCTCGTTCAGTATGGATCTCCTGCGCAGAGGACAGAACGGGCACGCCGACCTCATATATGAGCCTCTAGGGCGCACTATTCGAGTGAAGGATCTGACTGTGGCGGAATTCCTCTTTCCGTACTTGTTCCTCCACGTCATAATCGGCAATCGCAGTACGCGGAAGGATCGGGATAATGTGATCGGTGAGCTGGTTGGCATTCTTCAGCACCAGCCAGCCGAGGATGCTCCATATACAGAACGAGAGGATATGAAACTGTTTTGCGAGGTAAGTCCTTATCAAACAGCACTGGAAGTTGTGCTAACCGCGAGCAGGCCGTTTTCCGTGTTCTGGACTATGCCAGCAGGTGGCTACAAGAAAAGAATGCTAGGCGGAAGTCTGATAGCGACCTGCCAGCCATAGCACGAGTTGATGACTTGCTGAATGCCATCCCGGCGGTCCTTATATCGGATAGAGCAATGGACTGCAGAGAGTATCCGCGGGCGTTGTTTCACCTTGAACAACATGCCCAGCAGATGGAGGTCGAAAACGGCGACCCACAGCAAAGGACGGTGCTTCTTGAAAAGCTGCAGGACATATACACTCAGATCGACGAGCCGGATGGATTGGAGGGTATATCCGCCCACCTCCATGTGCTAGACATCAACCAGCAGATTCTCAGTCACAAGAAAGCGGGAAGATACACTGCTGCGCAAACTTGGTACGAAATCAAGCTAGCGGAAGAACCTCAAAACATTGACGTACAAGTCGATTTGCTCAACTGCTTGAAGCAATCGGGGCAACATGGTGCGTCACATATTTCCTCACCTCTGGACGTGGAAGCTGACAGATTTAGACGTACTCTTGAACTACGTGGAAGGCATGCACACCGATCCCTCAATGGAGAACAAGATCGTGCCGTACGCTGTCGAGGCGGCCTGGGCAACTCGCAGATGGGAAGCTCTGTCCAAGTACTCCGGGCGCTTCCACGGTAGCCCCCTGGAGGACTTCAACGTCAGTGTCGCACAGTTGTTCAGCTCTTTGCAGCAAGGAGGTGTTGAAGGGAGTTCGTTCCCTCAGATGTTGCAGAGTATGAGAGAAAAGATTGCCTCGGCAATGACGTACTCTGCGACTTCTTCCTTACAAGCCTGCCATGATCTGAGGCTTCGGTGCCATGTGCTCACTGACTTGGAAATAATTGCTGGGGCGCAAGTTGCGGATGACGAAGCTCGCCAGGAAGTGCTGACCATGCTTAACCGAAGACTGGAGGTTCTTGGAGCATACGTTAACGACAAGCAATACCTTCTAGGCATTCGCAGAGCTGCCATGGAGCTTTCACGGTATGTTCTCGACTTATTCTTCCAAAGTTTGCTCTAACACGTTACAGACCCAAGTTCACCGACCTCGACATCTCGTCGCTTTGGCTCTCGAGCGCACGGCTGGCGAGAAAGGCAAACTCGATGCATCAATCATTCAATGCTGTGCTGCATGCGTCCCAGCTCGGAGATGGCGCGGCAGTGATCGAGAATGCTCGGCTTCTCTGGAAGGATGGCCATACTCGGAAAGCCATCCAAGTCTTGCAAGGCGCCATCGAGGCAAACAACTTCATGACGCAGACCAACAGCACGTCTTCCATCCGGGGCCTAGACGCTCAGCAGAGACTACTGACGGCCAGAGCGCAGCTGATGCTTGCCAAGTGGTTGGATGCTGCTGGCCAGACAAACAACGTTGCTCTACGATTCAAGTATCAACAGCCCCCAAAGACGAATTCGTCTTGGGAAAAGGGGCACTACTACTTGGGACGCTACTACAAAAAGCTTGGCGAGACCGAAAAAGAACTCAAGGTAGACGAGCAGAGCGACGGGTACGTTCAAGGCGAGGTTACCAGGCTCGTCATTGAGAACTACCTTCGCTCGCTCAATTACGGCACCAAATATCTCTACCAGACCTTGCCGAGAATTTTGACGCTCTGGCTCGAGTTGGGAGCGCAAGTGGACAAGGCTCCCGAAGGAAAGGTTTCGATGTCCCGCGAGCTCCATAGGAGGCGGACGGAGCAGCTGAATCTTCTCCACGCCTTCCTCGATAAATACATCGCTCGTCTTCCAGCCTACATATTCTACACAGCACTACCGCAAATTGTTGCGAGAATTGCTCACCAGAACCAAAACGTGTTTGAGCGGCTCACACGTATCGTCGTCAAGGTCGTGGAGTCGCATCCTCGGCAGGCGTTATGGGGTTTATTCGGCATCATGACCACGAAAAAGCCCTCAGAGCGTAGAAACAGGGGCCAGCATATTCTACAGACGCTCAAGGGTATATCAAGAAAGGTCGACGGCGCCAACTACGACCTCAAGCAGTTGCTCCGCATGGGCGAGAAGCTCGCGGAGCAGCTCTTGGTGGCTTGCAACAACGGGGACTTCCAGAGCAACAGAACGACGGTGGCCAGCATCACGAGGGACCTGAACTTCAACCACAAATGTACACCCTGTCCCTTGGTGGTCCCTATCGAGTCGTGCCTCACAGCGACTCTGCCGACATTGACGGATAACGTCAAGAAACACAAGGCATTCTCTCAAGATGTCATCACCATCGACTCTTTCTTGGACGAGGTCCTCGTCCTTGGATCTCTTGCCAAGCCGAGGCGACTTACGTGCCGCGGAACCGATGGCAACAATTACATGCTCATGATCAAACCGAAGGACGACCTGCGAACGGATCAGCGTCTGATGGAGTTCAACGGAATGATCAACCGGTCGCTCAAGAGAGACCCCGAAGCCAGCAGACGCCAACTCTACATCAAGACGTACGCTGTGGTACCGTTGAATGAAGAATGCGGTATCATCGAATGGGTCGATGGTTTGAAGACGTTGCGAGAGATTCTCCTCGACCAGTACAAGGCTCGGTCGGTCCATCCTGACTACGGCCAAATAAAGCAGATGATGATCGAAGCTGTGACGGGCCCGAACAATATCAAGATCTTCACCGAGGGAGTGCTGGGAACATTCCCCCCTGTGCTGCAGTACTGGTTTGTTCAGCGTTTCCCGCATCCCTCGACATGGTTCTCGGCTCGGCTCAAATACACTCGGTCATGCGCCGTCATGTCCATGGTCGGCACCATCCTCGGATTGGGTGATCGACACGGCGAGAACGTGCTCCTCGAGCGAGACAACGGAGGAATCTTCCACGTCGACTTCAACTGTCTCTTCGATAAGGGTCTCACGTTCCAGCAGCCGGAGAAGGTACCGTTCCGGCTGACGCACAACATGGTGGCGGCCATGGGCATCTACGGATACGAGGGTCCGTTCCGCCATTGCAGCGAGTTGACGCTGGGCATCCTGCGGCAACAGGAAGAGACGCTGATGACGATTCTCGAGTCGTTCATCTACGACCCGACGCTGGACCTGCAGAAGGAGAAGAAGACGAGTCGGAGGTCGGACGGCGCGCCGCGGATGCAACCGCAGCTGGTCGTTGACAGCATCAAGCGCAAAGTCAGGGGCCTGATGGGCCCCGACCCGATTCCCCTCGGCGTCGAGGGACAGGTGGAGGAGTTGATAAAACAGGCGGTCGATCCCAGAAACCTGGCGGCCATGTACATCGGATGGTGTCCGTTCTTGTGATATCGGGGAAATGAGAATTCATGACGGGGTAGCGTTGGCTGGGACGGATGATCAGGGGATACGACGGGCATTAAATGTGGTGTTGGCGGGTTACATAGAAATGTATAACATTGGAAGTACAAGTATTGAACTGATCCCTTAATGTTGATGGCGCTTTCTCGACACTTCCATATCTTCTGACGAATAAAGCACTTATCTGATGGGTTAGTGTTTGTTTTGAAGATAAGACGGTTCGCTCCCGTTCCTCCCATTGTCCAACACGTGTTCGGGGTCAATGGAACGTTGATCTCGAATTGCTTCCAGGTTTGCTGTGCCTCGCTGGGTGCCTGGCGAGCTTTAGGCTACCGCGCCAGGGCCTTCGCGCTGAAGTCGAAGCACCGACCTGCCTAAAACTGGCGGCGGTCGAGATAACCGCTGGTGAATATAGTGGAGGAGGGGGGCCTACTTTAAACTGACGACGCCCCCGGGCTCCTCCTACCACCCGACGCATCTGCGACCGCCCGCCGAGCGCCTGCAATTCATTTCACATCCCTCCCGTCCCTCTCTCTCTCTCTCTCGTCTTTTCTTTTTCCTTGGAAATTTCGTCACCCTTTCCCCCTCCCCCTTTTTTTTCACCTCCTTCAAAACCGAAAAACACAATCGACTTCGGAAAGACAGGAATCAGCACGAAATCAAGTCAACATGTCGTCCAAATATCGTATTGGTGAGTTGTGGTTTTTGTTTTTATTTTTTCTGGTATCGATTCTTTGCAAGACGACGGACGGGCTCTCCGAGCTTCTACGGCGCCTGCGATTGCGCGCGTTCTGAGAGGCGGGACGGACGCGTCGAGCTACTTGGGAACTTACGTCATGCGCTTCGAGCTTCGAGCTTCGAGCTTCATCACAACGACCTCACGCATGCATTTCAGACTCGCTGACGATTCAATCATAGAGCTCTCCCCCAACAACCGCGCCGGATGTAACGACACCCAGTGCAAGAAGGCCGCCGCCAAATGCCTGAAGGGCTCGCTGCGCTTCGGCACCTGGACTATGATTATGGATCAGGAGTCCTGGAAGTGGAAGCACTGGTATGCGATGCAACCCACCCCCCACCCCTTTCCTTCCAGCTGGCTGTTGTCTTCCACTACATTTACTCATGAACGCCCAGTTGCGTTTACTTTGAAATTCACTGACTTCAATTAGGGGCTGCGTCTCTGGAGAACAACTCAAGCACGTCCAGGACGCTGTCCAGCGCGGCGGCGGTTACGACTTCGACGCCTTTGACGGTTATGATGAGCTTAAGTGCGTTACCTTCACCCACACACCGGCTCTCGCATTTGCGTTGAGATCGGGATGAGAGAAATTAGACTAATGCCCTACTCAGCGACCACCCTGACCTCCAGCAGAAGATTCGTGACGCCATTAAGCAAGGCCACATCGCTCCGGAGGACTTCAACGGTGACCCGTGGATGAACAAGCCCGGCCAGCGCGGCATTCGCGGCAAGAAGCCCAAGGACTGGGATGACGGCGAGGTTCGTCTTCAATCTCACAATCATGAAACCACTACTTACGCCGGCTTACAGGAAGGTGCTGAGGCTAATGGCGCTGCTCCCGCTCCCGCGGCTCCCGCCCCGGCCGCCAATGGAAAGAAGCGCGGCCGCAAATCCGCCGCCGCCGACGACGATGAAGAGGAGGAGAAGCCCAAGGCCAAGCGCACCAAGAAGGCTGCTGCCAAGGTAGAGCCGAAGGAAGAGGACGAGGAGGAGGAGGAGAAGCCCAAGCCCAAGGCCACCACCAAGCGCGGCAAAGCCGCCGCCGCTGTCAAGACCGAGGACGACGCCGAGGAGGCTCCCAAGCCCAGAGCCAAGCGCGCTGCCAAGAAGGCCGCCGTCAAGGAGGAATCCGAGGATGAGCAGGAAGAGGAGCCCGCGCCCAAGCCCAAGCGCGGCGCGGCGAAGAAGGCCGCTCCCAAGAAGGCCGCGGCGAAGATTGTCAAGTCCGAGGAGACCGAGGAGGAGCCCGAGGCCGACGAGCCTACCCCCGAAACTGAAGAGGAGGAGAAGCCCGCCCCAAAGAAGGCCGCGCCCAAGGGCCGGAAGAAGGCTGCCCCCGCCGATGCTGCTGCCGAGAAGCCCAAGCGGAGCGCTCGCGCTCGCAAGTGAGTCTAGCAGAAACTGACAACTTATGAGATGATGCTGATCTCCCCAGGTAAACGCGGTGGATTCACTAGCTGTCGATAATCGTCGATGTCTTCTTGTTGCTGTTTCGTTGGTCTATTCGAGTTCATACCCGTCGACGCGGCAACTCTACTTTCAGTCACGAAGATTGTACAATAATATCTTGCTTCTTGTTGGTTGGTTAAGGGTTTGAGAAAAAACCAGAAAAGTTGTTGTTTATTTCGAAAAAGGGCGATTTTGGGTGCGGGTTCGAGCGTGGGTGGGAAGGAGACTGATATGATGGTCTCTGATAGCGTGTCTCATAGCTGAAATGAAGATGACCAAAGTTCATGGTATATTCTCACAAAGCCATCTCTGTTCCCTCACGAGCGTACAGAAAAGAATACATACTCATCACATTATAATCATACAAAAAGGGTCCTCCTCACCTCACACTCCGCCAGCTCCCGCTCATACCTCCCCCATTCGCTCCTCCTCCACCACCTCTCCTCCTCAAGTTCGTCGAGGCCCGGGACCAATCGCCGGCGGACTTCTTCAACCTGTTCCCGAGACTGATCTTGGCAGCGCTCATGACCGTGCCCCCGCCTTGCATCCGGCTCGGGATCCCGGCCGAGCTCGCCACGCTCTCCCAGTCACCCCTCTCGACCTCGTCGCCGGGCTCTTCTATCGCGGGCGGCGGCAGCATCAACCCGGTCCTGCCGTTGACCCCACCCGCCGGGGCAGCCGCAGCCGCGGCGGCGGGGCCTCCTTTCCGCAGGGCGCCCATCATGGCGGCCCAGCTCTCGACCTGGCCGCTCGAGGCCTCCTCGACGCAGTTGCACTCGTCGCCGGCGGGGCAGAGGAGCTCGCCGGCGGCGTGCCACTCGGCGAGGCAGGCGTCGTGGAAGGCGCAGCCGCAGCCGAGGCAGGGGGGGTAGAGGGCGTCGACGGGCTCGCGGCAGTAGGCGCAGAGGAGCTGGGACTGGAGGCGGCGGCAGCGGTCGCAGGTGCCGACGGCGCCGCCGAGGCGGGAGGCGGTGGCGGAGGTGTATTTGAGGGGCTCGAGCTGGGTCTCGTGGACGCGGCAGACGCCGGTGACGTCGAGGCCGCGGCCGGAGGCGACGAGGGATTGGAGTTGTTCCTTTTTGCCGAGGAGGATCGGGGAGGTGGTGTGCGGTTGCGTCGGTTGTTGTTGGTGGTGTGAAGCGTGCTGGGCGTGGGTTGGGAGGGATTGGGAGAGTTGGGGCTGGTGGTGATGTTGTTGGATTGTGGTCGACGTGTCGGCCACGCTGAAGGTCTCGTGGAAGGAGTCTTCGAGGCCAGCCTGTGTCTGTTGGAGGACGTTGAACTTCATGATTTCGAGGCGGGCGAGGGGCTGGTTCCACATCTGCAGGATCTCGGCGTAGACGTAGCGGTAGGTGGCGTACATGTCGGCGCGGGAGGGCTCGAGGAGCGGTGTGGTCATCCAGCCGTCGTCGTCGAAGATGGTCTGGTCCTCCATGTGGACGGAGACGGCGACGGGGACGAGGGAGAAGAGGTCCTCGCGGTAGACGTCGTCTTCGTCGAGGGACGTGCGAGCAGTGCCCGGGTCGGCGCCGCCGCCCATGATGGTTGAGCTTCCCCACGTCACGTTGCCGACGGCGCCGGGGGCCAGGGTGCTGAGGATCGTGTCCGCGGGGCTGGGACGCTTTCGGCCGTGGTTGTTGGGGGGCGAGGAGGCGGCGGTTGTGGTTCCCGTGGCGACGCCGCTGAAGGGGCGGGGGAAGTTGATGGCGAAGCTCGAGGTGAGGCCTGAGTTTGCTCTCGTAAGGCCACGGCCGCTGGGCGATGTGGATAGGCTGGGTGTTTGGTCTCCTTCGTGGCCTAGGTATTCTTTGACGCCCTTGGTCGGCGGGGTCTCGCCGCAGGAATACGAGTTCGATCCGGGGTCGCCGGCCCAGAGGACTTCCTCGGCGGAGCCTTGAGAGCCAGAGTAGCGGATTGGCGTGTGTAAAGTGCGCGGGGTGGTTATCGCGGAGTTTGTCTGGCTTCTTCCGTTGAGGTTCCAGAGGGATGCGTCAGTCGGGAAGTAGTCGAGAGAGAAAGACGGCGCCTTCATTGGCAGCGGCGTCTCGGGCTGCGAGAGGTGCGACTCGGCGTACGCGACGCTGTCTTCCGTGAAGGATTCGCTGAAAATGCACGAGAGCATGGCCAACATCTGAATGTCCGCCGTCCTCTCGAAGTATTCGAACAGGTCATTGATGAAGTCCTTGGCAAGCGGATGGTTGCCCCACTTGACTCTACCATTGAAGTCGGCGACGTCCTTGCCGGATTTCTCCAAGTCGGGCGAGGCGCCCTCGGCACGGAAGCGGGAGATGGCGTCTCGGGCGATGACCAGAATGGAGGAGTTCTGACGTTGGTCCAAGTTCAAGAGTTCCAGCGGGATGTCTCTACGTAGAAGCAACGAGAGATAGCGCCAGACGTCCACCAAATCTTGACAGCCGTGTTTCTCGGCGACCTTAGCATTGTGTTCGCAGACCTCCGCTCCCTCTCCGAAAATTGCATACTCCTTGGCAAATTCCTTCTTCGCGGGGAGAATGTCGGACAGGTCGTGGAGCGAGACGACGTTCTTGGACTTGCCCGGAGGTCGTCTCCTGAGTGACCCCGTGCCGGTGCCGGTGCCGACTCCCGTACCCCCGCCACTAGATCTGACGGACCGGTTCTCGCTCCAGGTTCTCCGGAAACGATGGCGCGGCTGGTACCACAAGCTCATCTTGTTAATGGAAGTAGACTCCGAGTCACTGGACGACGACGAGCCGTCCGTCTCGTCGGAGTCGGATTGTTCGTCTGTGGCAGACATTTCGTCATTCCCATATCTCTTCCCAGGGGGTGAATCATGCGCGAGACGGCCAAAGCCGGCGAACACGGGCTCGCCCTTTGGTCTCTCGCGGAGCGGTTCGATGGGCGCGAACAGCAACGCCTTCGCCTTTTCTTCCTTGGTCGGGAAGAAGCACACAAGCCTGCCATCATTCGAGAATCTTGCGCCGCAGAATCGCGGCAGAGGAGGGATCGTGGGTCTGTTGTTTGGTGCCAACGTGCTGTCGGCATCGGGATTCGGAGGCAATTCCTGGGACATGGACGCAGAGCCGCCGGCGGGAATGTCGTTTTCATCTTCGCTGGAGCTTTCGGACGCGAGTCCATCTAGGGGATCGTCTAGGTCTTTGACGTTTTTGAAGAAGTTGGTGCTGGCTGCAAGGTCGATTTCGCCCAACAGATAGGAGAACGCCACGTCCAAGCAGTTCTGCTTCTGCTGCAAGAATTGGTGGCAGAGCTCGTGAATCTCGTGTTCGACCTTTCTGTGGGTTTTCTCTGGCATAAAGCTCGTTTTCTCGATGTAGAACTTTGGCGCCTTAAACTTGGGATAGTTGGCAGGTATGTCGACTCTGACCTTGATGAAGATGGTTTCCCCGTTCGCTCCCCAGGGCCCGTTCAGGGATGCGTGGAGGGTCAACGAGTCCATGTCGATGTTCTCCCACTTCACCTTCGGTAGTTGCACACTGATACGTAGGAACTCCTCCTGAATCGTCTCCGGGTCTCCCCACTTGTCGTCATCCATGTATCCAGGGCTGAACATGGTCGAGTCTTTCGAGTCTGCTCTCCTGGGGCTGTCGGTCGAGGTTTTCCTCTTGTTCATCATGATTCCCTTCATCCAGCCGATATGCGCCTGGCTACGATCCTGCTCCTTGAAGGTGCTCTTAGCCTTCATGGAAGAACCCTTCCAGCCAGCGCCAAGTCTGGTATAAGTGGTCGGCCCAGATCGCATGCCCATGGTCAAGGCACTCTGTCGGTGCTGCGCGCCGGTGCGGGGATCGCTCATGGTCGCACTTCGCCTGTCTCGGCTGACACTGTCCTCCACTGCTCGAAATGTTTTGTAGGCGGCGCCTTTACGTGTAAGCACAATATTCTTCGGCGCAGGCATCCCCTTGACGTAGCCAACAGACTCCAATATCGACGGGTCAACCTGCTGCAGCCGCAGCTCGTTGTCGTCTCCCCACGATACCAGCTGGAAATCCCTGTTGTCCAGCCCCTCATCGTTAATGCTGCCTCTGCTCCTCCACAGGAACTCCTTGGCTTTGTGGTTGCCGTGGCCGGGAAAGATCGCGACAGGCTCTGTCGGTCCCTCCTCGGGGTCCTTTGGCGGAGGTCGCCTGTCGTACAAATACAGATCGCCTGGTTCATTCTGAGGCATCGCTAGGAGACCCCGGCCGAACGGGGTGTGACGAGCACGCCACACCGGGAACTCGGTTCGGATGACACGCTCCGGAACATCCTGGTCGCTGCCGTAGTCCCAGAACTTGATGTGCTTATCCAGAGAACACGTGACGATCCTGGTTGACTGGGTGCGGTTCCAGTCGATACCGTAGATCTTCGATGTGTGCGCGCTGATCGATTTCAAGGGCTCGCATGCTCGCCGCTCGTCCCATATGTGCAACCACCTGTCGTGTGACGATGCCAGGATGTGCGGGTCCTGGCGGTTGTACTTGACTTGGGTAGCGCCGGCGAACCAGTCGCAGAAGGTGAGTACAGGCTGTCTTGGGCGCCTCAGATCCCAGCAGTGGACGTAACCGTCGACGGCGCAAGAAGCGAGCTGGTCGGGATGGTGCGCAGACCAGTTGATGTCGGTGATGGCTCTGCTATGCCCTTGGAGAGAATGTTCGATGGCGCCGGAGGCCGAGTCGTCCCTCAGGTTTAGGTTCCATACGAGGGCGCGATGGTTTGCTGTAGAGACGACCCAGTAGTCGCGAGCGGCGAAGGGTGACCACTGAACGTCGGTTACGAGCCATGGTGAGCCGTGGCTGCTGAGGCGCCGGGGAGGGTTGTATGGTGAGTCCAAGTCAATGATGGACAAGCCCTCAGGCCTGAAATGAGCGTTAGCGACAGAATGTCAGTTTGGTTCAAGCTGAGCTCACGATGCTAAGGCGACATCGCGACCCGAAGGAGCGATTGTCGCGGATCCCACGAGCCCGGCGACATGAATAGTGCCATCGGCATCAAAGCTCTCACTGTCGAAGGCTGATTTGATTGGTTTGCCCTTCTTCGGAGGGTCAAGCTGGTCGAAATGCGGCATGGTCGTGGTTGTAGCTTAGATGAGAGAGATGCCTCATGAGGGCACCTGTTGGTGAGATATCCTGGCCATGATACGTCGAAAAATCGTGGATAAGGACGGTCTCGAGCTTTCTGAGTTATTTTGAGCACAGAATAAGCTGTTGTTGAATGTTCAGTCCAGTATGCAAGATGATATCGAATGTCTGTGATGAGGCTCCGATCTGGATGCACGCGACGGGATCAGATGCAGCTGCGCATCCTGGACAGGACGTTGACGGACGGGACGACGACTTGGATCCACTTTTATGAGTAAGTACTTGTACATACAAAATATGCCTGTGTGTACTTGTTGCCCCAGGTCTCTCTGCACCAATCAGGTGACGGCCGAATTGGCGCAGGTCTCCACTTGTTATCGGGCGTCAAGTTCCCACCTCAGTCCCAGTGCCTCCAGGCCGGAGGTGGGCATGTCATGCTTAGGTTGTCCCTCCCGCGGGGCAATCCTGAACAAGGCTTTCCCAAGCACATGCCCACCATACGCAACTTGCCTGCCTTGTGTTCGAAACACTAGAGCCGATTCCCTCGCCGCCTGTCACTCGAATAAGGCCACCCGAGCATCCGAATACCATCGCCTTTTGCGACTTCCCTTTTTTGCGGCTACGCGACTTCGACCCGACGACTTCTTTGCGCCTCGAGCTACAAACCTCTCCCTTTGAGTGATTCACCACCACCCACTTGACCCCGCCAACCACCATCACCGCTTCCCATCACCACCGGGAACGCTGCACAAAAAGATCTGGGAATCGCACCGTTTCCATTGTTCCTCTCCTCGACAATCCAAACCAGCCTCTTTGCCGCCCAGCATGGCTTTGCCTAAGCGTATTATCAAAGAGACCGAGCGTCTCATGGCCGAGCCGTAAGGGCACCTTCCAAACCAGAACCTGTTTGCGACGAAGTACTGACGATGACCATCTACGCAGCGTCCCGGGCATCAGCGCCGTTCCTCATGAGGACAACCTCCGCTACTTCGACGTCGAGATCCACGGTCCCACACAATCGCCATACGAAGGTCAGGAAGCGTTCCATTGCCTTGCGCAAGGAAAGATGGACTGACAAATACTCCAGGCGGCGTCTTCAAGCTTGAGCTCTTCCTGCCCGACGACTACCCCATGACTCCCCCCAAGATTCGCTTCCTCACCAAGATCTTCCACCCCAATGTCGACAAGCTTGGTCGCATCTGTCTCGATGTTCTGAAGAGTAAGTCACCCAAGATTAGTAATGCAACATGTGCTGTAGCTAACAAAGACCTTCTTTCACAGACAACTGGTCACCCGCCCTCCAGATCCGCACGATCCTCCTCTCCATCCAGGCCCTGCTCGGCGCCCCAAACCCCGACGACCCCCTCGCTGCCGACGTCGCCAAGAGCTGGAAGGAGGACGAGCAAGCCGCCATCGCGACGGCCAAGGAGTGGACCGCCAAGTATGCTGTGCCCAAGTAGAGCGATGGCCAGAACGAGCAGAATCGGGGGGACGTACAGAGAAACTCGCGCGCGGAGGTCACGCTGCACAACGGGTTGCAGACACTGTCCTTAGACTGAGCTTTGGAGGGTTTTGAAGATGACAACAAGCCTATCTGGACTTGGTAGAGAGAGCGGGCGGGCAGGCAGGACGTCTTGGGCTGGAGTTGTAAACTTGAGATGCATGGCGGTCGCTTTGCTGATTTAAGGAGGGCCATATGCATTACGCCTTGATGATTCTCAACACCAAAGAATTTCTTTTTCGCACTACGCCTTGCTCTTCTGTTTGTACTTCTGTGAAGACGGCTATCATGAAATGCTGTGAATCCTATGTCATAACTGACCACAAACACATCTTTACAATGGCCGCCTCATAGGTAAGACAAGCAAGCCCCAGCCTTGACTCAAAATGTTATTGTACCTCCCTACCAAAGATATGTAATACAAATGCAGTAGAGAAGCACTTCAACAGCTCATTCCAGTTCCACCTACCCCTTCAGCCATTATAAGACCTTAGGCTAATGAGACCGCAGTTGGATGTCGCTAGACATTAGCAGACCATCTCACAAACCCTCAAAACACCCGGATCAACTCGCAATGGAAATTCCAGCCGACATCACCCACGAAACCATCCGCCTCGCGTTTAAGATTCCTAGTTTGCGCGGGGGCTCACTTGACGCGGCTACACAAACTCAAAATTGCAGGCTTTTTGCATGAATCGCGCCGATGGTTTAGTGGTAAAATTCTCCGTTGCCATCCAGCAGCGTCGGGGAGCCGGGGGTTCGATTCCCCCTCGGCGCAACTCTTGTTAATCCAGTGCCTTTTTTTGCTCACGAGCCGTGCTTGATTATCATATGTTGCGGCTATCCATGCATGGACGGACGGACGGACGGACGGCTGCTTTCATGTTTCTCTGTGAGAGCAGCCGAGCGTCTCTTCTTGTTATGTGTTACAGATAGGAATGCTTCTGAATAGCAGAATATGATCTATCAAACAAGCCATATCTGCTGAAATGATAGATTGCGATATCTGGCTGACTGAATGTCTAAACCTTCGTAGTCGGTCTCGCCTATGAACTCATATGTATCCGGCCTGACGTTCCGAAGTATGAAAGGAGCCCATGCCCCATAAACAAGCCATATTTCGTCTTCAGCTTGAGTGGTCATAGGCCCTAACCCGAGCCCGTCGCTTTTCGTCATGTACAAGTATGTTCCTGTAAGCTCTGCCTCGACACTCTCCTCAAGCTCATCCAACCGGGTTGCCGATGCACCGTCCACCCCACGTACGCCGAGCGCTGAACGAAGTTGTTTCCGTTGTCGGCGGGACATTCGCAGCATAGAACGGGACATCTGCGGTACAGGATCTGCAACCGAAAGCTCGAGATGCATGAGAAGTCTGAGTGCGTGCCAAAAAGTTACGACCCCCGATAGCATCTCATTGGCCGATCGGCCCCAATAAGAAGGTATACTGTTGATGATCTTACTGTTCAGTCTCTCTGATTTCCACTCGTAAGGTTTGTCATCGCCCACCAGTGATACGGTGGCAACGTACGCTGCGCGTACGCGGGGGAAGTCTTCGTTGCGCTGCTTGTCTCGCACGATGCCCCAAAGATCACGTTCGACTCTTTTCAGCTCTTCTAGGCCGAAGTCACGATATCGATTCAGCGCGAATGTTCGATTCGAGGTCGCTGATTGAACAAGCCGAGAAGAGTAATCGGGGACCCACGAGGGAAGATTTTTGTGCCTCTGTGAAGATCGTAGTCCGACTTGTGATAGTTCCCAGAACAGAGGAAGTTCACGAACCAACTTAGTCGCCATAGCGGTAAACACTTCTTCGACGGAACGACCATAGTCTGGGATGATGGGGCTATCGACGCCTTCGGGTAAGATCATTGAGAGCATCCCCAAACACCCGTAAATGTGGTCGCGAGGATCGCTGAACTGTGAAGAGCGGAGAGAATTGATAAGGAGGTCGGCACATGACCACCATGCGTTTTCGGCCTCCCAACTTTGGCGGTCAGACGAGCCGAAGTTTCTGTCGAGCAAACCAGTATGTTGCACAACTTCGGACAGCGACCGACGGGCCTGGCTAACTTTATACATCTTCAATCCGGGATTTATTTGTCTCGCGACTCGGTCTTCGTAGTGATGGTCTGAATACTCGCCGCGGTCGAACAACCCGGTACCTAGCTGCGTCGAAAGAGCCCTACTCCAACCTGTGTCTTGGAGAAATAGCGCGAACGCGGCAAGGCGTTTCCAGCTAAGAGCGGCTCTTCCACAGAGGACGTAAACACTAGCGGGATCAGCGAGGGCAACTTCCTGGACTACCCAGCCGCGGTCGAACCATCGTTGGCGGTCGATGAATAGACTGAACGCAAGCCATGCCGTTGACCAGCGGAAACAAAGTCCAGAGCCCAGTTCTTCCACTGTACCTGGAAGTCTGAGGGTTGGATCACCGCTGAGGTGACTTCGTACGAAATCTGGTTTCGAGTTCACGACTCTAAAAACGGCTGGGATGAATTTGTCGTGAACCCAGATCACGTCCGCGGTGGGTTGTGTACTTCCCAGCCAAATGATGACGTTGCGTGCCGCGCTGTAGATTCTGTGCATGACTAGAACCTGATGTCGCTTCTCGTCGGCATCTATCTGATTAATGCAGAAAGCATCGATCCAAATGGGCAACGTGGCCAAAATATCGTCGACCTTTGGCGTCAACTTTGTCGTATGGTTTTTGGTAGTCGAAGGTCTGTCGCAAGCCACTAAGGCCGAGCAAAGGAAGTCGAACAAGTTCTCAGATATTGTCATTGATTTGCCGTCGCAGATGACTTCAAATGTCTCTCCAGGTCCTTCGCCTGTCTGTCGTTCGGCATCGACATAATGCGGAAGATCCCATGTGTATGACAACGCCGTGAATTCCGGCTCGTCATCCAGGTGGGCTTCGGTAAGAGAGAGAGAGATGCCGTGGGGCAAATTTTCATCTCGCGAGATCCTCAGGAGGCGTATCGAGTCACTGGCCGACAGAGGCTGATGCTCATAGACCTTTCTGGTCATGGCAGAAGTGGTTTGCGTATGTGACAGGGACGGCGAATCCTAGGTCCTGGGTTGCGGCTAGATTGCGTAGAGCGGCCGGATGTGAAAATGTGCTGGGTTGATGAACTGGTTGAATTCGTAGTTCTGTCGCGGGTGTGGTCTTGGTCAAGATTCAGCAGAGGGGAAAACGTTCGTAGGCAATAGATTCCATGGTTGCCTACCGAACCACCCACCCACTCCAGCTGTCTTCAACATCGCCCCTGCTTACCTGCAGGGCTGAGCTACTCACGAAAGAAGCAAGTACCTACTTATGGGAAAGACTGCCTTCCTGCTTATGAAAGCGTAAGGTGGTATTAGGTGGGAAGGAGCTTCGCTGCGGATGACGGCTTGCGCTGCAACCCCTCACACCGGTTATCGATGCATGTTGTCCAATGAACACACCAACTGCACCGACTGCATACGTCTCCGCCCGATTTTATCGTCTACTACCTGGTTATGACATGCGAGCTTCCAAAGTGGCAGCTACTGCAATTTTCTCTGCAATACAATGCAGCCACCTACCCTTGTTGTTCTGGCTCGCCATACCCAACGAGTACACATTTCTTCCAAAGTGACAGCGCTTGGAACGCAAAGTATTCATTCCTAATTAAATCATGCCAAACGATCGCTAACAATTACATTTTAGTTGAACTCCAGGCAACCAGACTTAGAAACCCCACTGCCTGCACCAGTTCTGCATCAGCTCAGGCGTCACAGCCTGCATCTCCTTCATCGATTTGCTGTGCTGCACCGTCCGCTCCATCGAGAACTCCACCGGCTTGCCGCCACTGTGCGCCAGACCGTGGTAGAAGTCGAGCAGCTTGACACCGGGGTTCTTGTCGACATCGTCGGTGGAAGTCGCGCTCTCCTCCAGAGCCTTGACCCACTCCTTGAAGGTGACCGTCTTCTTGATGCGGTCACCGTAGAAGGCCTTCGTCGCCTCGGCAAGCTTCTCCCACTCGACGGTGCGCGGGTTGACGCCGTGGAAGTAGCCCCGGATGTTCTGCAGCGGGACGGGGTGGTCGATACCCGACACCTCGAGGATCAGGTGGGCGATGCCCTCGATGGGCGTCCAGTTGACCACGCCCATGGCGCCGAGGTCCTTGGGTAGAAGGCCGAGGTAGGCCGAGCTGGCGACGATGGTCGGGAGCCACTCCTGACGGTTCCAGACGCCGGACTTGGACTGAGGGCCGGCGACCTGGCCGACGCGGACGATGGCGGTCGGCACGCCCGAGCGCTGCGTCGCCTCGTCGAGGATCAGGGAGCTGACCATCTTGGAGCGTCCGTAACCCGTGCTGGGGAGCGAGAGGTCCATGAGCCTGTTCTCGGGGACGGGGCCGGGGCCGGCCCAGGCGTCGACGGTGCCGATGGAGCTGATGAAGATGATGGGCACGTTCTTGGCCGCGCGGAGGGAGAAGTCGACGAAGTGGCGGACGCCGCGGATGTGGGGCTCGAACGTCTCGACGGAGATGTTGAAGTTGACGGGCCAGGCGTTGTGGATCACGCGGTCGGCCTCCTTGAGGAGCCTGTCGTAAACCTCGGGCTCGAGGCCGAGGTTGCTCTTGGACATGTCGGCGCAGAGGAACTCGGCCTTCTTCCAGTTGGTGTTGAGGCCGCGCTCGGCGCTCATCTTGACCTGGCGCTTGCCGCTGTCGTCACTGCGGTTGAGGCAGACGACCTTCTTGACGGCCGGGTTGGACTCCATGAAGTCGAGCATGTACGAGCCGAGGGCGCCGGTGGTACCGGTGATGAGGATGGTCTGGCCCTGGTCGTTGGGCGCCGGCTTGCTGCCCTGCTTCTGGGGCAGGTCGCGGGTGTACTTCTGCAGCTGGGCCTCCATAGCGGCGATGTCGTGGTTGGCACCGTCGGAGTCATCCTCGGCGGTTGTGCCGTTGGTGCCGGCGTTCTTCCTGACGCGGTCCAACAGGTAAGAGGCCAGCTGTCTGGGAGTCGGGTGGGCGTAGATGACGCGGGTGGCGATGGCGTCGGCGGTGATGTTGGCACCCGCAGCCTCTAGACCCTTGCGGAGCAGACGAGAGGCGTTGATGACCTGCATGGAGTCGATACCGGCGCTGAAGAAGTCGGAGTCGGCGGACAGGGCTCTGCTACCGAGAGTCTGCTGGAAGAGCTTCTCGATGGAGTCCATCAGAGTTTGCTGGGAGCTGACGTCGATGTTGACGGAGACGGAGTCGGCACCATCCTCGGCCTTCTTGTACCACTCGTCGATCTCGTCCTTGTACAGCTTCAGAGCCATGGGGCGCTGGATGGTGCCCTTTCCGGCGCGGGGGAAGGGCTTATCGGGGGTGGTGACGCCGATGAACTGGCGGCCGATCTGGCCGTGGGCGACGGTCTCCTTGTTCGCCTTGACGATCACGGGCCAGACGTCGTCGATGAACTTTTGCTTCTCCTCGTCGGTCTTCAACTCCTCCATCGGCTCGAGAATGAGGAACGGCTGGAAGCGCATTGCTCCGGCAACGACGGCACCCTTGACCCTGGGGTGGCCGGTGGCGATCTCCTCAATGGTGACGGGGTTCAGCTTCTCACCGTTGGAGAAGACAATGATGTTGTCGGAGCGGCCGTAGTACATCCAGTGGTTGGGGAGTGTAGGGTGTTTGCGGTACAGATCCTTTGTGCTGTACTCCTTGAGTTCGGGGAAGGTGTAGAAGATACCCTGGAGGGGATCCGCCTTTTCTTTGCGGACGATGACTTGCTCGTAGATGTCCTCGTCCTCGCCGCTGGCCTGGCGCCAGTCGACGCCCAAGCGTTCTGAGTCGACAATGAACCATTGCCAGTTCTCCAGGTTCTTCTGGAAAAAGTAGGGCAAAGGAGCAGCCCTGATCAATGGTCAGTATATGTGTGGATAGTGTTAGACGAGAATACTTACTCAGTGAAGGCAATAACACTGCAGACAGGCACTCCGGCCTTGGTGAGCACGTTGCCAGCCTCACGGGCGAGGTTACCACCGCCAAAGTTCACACGCTTGAGCTTCTTCAGGCCCTCGACACCCTCGGGCATGTAAGCCATCTCCTCGAGAATAGCAGGCGGCAGAATGACGTTGTCGATCTTGGCATACTGCAAAGCGTCGAGCACCGTCTGGGGCGTCAAGGGTCTGTCGATGAAGCCGAGGGCGACGGGGTGCTTCCAGTAGATGGCGGCGAAGGTGGACATGTAACAGCCGGCGGCGTGGAACAGCGGCATGGGGAGGAAGAGGCGGTCGCCGTGCATGATGGACTTCATGCAGTTTTCGGAGCCCATGAAGTCGTCGAGGTCGTGGAAGGCGTCGGCGACGGCGACCATGCCGACGCGGGCGACGATGGGCTTCGGCAGGCCGGTACTGCCGCTGGTGTGGAGGACGACGACGGGGTCCGCGACGGCCTCGTCGAAGGTCTTGGTGTAGGGGACGTGGGGCACCTCGGCGTCGTCGAGCCAGGCGGCGGCGGAGCTCACCATGATGGCGTCCATCTGGCGCTCCTCCAGCAGGGGCTGGATGACGTCCTTGTAGGACGAGTCGAAGCAGATGATGTTGCAGTCCGTCTTCTCGAAGAGGTTCATCTGGCCCTCGTGGGAATTCCTGGGGGAGATGAGCAGAGCCTGTGAGACGTATTAGTATGAAGCCTGTGGTATTCTCGTGATGCACTACGTACCTTGTATCCCGCCTTGATGCAGGCGATCATGATGACCATGTAGCGCACGTCGCTGGGGCCGATGTAGGTGAGCGTGGGAAAGCTGCCCGGCTCGGGCCTGCCCCTCTTGTCGAGGATCTTCTGGGCTATGCGGTTCACCGCGTTGGCGACCTGCCAGTAGGTGATCTTCTTCCATCCATCCTTGGGGTCCGACGAGCGAGGCACCGAGAAGATTTCCGCGTGGGGGTCCGTCTTTGCGATTTCGTCGAGGACTTGAGGGATCAAGCGCCTGCCGTACTGAGGTGTGGCCATGCTGGTGTTGGTATATCGGTGTTTGTTGTGTGTGTGTGTGTGTGTGTGTGTGTGTGTGTGTGTGTGGGTGTGTGAGGTGGTATATTCAATTGCACTCCGATTCAAATAGGGGTATATATTATATTTCAATGACAATTTGATGAACGGTCGATGATGAGAGTCGTGTAAGTGTGAGATGAGTATGAGCCGATTCAAAAGTCGTCAATGAGAAGGTTCAAAGCTAGATATATATGTCTCGAAACTCTCCCCTCACGCGAACGCCCGTAGCCCATTTTTTGGCCGGTCCAGAACCACAGCGGCATTTTCCTTGACATCCAAGTCCGTTCATCAGGACGTAACTCGGGGTGAGAGGGATATGAGACGACGACGTCATGCCCACATGGCGAAGGCAGTTCCACCGCCCTGCAACAGCAAGGCCAAAAAATTACAGAGAGAGAGAGCGACGTCTGAACTACCCCCGGGCCGCTATCGGCCGGTCGGCGCTGAACGGTGCACCGGGGCCGATGTGGAGCGCGAGCGAAGGAAGGAAGGGGAGTTCGAGGTTGAAGCCTTCTTCGCAGCGATGGCTGACCGACCGACGCTGACGGGGACCGGTGCTTCGATACAAAAGACGTGAAAGGGATCGGTCGTGGCGTAGGGGCGAGCCGCGAAGCGGATATCCACTAAGGGGGATAGGTATCTGAAGAGAGAGAGAACGGGATTGTGGAGGCGAAAAAAGAATGGAGGCTAGGACGGAATTCGGCCGTCATTCATGAGGGCGGAACCGGTTTTCTCCATGTTTTTCTCTGCCTCTGCGAATTGCGAAACCGCAGGCACATTCGGCTCTCGTCCACGGCTGTTCGAGAAGAGATGGAGCTACATAGTACTCCATACACGAAGGACGACGGGACCCTGGCAGGGACGTGCTGGAGACATTGTTGCGTGGCTCACAGACCGTACTACATGTTAAACGACGTGTGCTGTTGAAAGCTGCAGTCTTGTGGGGTCGATCTCGAAGTCAAGCTTTGATGCTAAGACGGGCCGTGATATCCGCTTTCTCGTCTCGGAGCCCTCGGAGAGAAAACAGGGCCCTCGACCTAGGCATCTCCACAAGTCTCCCGGCCGACTCGCTCTCGTTGAGCGGCGCAGGGTGGCGGGGGACACACACGCTGTCCGATGAACTCAATACTGGAGACGGAATTCGACGAGGGGGAGCGGAAAGACGGACGATTTGGACGGCAGGACGGCAAACAGGGTCACACTCAGGTAAGGACAGCTAAGCATTTCCATCAAGATAAGGGCGCGCGGGAAGCGGGAGGGACGGCCGGTACTTGGGTTTGGTGTGTCTGCGCCGCACGGGAACAACAGATTAGATTGCAGATCTTTCTTCCTTCCCCCTGATCACTGTGCTTGGCTAAGGCCTGGGGTTTGTTAATTAAAGCGGCTGACGGCCGCCGCGGTAGCCACTCATCACGGAGGCTGGGCTACGCGCCGCGCCGGTCTTCTGTAGTATTATTCTTTTGTGAAGGATCATCAAAGTTGGCGGATGACGGAGCTGGGGCTTGCGTACGTCAGCGACCATGACCTCATCCGTCACATACTCGGGCTGAACTGGCGCATATTTTCTGACCCGAGTAGTACGGCTCTCTCGACGTCGCTTCCGACTCGTTTTTGAGTCCGATTTTATCTTTTAAACTTCAAAAGGACCCTTTGGTGAAGGAACCTTCGCGGACACGGACTTTGGAACCGCGGTTAAGGTAGCAGACTTCAGTCTCTTGCATAGCGCCGACGATCACTGTTCGACAACTCGAAGGACGATCAGCGTGGTTCGGTATCCTCCGGCCTGAACCCTGTCTCTCATCTGCAAGCCATTGTTAACTCCGCTGAATGGTAGTATCCGTACTGGCAGCTATTGGAGCTCGGTATGTCTGATGGAAACTAATCACATCTTTAATTGTAAACATCATCAACCTCGGTAAGTTGAGGTATTTGAAGGAGCACCTATCCACCCACAGCATTGCATCAACTCTACAATATTTCCGGGGGCTTCAATCGCGATTCCAGCGATCCATCCCGCCATCCCGCCATCCCGTCATAAAGCCGCCGGGAATAATCGCGCTCAAAGTCAGCACTAAACCCGCCAAACTCGAAGCTGACGTGCAGGGTCACAGCTTGGCGGGTTTCCGAGACGGGCAAGCAACGGCCGGATACCTTCCTTCGCGGGGCTGCATGTTTGCGCATCAGACCTGCAGAACCCTGTAAATCCGAGGACGCCCTTTTTGAAATACCTACTCTGGCATCTCACCAACTCAACCATTGCGTAACCGGTGTGGTTCCCAGAATACGCATGTGAATCCTCGCAGACAGACAGCCGGCCCACTGCCGACCTCCAGTCCCCGGCTGTGAGAAGATCGATGCGCTGCGGTTACCCTTGCCAACCCTTTGGATACGGACGAAATCCTGTTGTGTTCTTGCTTTCGGCTCCCAGCGCCTGCTGCTATATTCAATTTCACTCGCTTTTACCTATATCTCTTGACAACGTATTGTATCTAAGTATATATCTGCTTATTATATATAGAATTATATCTAGAAACCTCTCTGAATACCACATAAGTAAAGTTTAAACAGCTAAGTTTTCATGGCGATACCCTCATGGCGACTGCTGCTTTGCGACTTTTCTGTGTTCCAAGGACCCAAATACTTGTTAGTTTCGTTGTCCCTGGGGGTGTATATCTGCAGGAGCGGTCACTATTGACAAAATCCATGTTTCGCGGAATATCACAATCTGCAGATGCCTGGCTTGTCCTGCTCACCTCATCCGTAAAATTGGTTGAATTAGTTTAGTAAATATTCTCTAGTTGTCACCCACGCTCCCGGCTCCACGATCACGCGCCGCCGATAGACACCCGTTCGCCCGCCGCCTCCTCCTTGCCCTCATCGCCCCGGGTCGGCTCCAGGCATCACTTTACATGATCAGACTCTCATCATGAGAGCGGCCGCCCCCCCCCCCCCGAGGGTGAACAGCTGGGCAACGGCCTCGCTTGAAGAACCACGGCAAGCTCTTTACCTCGCCGTGCGTGATTCCGCCAGTAGGCTACCGTAAAAGGACTTTGGGCAATGCTGCTTTCCAGGTGTCGAGGTCCTCGCTTTCGGGGTACAACATGAGATCCCCCTTTGGAGCTTGCCTCTTCAAGTCTTCCGGAACGCATATGAAGAGCTCCCACGAAGCGGCATTCGCCTGCAGCTCGCTGGGGTAGATCCCTTCTATATGGCACTCGATCAGGGCGCCCTGGAACGTGCGGATCACGGGCTCGATGGCGAGCGACGTCGGCTCCTTGTCCGGCCTGGACAGGCAGTTGAGGTGCGTCATCGGGTAGAGGTCAATGCCCATCTCGGCCGCGCGCTGCTCCAGGTCCAGCGCGTATTGGGGGTTATGGCTCATGCGCGCCTGCTGGTACGTGATGTAGTGGGGGGTCACGTCCAGGGCGTCGTAGGTGTAGTGGTAGTCGGCGATGATGCAGGCCATGCCGACCGAAAACTTGGTGCTGGGCCTCCGGCGGAGGAGTTCGCGCAGGGTTATCTCCTGGGGTATAAGGGGGTACCAGAACATGGTGGGGATGTCGTTTGCGTCGGGCGTGTCTATGCTGATGCGGGACAGGTCGTTGTTCATGATGAAGCGCGCGTTGATGGCCTGGAGGATGTAGCGGGAGTTCGGGCCCAGGGTCGCGGGGTCCCGGAGAGACCACCACTTGGCAAAGGTCGTGCTGTGGTAGATGCCTCGAATGACGGCGCCCCACTCCTCCGCGACCATGGCCGGGCGCCGGAGGCGGACGTAGCGGTCCAGGTTCCCTTCGTACGCCGCCATGACGATGAGGGGGTCCTTGCGCGTCGTCGGGAGGTCTCGCGGGAGCGGGGACCAGAGGAGGTACTCGAATTGGGCGGGCAGGATCTGGTGATCCATGTTCCGATGGCCGGCGTGCCTACCGCTGGGTCCGATGTCCTCCGTGATGTCAAAGTAGTGAGGATCCCGCATCTCATCAGTAATCTCGGCGTCGTCGTCGCTCAAAAGAGACGCCCGGATAGCAGTGTCGCCGTTCAGACACGCTCCGGGGGTCGGGTCCGACGTGTTGATGGTGCGCGTGTAGTCGTCCATGACGGCGTATCGTACCGCGTGGCTCATGATCTTGTCGAAGATGCGCCGGCTGCCGTCGTTCCCGGCTTCCCTCGCTTCTTCCGCGATGGACACGTCGGGCAAGAGATCGAGCTCGTCGTAAAGGGTGTCGTAGCCGGCCGCGGCGCAGGCGCGGCCGACCTGATACCTCATGTCCGGGTAGCGATGGAACACCTTCCGGTAGGTTTCCTCGCTTGCGATCTCCAGCCATATACAGTACGGCTTGGAGTCGTCGTCTGGCATATCGGGTATGATTTCATCATACATGATGGAGGTGGCGTTGGCCCTGCGAACCCATCTCGGTTCCATATATTCGTCGTCAGAGTCCATTGTGGAAAGACTACAGCTTGCTTCGTGGCTACCCGGTGAAGCGAAGAATGAGCGGAACAAGTATATGGGCGATTGTCAGTATGCGACAAAGGTCCGGGTGGACGACAGACGAGGGGAGAGACAACGGCGCCTAATATATCGCGGGAGACAAAACCGACCAGGATTATAAGGTGAGGCCAATGTGATATGGAGTTTTCTCCTGCCCCACCTGGCACCAACACTGACAGGAAGTATGCAGTATGAATCCATAGGATTGACAAGACAGGGGTAGGGTTGGCCAGCCGTTGGCGATCAAATGAGGGACCTAGGTTGCTTCGACGGTTGTTATGAGTTGTAACCCGAATTACATCACGTAACGCAACTAGAACACTTGAGATACTCATTGATAGCATCGGATTTCAAGCCGACATGTGCTCGTCTTGCTGTGTAAGTCGAATCCCAGGCGGACTTTGACTTTCGTCTTGTACTGGTAGTACGGATCAGCTAGCTTGTCTCCTTTACCATCGAACTCCAAAACAAGAAGAATACTCCACTGTCATCGCGATGTGTACCATTCTCCAGCATTGAAAGGGGGTCGCCCAGATGATGCCAAGCTGTGTTGGCGCTAGAGTGCGGGTCGAGACGAAGCAGACCGTTGCCTGATTTCAATTTCAACCTCATGCGAGACCGCGGCGCAGCTTATCAGGCTTGGCACCAAACTGAATGAGACAATTGCCCGAGTTGCAAGAACTTCAGAGGCAGTTATAATCTTCGCGAAGATATTCGTCAGTGTCGTCAACATGGCCGAGGGCGAGGCACATCCCCTTCATTTGTCGAGACGAAGAGCACGACTGATAGTCGTGGACAGTCTATGGCTTCCCCATAGATGGTCTATTACTTCAAAGTAAAGATGAAAAGTCTTGTTGAGCTACGCCGAGGTTGACTACGGAGTCCCTCCGTTGACAACGGCTTCATATTCGCCCAAACCCAGCAGAGACCGCGCACTCCACCCGGCGAACGCCATGTCTGCCACAACAGGAGCGAAGATGATGATGCCAACAATCTGGCCGAATCCCCAGTTATCCCCGGGGTACTCGTTATCCATGTGCGCCGCCGCTTCAGCCTGGATTCTCCGCAACCGAAAGATGCACCAGAGGATGGGGCTGCCCAGCACAACAGGCAGAAAGAGAAGCATGATCCGGTGGCCATGCCATCCCCTCTGAAGAACATCCTGGGCCCTGGATAAAGCGACCGTTGTCTTTCTCTCTGTCCCGGAGAAGTCGTCGGCATCCCTCCACCGCTTCAGACCGACGCCCATCGCATGCCAAAGCGTGAAAAGGAAGATCAACAGCGAGGCGATAATTTCGCAGACGGCCAGTAGCCAGTGCTCCACGTCCGTGAACCTGTCAATCGACCCGAAACACATATCCTTGACCAAAGCCCACTCCGCCGCCGTGATCAGTGTCTCCCCTCCGCCGCCGCCGCCGCCGCCTTCGCCGATTCGGAGAGGTCCCCAGTTGTGAATGCATTGGGACAAAAAGGGGTAAAAGAACAACGTGACAACAAGACAGAAGAGAATCAAGCGGAAGACGTGCCTCCTCGCATCGTCTCCCGGTTTCCTGTGAAACGAATGCTGTACCGCACTCTCGGGATGAAACATCCTCGCCGGCAGCAGCGCGATGGGATACACCAGCGGAATAACACAGACGACCGCGATAGCCAGCGCGTTCTGGGCTTCGTTGGCGCCGAAGTCGGCAGTCGTCACGCCAAAGTCCTTGTTGACGAGCATGATTATCGTGGCCAGTTCGACGGCGATGGCGAAGTACACGGCGAACTCGAAAAAGGCCTCGAAGCCTCTCTTGGTGACGACCTGGAAGAACTCCCACTTCCGGCCCCTTCTTTGCTGGATGAGCAGCGTGGCGATCGCGAAACAGAAGCCGAGGCAGAGGTCGACTGCGTATCCGATGGATACCTGACGGGCGATGACTGAGCAACACGGCCTTTGGAAATCAGTGCATGTGAGGGGGAATACGGACTCCTATTCCTGAGATGTCAGGGTTGGTCTCGCCCCAAATCGCGAGGCATATCTCAGTCTTGCACACTTCCAAGGCATCTCGGGTGAAGTTCGTCTCATTTTTGACGGCGATGATGTATGTATCGAACTTGGTCAGGAGTCTGAGTTCGCTGCAACGAATTCCGTCCGCCATTGCTGAGTGGTGTGTCGTCTGTAGCTCTTTCGGTGATGGCGACGAAGACACCTGGAGGGATTTTGAGATCAAAAGAAAATTTCGCCTCGGAAAGAGCAAAGATTTGTAGAGCCGCAAGGGAGGAATCTTAAACAATCTCATTGAGATCGCAGCCTTTTCGAATTACCTGGCTGGAATTGCTACCCCCTTAATGTCTGACTACCATCAAAGCCACTCGCTTGTCGTAAGGCAGCCGAGACCGAATGCCAGTCAGACGCATACAAACCACCAGATATTGATGCAAACATATTCACAGGGCTGGATTTTGCGCACCAGCGTTAGCAGTCACCATCCTGGAACACCTTTAACGACTCAGAAAATTACCGAAAGAAGGCAGAGGAAGTCACGTTGATGATCTCTGCGCATACCAGCCGGACTCGGCATCTTTGGGGCTGAATTGCAGCGAAATGTTTCCTGGCATGCTCTGCCGCAGCCTCACGTACATGTTCAATGAACCTCATAATTGACGCACTCGCGCGCCTGGGAAATACGAAGTCTGAACATTACTATCATTTTTGATTCAAAATTATTCACCATGGCTCGCCTAGGCAAAATACTCGACTTTTGCTTCGTAGTCTACATCCTCGCCCCCTTGGCAAAAAGTGCTGGTATACCCGCAACTGTCTCCGTCGAACGGATCACGTCCATCACCGTAGCTGCTCCCACGGCCGCTCCCACGGCCGGAAGACGAGCACTAGGCCAGAATACCTGCGGGCCAGGCTTTACTTGCGCAAGCGATCAGACTTGCACAACCAACCGGGGATACGTAGGATGCTGCGGAGCGGCCAACGACAATGTCTGCTCCATCCATATGGCATGCTATCCTAATAGCTCCCTGCCACCCGTCGCGGGGCGTGTGTCAACGGAACTCATATGGTAAAAGCAATCAGCTCTCGTACGTTCTTACTCGAAGTCTCGCTGACTTCAATCGCTAGCCCAAGCACCGCGCCATACTGCAAAACCCTCTCATGGGCCGATTCTGCAAGACCCGCATACGCTGCTACGGCAGTTACATGTGTTAAAGTGAGGACCACGTCATCAGGGGCCGTACTATCTACGAAGTTGGCATCCTCGCTCAGCGGCGACTTCACGAAAACCGGTGAATTCACGGAAACCCACCATTTCACCTTCACCATGCCCCCCACCGCGACTACGACGTTGAACACAGAAACCACGAAAACTGCGTCTTCCACGACGACCCCTGAACCCCCCAAACCTCCACCGGGGAGCGGGATCATGCAAGGTAGACAGGCTGGTATGTCGACGTCTGGATTAGCAGGCTGACCTGGTGAACGGATAGATCTCACAAAGTCTCAACAAGTTGGCGTAAGTACAGGTTGCGCCGCGGTCGCCTTGATGTTTTTATCGAGCATTGCGTAAGCTTTTCCCCCCTTTTCTTGCCTGAATCTTTCCACGTTTTGGTTTACGCACGGTTTCTATCACTCGGGCCTGCGTTCCATTGTCCCGCGGCGGCCACCGGAGACACCATGCTCACGCCGTCTTAGATATTGTGCTTGTTGGCCCATGCGGAGAAGAAGAAGTTTGGGGCCGGGGCCGGGGCCGGTCGATGCAAGCCGGCCTGAGATGCAGAAATCTCAGGGAGCAAGCATGTCTCCGGACATCACAGAATTCACAGACGATGCTTCGCCAGGAGGGAGTGTGCCAGTGGCTACTGTGAGCCAAGGCGGTGCAGGCACCTTGATCACTGGGCACGGGATGCCTAACCGAGTGACCACGATATGACCTTACTGAGTGGTTGATGCACAGACTCATGTGGCATTGAATCAGAAATTGGCTGAAAGAAGCTGAATGAGAGCCACTACTCAAGGAGAATTCGCTACAAGAGATGAAGAAGAGGAGAGCTGGCGAATGCAGGGAACATGGCTTGAGATCTATATGCCACCCACATGTATTCAAATGAAAGACATGGACATCAGAGAGTAGACTGAGTGGATTTGGGAGGAGGTTGGCCGCTGGGGCCCTTGAGTCTGCTATACCAAAATCCAATAGTTACCCGACATAATCTAACCAAAGTTATAGCAAAAGGATAAGAAAATCAGATGGCATTCAACAAGAATATGAACTCATATCGCATCAGCCTCCATAAAGCCATCCAAGCGCGGCCTCATCGCCGAGGCCGCTCTCAGCTTCTTTCCCCTCATGTGCCCCAGTAGCAGACGGGTGCTGCTGTTGTTGTTGTTGTTGTTGCTGTAGAAGGCGGTGTTTCAATTGAACGGTTGGGAAGTTATTCTTCTACCACAACTCATGTTGCAGTGCATGTGTGTAAAACCCCTCCCGTTTCTTCACGCTCGTCTCAGCCAATTGCAGAAGCTTCAAGGCCGAAATAGCATATCATTAACATGGTGTCAGAACTCATCGACTGTTCTCTTCTCAAGCCTTAATGAAACACTCAACGCAGATTATGGGTCGACGATTCCGACTCCAAGCTGTAAGCTTCAGTTCAAAGCCTTCCGAAGCAGACTCTCCAGTCTCTCCACATCCGTCTGTTTCGTAGTCTGACTGGTCATAACGTAGAGAACGTTTCCAAGCACACGGCTGTGGACGTTCCATCGCTCACCACCATCACCAACACCCCCCTGGAGCAGCGTACTTTGCACATCCGCAGCAGCATTGCTCGAGTACCCAGCACCCTCACTGTCTTCCATGTGGATGGCCAGAACCGAGCCCAAAGCCCAGACTCCCGCAACCCGACCGCTCTGTCTGGAGACCCAGTCAACGAACGGCCGAGACCATACAGACCACACCGCAATATCCTGACCAAGAGCGCCGGTGGCAGCGGGTGCTTTGTTAGTCCACTCGCTGTTCTTCGCCCAGTCCCATTCACCCTGCTTGTCCATCCGCTGCAGCTCCTTCAGCGACTCGATGGCGACCTGGCAACCGACGGCGTGAGCGGTGTAGCTGTGGCCGTGTAGAAGGGCATCACTCTTCTCGTCGCTCTCGAAGGCTCGGAAGATGCTGTCGGACGCTGATGTGGTGCATAGCGGCACGAGGCCACCGGTGAGTAGCTTGGCGTTGCAGATCACGTCCGGGTCGACGTCGAGGAAAGAGGCGGCAGAGAAGCGGCCTAGGCGAGTGAGACCCGTGAAGACCTCGTCGAAGACGACGGGGAGACCGCTCCAAGTGTTGACGTCCGCATCGATTGAGGAGGCAGACCCAGTTGCGGTGCCGAACAGCTCCGGATGTTTCCGTACAACCTTGACGAGAGTGCGTTGGAAGAGCGGGTCTCTGTAGAGTATTAGTCGACTGGTGAAGGGTATTAGAATAGACTGACTTACGCCATAATCATGCCGCCAGCTCCAAGGATAACGGGTTCCATCACCAGAGCACCAAACTTGCGGCCCTGGTCCCGAAGACGTTCCAGGACCTTGACAATGTACGTCTCGTAGGCTTTCTGCTGATCTGCTTGCTCCCTGCCAGTGACGTCGAAGACTTCAGACAAGGTGCTGAACTTTTGGCCATTACCCAGGTCCTTTCTCAAAACCTCGGGAATCTGGACTTCCCACTCGCCATCTTTGCACATAACAAAGGGGTAGTCAAACCAAAAGCCCTTACCCTCGTACCACTCGACCTTCTCGTTGAAGACCGACGGCTCCGTCGAGTCCATGGCGCCCATCGTATCGCCGTGATAGCTGCCCTTCAGACCGAGTATCTCAAGCCTGTCGCTGGCTTCCCAGCCGTACCGCACCCTCGCGGCTCGCAGCCCCATCTTGACGGCGACCTCCATGCCGGTACTGCCGTTGTCGGAGTAAAAGACGCGAGACAGGCGCGGGTTCCGCAGCCCCACGAGGAGATTCTCGGCGAGGGCCAGGGCGGGCTCGTGGACCGCCGAGGCGAACATGACGTGTCCGTAGCGGCCGGCGGCGTACGACGCCGCGAGCGTCAGCTTCGGGTTCGCGTGGCCCAGGCCCTGCGTCCACCACGACGACGACCCGTCGAAGGAGGGTTGCAGCAGGGCCTGGTCATCCGGCGTGCTCCGGCTCTGCGGGACCAGGGTCTGGAAGTTGTCGCCGTGGGCGGAGTCGATGGCCGTGATCTTCTCGGGGGTCAGGTTCTTGTGCTGCGTGAAGGGGTACCAGATGATGTCGTGCGCGTCGCGGGACATGGACTCGAGGCGCGAGATGCGGGCGAGGTGGCGGTCGTGCAGGTGTCGCAGGGTGTCCTTGATCACTCCGCCGGAGCTCACCTCGTCGTAGTACTGAGACAGCGCTTTCGCGTCGACCGCGGCGTCCTCGGCGCGGGCCGGGGGCTGCTCGACGGAGGTGACGGGGATGCCGTGTCCTTTGGCGAAGTAGTCGGTCAGGTAGGAGTAATTCTGGTACTGGTCGTCACGGAAGAGGAGAATCGATTCGACGTCGTAGCCGCGGAGCTTGAGCGACTCGAACGCGGAGATGGTCTGCGAGATGCCGCCGAGTTTCGAGTCGCCGATGAAAACGACGGGGATCCGGAGTGGGGCGTAGAGGTCGGCCTGCGGGGTCCCGGACGGAGCCGGCGAGTGCACGCCGCCGGCCGTTTCGACGAAAAGCCACCCGGGCCCTTCGGCGACGGTGCGGGACGCGCAGTCGTACAACTTCTTCAAAACTTCTCCATCGGACGGTGTTGGCTGCCAAAAAAAGAAGGATGTTTCAGCAACGGAACGGTTGTCATGTTGCATTGGCTAAAATTAGCATACTCACCTGTTTCGACACCTGAGCGGCGAGATGTGGACTCGCGGGGATCTCAAACTGAAACAGCGTCGTCTTGTTGACTCCGGTCGTGAACCTCCCGATGTGCCTAACAAAGGTGAGTTAGTCAAAAGCGAACTTTCATCGAGATTGACGCTATTGCCATTCTATTTCCAGAATTAGTTGAGATGGCCAGTGTGCAGATAGACGAGAAAAGAAAAAAACCGGGGTGATCCGTTGAGGAGTTGAGTGAGGGTGGGAACTTACACGCATCATCGGCTTCAGACAACGGGCCCGTCGAGACGGGCTTCAGGAAGGACGTCTGCTCATTCGGCCACAGCTTGCGGGCCGCGTTGCACAAAACCGTGGAGAAAATCGTCTTTCCGACGTCGGTATTGGCGCCGTAGATCTGGTATGCTCTGAGAGAGCGCCAGAGCAGGGCGCCGACGGGTGCCATTGAGGGCGTCGGTCAATGCCAAAAGCCCATCAAAGACAAAAGACGGTCAGTCGCGGCTGAAAGCAAGTGCAGCAAGACCAATTGATGAGTTCCCGAGTCCCGTTTGCTGTCAGCGCAGCAAGCAAGTCGCCTGAAATGAGTGGAAGAAGAGGTGTCTCAACACGGCAGCTCCGTGGAGCCCGTGGCAATGGGGGAAAAAGGAGGAGACGGGGCGGGGTACGGAGTTGCTGCTGCGGCATTTGTTGCGCCGAGAAATGGGGCAGCGCAGCGGCTATCAAAGGGGGAAAAAAAGGAAAACTTGTTGAGTTTGTGACTGTGTGTCACTTACTCAGGAGGAGGAGGAGGAGTCACCAAATTGGATTTCTCAACGGTGCGGCCCGGTTGACAGCGGCGGTGGGGTTGAGCTTGCATGGATCTCGCATTCGCGCTATTGAGATCTACTCCGGATGTAAGGGGAAAATTCCCTCGTCTCTCAACTCTCGAATGCCGAGGTTGTTTGTTTGCTCGATGCGGTGGTCCCCTCTTTTTGACACAATTGACATTTCCCGCAAGGAGAGAACCCCAACCAAACTCGTATCTCAAACCATGCCGGCAAGCGACCGGTTGGACGGCGTTTTCGCGGCGCTCCTGGCCCGCCGGGAGGCCAAAAGCCAGCTCCGGCGGCTGACGCTCGTCCCGCCCGGCAGCGCCGACTTCTCGTCCAACGCCTACCTCTCGCTGTCGACCCACCCGGAGATCCAGCGCCGGTACCTCGCCCGCATCCAGGCCCACCTTGACCCGGCCGGCGGTGGTCTGCGGGACCGCGGCGCCCACGCCCACGCCCCGGCTCTGCTCGGGTCCGGGGGGTCTCGACTATTGGACGGTAACATGGCGCTTGCAGAGTCGTTAGAAAGCAAGATCGCCGCTTTCCACGGCCACTCGGCGGGTTTGCTCTTCAATTCGGGATTCGACGCCAACGTTGGCCTGTTCAGCTGCGTCCCGCAGCCCGGAGACGTCATCGTGTACGACGAGCTCATCCATGCCAGCGTGCATGATGGGATGAAGATGTGCCGGGCCTCGAGGAAGATTGCGTTTGCACATAACGCCGTCGAACCAAATGAAATCACTGCGGATGGCCGAGTCTGGAACGAGGCGGCGGATAGTCATAGAGGAAACCGCAGCTTGAGCGAAGTACTCTCGGCAGTGCTGGCCGGCAGAGAAGGGAGGGATATAAGAGAGGGACACAGTAATGTGTTCGTTGCCGTCGAGGGGGTTTATAGCATGGATGGAGACGTTGCGCCCTTGAAAGAAATCGTCGAGTGCGTCGAAAGGCTATTGCCGCAGGGGAATGGCTTGATTATTGTGGATGAGGCCCATTCAACAGGTCTCTTGGGCGAAAAGGGCCGGGGACTGGTTTGTGAGCTAGGCCTGGAAGACAGAGTTTGGGCACGAGTCCACACGTTCGGGAAAGCCATGAGTTGCGCCGGAGGTAGGTTGCCATTCTTGATGAACATTTGTGCACCCATTTACTGACAGTTCGCAGCAATTGTTCTATGCTCACAACTAACTCGCTCATACCTCATTAACTATGCGCGAAGCCTCATCTACACCACTGCGATGCCGTATACATCACTCGCCAGCATACAAACTACATATGACTTCATCATGAGTGGCCAGTCTGAGCCGCTACTTCGTCACTTGTGGTCTCTCATTGACCGCACACATCAACTGCTTCTGGACATCTGCAGCCAGCATCAACCCGAGCCGGCCCTCCTAAGCCTCACGCCTGGAAAACCCAAGTCGCCGATTATACCCCTGTTTACGTCCAATCCGCGAGGTTTGGCGCAGTACTGTCAAGAACGGGGCTTCATGATCCGCCCGATCGTTGCACCCACGGTTCCGAAGGGCAGCGAGCGGGTGAGGATATGCCTCCACGCCGGAAATAGTGTTGAACAGGTTGAGGGGCTGGTTTCCGTCATTGAAAGCTGGCTTGTGGCCCAGATGAGTCAGGCTGAGAACGAGGCTCAGAGGTTCGAGGCGACGGCGATTGCAGGGTTGAAGTCCAGGCTTTGATGGACTTACGGCGTTCGAACTGAGATACTAGACGGAATAAAAGGAAAAAGAGCATAAGACATATTGAACAAACATACGAAATGAACCGAAGGTCGGCATGTCAAAAGAGTATTTACGAAAGTTTATTAGAGACAAGCTGTCTCACATATTCTCCAAAATTCGAGCCTCAAACGCGGCGCGCCCCTGACTAATTATCTCAAGCCAAGAGGAACTGACCCAAGCACACAACGACTATGGACGTCCACATCCATGTAAGCCCGTGGGCAGTTTCGGTTGCTGAGCTTCTGCCGGGAGGAAGAGTGACTGGAGGCGTGGAGTTACCTCTGCCGCCGCCGCCGCCAGCAGTACCGTTTCCTCTCCCCTTTCCTCCGCCAGGCATCGTGCTGTTGCCCTTGCCCTTACCTCCTTTGCCTTTGCCTTTTCCTCCGCCGGTCTCAGTGCCATTGCCTTTCGCGCCTCCGTGTTCGCCCTTGCCCTTGCCCTTACCCTTTCCACCTTCTCCGTTGCCTGTGCTGTTGCCCTTGCCTTTACCCTTGCCTCCTCCATGTCCCTTCTCAGTTCCATTCTTCTTGGTCTCCATCTCCATCTGGAATCGAGCGAGCGCGCCATCCAGACCATTGGCAGACGTGACCTGAGCTGGAGGCTTGGGTGGCGTCGCTTGTGAGTTGACCCTCTTCAACTCTACGCTGGCCTTTTGAGCATCCGTCGCAGGAGTTTCGATGAAGGGGATCATGGGAGCGAGTGTTGCGCAGTTGTCTTGCTGAGCGATGGGCATTCCCTCCATCGTACCAGTGTTGTTCTGGAACAAGAGTCTCTGCTTGCCATCAACAGTCCACACCTGCCATTCCGGCATGCCTGCCTGGATCTTGGCAGCATTGGGGTCAAGAGTGCGGATGAAGCTGGCCCAGTACGCCTGAGTCAACGGCACGATGGGTGCGTTGGTCGTCGAGTAACTCTTGGGCGGAGCGCCGTCGGTGTTGTTGGGGCCGAAGACACCGTTCAACTCGACGGTGTGATAGGCACCAAAGCCCAGAGCCTCCTGCTCGTCGTCGATGGGGCCGTAACGGTAGTTGAATGTCTTCACACCGTCACGAGCCTGCGCATCCTGGAAGATCTTGGTGATGCAGTGCGCTCTGAAGTCACCGTGGGCGGTCGCAAGCTGACGCCACAACTTGCCGGACTTCGGGAATACAGGCTGCTGGACATCGAGATAGGTTTGTTGGAGAAGAGCCAGAGACGCATTGCTGAGAGACTGGGTGGCTTGGTTGTTGATCGTCTTGAGAGCGTCAGCGGTGTTGTCAGTACTCTGCGGCACGTTCTTGGTTCCTTCGTCAGTGCAAGTGCCGGCGATGGTTGGGACCTTGAGGTATTTGCCCTCAGCGAATCGTTGCAGAGTAGGAGCCTTGACGAGGTCGCCGTCGAGGTTGGGGTTGAACTGGCACTCTTCCGTCTGCAAAGCCTTCGCATCGAGACCGCGGAGACAGGCAAGAGAATCCGCCTGCTTATTGCAGCCGGTAGCGTTCGTCAAGCAGTTGTACTGTTCTTGGCCCTGTTCAAGCGTACGGACAGTCGCGACCGAGACCGACTCCATGATGGCACCCTTGATCAGGCCCGGGTCGTTGTCCCCGAACGCGGCGAGGAGGAGGGCGACGGACGTCGCGCCGGCGGAGTCTCCCACAGCCACCATCTGATCGGGGTTTCCCCCGAAAGCCGCGGCGTGCTGCTTGAGCCATTTCAGGCCCTGGATCTGGTCCTTCAAACCGTTGTTCATGCTCGCGCCCGCCTGCACCTCCTTGCTCTGCAAGAAGCCGTACGGCCCGACGCGGTAGTTGACCTGGACGACGAGCATGTTTCCGAACCTGGCCAGGTCGCTGCCGTTGAAGTTCGCGTTGGAGAGGGACTGGAAGCCTCCGCCTTGGATGAAGTACATGACCGGCAACTTCGATTCCGGGGTCGCGTTGGACGGCGCGAAGATGTTGACGAACAGGCAGTCCTCGTCCGTGGTGAAGCGCTTGTTGGGCTTCATGGTGAAGTCCGACGCACTACGGGCCAGGCATATTGGGCGAAACTATGGGATAGTCAGTTCAAGAGTCAATACGCAGAGCCAACTGTGGAAGTCTAACCTGGGAGTTGTCGACGACGTCGGTTGTGTTGGGAGGATCAACAGGAGCGGCAAATCGAAGCTGGCCCGTCGGCGGCGCCGCAAAGCGAACCCCGAGCCATCGGGTCGCACCACTTGGCTCCGCGACGCCCTGGAGTTTAGTATAGCCAAGGTCGACGAGCGGGTCAACCGCCTGGACCTGGCCGACGATGGCGGCCGAGAGAAGAGAAACGAAGGATTGAGTTGAGAAACGCATTATTACAGATAGAGAACGACTAAAAAGGAAATAATAAATAGTACGGTGTACCAGACGGTCATACCAACAACGAACGGGCTCAACATCGTCTGAAAGAGATTAATTGCGGCGTCCTGTCATCTGTTATACAGCATGCCACTCTCGACCCAGCACGACGAGATGGACCGGGTTATTCTTGACTCGGGCTGCGACCGTCTGCGCCCCCGGACGGCGAGTTGAAGGGCGCGTCCCGCGGGCCCTACGGACTTCTTTCTGGGGCGTCGCGGGGGGTTTCAGACGGGTTTGATGCCATTTGTCGTGAGGTCTCGTTCCAGACACCAAACTCAATAGGACGGGGAGGCCGGGATCCCCGGACGATGATTTTCGTCAAGCGGTAGCGAAATGTGATTGGGACGAGTGCCGCGTTTGCCCCCCTTGGGGAAGTGCAGTACTACTTTACCCGCAGAATAGACTTTCGTCCCAAGTCGCCCTGCGTCGATTGCTCTCGTCATGGTGGTCGTCTCTCTCTCCGGTTGATATCTCATAAGACGAACGCTCCCCTGGTCGGGGGTTTCACGTGGGCAGGTATTGCCCAGTCAGGCAATGTCATGCAACCATGTCAGGTCGCATCGCATTATGCCACGCCGACAGATCGGACTGACAAGATCCATGGGCCATCCTCCGCGCCTTATGGTACGCGCCTTGGTCGAAGGCCGTCCGTCGGATCTTTCCTTGGAAGTTGGGGGGGAAGATCCCAGGTTTTGGTCTGAAGTCGAAGTGGCTGAGGAGACGATGACTTTCGGGTGCTCTCAACTCCAGTCGTTAGTACCACATAGCGTGGAAGTTTGCTGTATGTGCTTCTATTTACAGCTCTAGCTTGAATATGTACAGCGAATGAAGATTGAAAAACAGATGCTCTGCTTCTACTGTAGTCGAGCTTCAGCTGTTTGGTCTGAACTACGCACGATCACTCGTAGACGTAGCAGAACGGTCCTCCGACTGTGCTCATCAGGTCCCCGAGCCTCGCGGGTCCACCGAGGGGTGAAATATCGAGAGTATCGTCCACGGTGACGTTTCGGCTTGGCGGGTTGTTTTGCAGCGTTTCGGTGCCGAAAGCCTCCTTCAAACAGGCCAGGGTCAGTTCGAATTCGATGAAACTTCATTACGCGCAGCTCCTTCGTTGGAGAATCGGGAAAACCAAATGAGGAAAGACATACCTGTCGGTTGGCGAAGTCCTGCATCTGCCAAATCCAGTAGATGCGGTCGACCTGGGCATGGTGGAGGTAGAAGGCCGGCTCGCCGGGCGAGATGAACGGATCCGAACCGGGATCACCTGGTATTATTTAGTATTACTACCCTCCACGACGGGACGAGTTCTGATTCCTTACCGCCAATGGTGTAATGTCCGCCGCCGTGAACTCCGAGCTCGACACCGGGCACGTAGCGGTCGTCGCCCTGCATGACGGCCTGGAACCACTCGACGTTGTCGTTCTCCAGGACGAGGCTGGTGACGTTGCGGAACGAGTTGTACCGCTGGGCGATGTGCTTGTTGAGGTCGCGTCTCAGGCAGCGGGGGTGGTCGTCCGTGGGCCTCTCGGTCGAGTTGAAGGTCGGCGAGCCGTACTGCCAGAGGAGCCGGGGGCCGACGTGGACCGTCATGTCGGCGAACGGGCCGCTCTCGACGCAGCCGCCGCCGGAGCCGGGCTGGAGCTTCACGGTGGTGTTGGACCGCGACTGGAGGATCTGCATCCCCTCGTGGGGGATGAAGGCTCCGTTGCCGCCCATGGAGGTCTCGGACCCGTCGAATACCGGGGACGCGGCCGGGTCGTTGACGTCGAGACTCCAATCCCAGTAGGGGAAGATTCCTGTTCAGCCAACGAATCAGATTAATCATCGGATGGCCTGACTAGGGACCTACCCTGATATCCACAGACGGAACGCAGCTTCTGCTCATACGTCCATGTGAAGAAGCGGTGCCACAGGAGGAAGTTCGCCTGTCATACGAAGGTATTAGTAATCCATGAGTCTTGCTTGTTAATGGAAGAAAGAAGTTTCACGCTACTTACCGTAACGTGAATTCGCGATGTCTGGTTGAGATGTATCAATACGAAGTCATCGTAGCCGGACTTCGCAGCGGGAAGCTCAACGGGGTCAAGCAAGCTAGGAGAGGCCTGGAGGCATTGGACCGCCGCAACGAAAGACTTTCGGTCTTCGACGGACAGCTTTCTCCTGCAATTCGTACTCAGTAAGCTGCTGAAGAACAACGATGTAAACTGTATTTCTTACCACTCCCTTCGCACTTGAACCTTCTCGGGAGAGCAGGTGGAGTTGAGACCCGAGCCCGAGTTCAACGCCCGAGCAGCTCTGAGGGCATCAGCGCTCAGCTGGGACAGGGCTTCGCCGTTGTCGATCGCGGCCTGAGAGAAGTTGTAGGAGCCAGGAGCAGCACTCGTGACGGCGGCTTGGGCCGCCACGAGGAGCCACAGGCAGTGCTTGAGGACCGCCATGATGTCAGAGTCGCTTCTTCGGATGAACCGCCAAAAAGCCAAGACTGCACACGCGAACTCTGCGCTCCCTCTGAATCTGAATAGTAATCGCAGCTGACTACATGAGCTTTATGTTCATTCTGGTTCTTGAGAAGCCATCCGAAGACGGCAGCCTGCCGGTTGATCTTGCCAGGTTCTTTCACTGGAGCATTTCAGGGATGGTTCTGCTCGGTTAGGGCCTTTTATCCAGCCCTGTGAGGACATCGTGAGCCTGACATTGGCCAGTCTGATCAGAAGGCCATCCGAGCCAGGTTTCCGGGTTCCATGTAGATGGATCGGGAAGCCTAAGCTGCCTTGGTCAAATGTTGTTCAATGGGGCCCATGGTGCAAAGTTGGTCCGAACGAGGATGCATCATGCCGTGTCTAATTGGGGCATCTCCAAAGCCAAGACGTCGTCGTGCCAATCGTGACGGGTTAGTTGGAGGAGCCTTAATCTAATTTGGCTATCGATATCAAAGTTAAATTTGGTATCGCCACATGGGGCCCATACGTAGCTTGTTAAAAACAACCACATCCTCGTTCTCGGCTGCTGAATGTCAGCAATGACAAAACCACGCTAGACTACGGCGCTCCACGGGTCCTGACTTCACACACTGGGAGTGACTTGAAATCCATATTTTGATCTCTAAAGACGTATATTGTCACCGCTTATTGCTGGTCCTATCTTCAGCCTGCCAGGTTTGTTTTGGAGTGGATCCATCACGAGTCAGACGCAGTTATCATATAGGGTCGACCAAGGAGTTGAGCTTCGGCACTTGACTTCACCTTTGTTGACGGGAAATCAAGGAAGCCGGATTGATTCGGTAGCTTGGAGCAGCTTGGAGAGTTTTTGTTTCCCTGAGTTGATAGGAACATGTGTATGCCTCTGGAGTTGTAAAGCGGCATTGGCCTCGAACAGAAGTTGACGTATCTTGACGTCGAAGACCATCCTGTTGGCCCCCGCAGGACGGTCTGAATTTTTCGGGATCAGCAGATCTGATAAGATGCTCGCTGGGGCTTGTGGAGTTGACTTCGCTCAAATCCCGATGATCTTCGCGACAGGCCGGGGTTTTGTGTCCCTAAACCAAGGACAGGCTGTGGACTTCGCTTGACGAGTCACATAATTCTCGTGTAATACCCAGTCCTGACAAAAAGGGAAAAGAATACACGAGATCGATGACATTTCTGCGCCAGAGCGAAAGATCGTGATTCGGTGCCTGGTCATGATATGCATTACCCTAAAACCATTACAATTACAAACTCCGCCCATGCAAGCGTACACATACATGCTAGATTTTTGTGAACCACCCTTCGCCCTTTTTCTTCGTCTTGACTATCCGCGCCAGTGCCAGGAAGAAAGTCCCGACCATGAGGCAACTGGCCGCATACGCCTGGGCGCCGTAGTATCGACCGCCGCTGGCGGTGATGATCGCTCCCGCTATGGGCGGCCCGGTCAACACCGCAAAGCTGACAATCGTGAAGATCATTCCGATCCGCGTGCCCTGCTTGCTCGGATCCGTCGTCAGGGCGCTGACGCCCGCGGGGAACAGGGCCTGCACCGCGTTTCCCACGATGCCGAAGATGACGCTCCAGGCGTAGAGGCCCGCTGGGGACTTGACGGCGATCCAGCAGTACGTCAGAACGCCGGAGAGGAAGGCCATCGGGGTGAAGACCGTGATGGTGCCGACTTTGTCAGCGAACCAGTTGGGGCCCAGGCGTCCGACGAAACCGATTCCGTTGAGAATCAAGAGTAGGTTGAGGGAGTCTGGATAGGAGAAGCCGAGTTCGTCTCGACTGAACGAGGCGGCGTAGTAGAAGGCGAAGTAGACTCCCATGAAAGACTGGCAGGCGGGTCTGGTCAATACATTGTGCGCAGATATTGTTTGTGGATTTTCGGTTGACTTACGAAGAACCCCCCGGCGGCATAGAAGGAGTATTCTAGCTCCTTGAAGGCTGTCAAGTCCACCATCTGGGCCTTTTTCCGTGGCGGCAGTCGAGGCTTCAAGAAGATGAAGCCGATGGTCAGAGTAGCGAGCTGAATGAAGCCCAGGGTACGCATCGCCCAGGGGAAGCCGACCTGAGGCAGCATCTGGCGGATCGTACTAGGAAAGACCAAGCCGCCAGAAGCACTACCTACGGCCGCAATCCCAATCGCGAGAGCTCGTTTCTTGTCAAAGTACGTGGACAGCACCGCCAACGTCGGACAGAACGCAAGACCGTTGCCCAGACCGACACAGACACCGTGGGAAAGAAGGAGCTGCCAGTACTGCGTGCACCATGAGGTTGCGAAGATTCCAAGCAAGATGAGGAAACAGCCACAGAGGTACAGAGGTCGAAAGTAGCCTGCGTCGGTAAATCGTCCGGAAAATGCGCCGACGAAGAAGAGTAAGAAGACTTGGATGGAACCGATCCAAGCCACGTCTGAAGGTGGCCGCTGGAGCAGTTCGACATAATATGTTTGGAAGACTCCCCAGGAGTTGATGAAGCCCCTGTGATGGCAATGTTAATCTTCACGTTCGTGGTAATTGAACATTCACGAGTGATGAGACCGAACGTACCATGTATCCATGAAGATGAAATGAGCAGCCATTGCTGTATCGAAGGAAAACAATTAGCTTTGCAGTTTTGGCAAATGAATCTAATCCATGATCGCACTTACCTGCCATCCAAGCAGCGTAACCGCCATCGGGTGGAGGGCCAGGTTGTTTTGTTGGTACTGATGTAATTCGACTCAATACACGACCGACGCGGCTTTCTGGGACCGCTGCTTCTGCGTCCACGACACCATCGTTCCGCGACGAGTCCGATCTCGTCTCTTTGTCCGCGCTATCCATTCCAGCGGTTTGCGCGTCTCGCGTTGTCGTTGACGGATGTTTTCTGGTGGCGTCATACAATTCGCGACAATCGGGAACGTTTTCCGGTGTGCTTCATTGAAAGCTCGACGTCGTTTCACTATGTTGCTGAGTGAGTTGAGTGAGTTGTCTTGAGCTTCGAATGCGTCTTGGCGGGTCCTTTGCTTATGTTGTCATTCTTTCAAGTTTTGAACTACCGCTTACCGAGGTTGGTAGGACTGCAAGGGCTAAGAGAAATAAGTCATACTTGATGATTGCATCCCCCGCTCGGTCTGTTCCGCGTTAGTCATCTTGTCGCGAAGCGCGAAAGACAAACCCCGGCTTTTCAAATCCCTTACGTGAATGATTTATGGTCTCGGCCCGGTACCGGTCGGTGGACCAACCAGATGCCGACGAGCTACCGTTTGGTCCACATTTGACCGGGAATAGCCCGGAGTCAAGCGGCGCCAGCGGGAAACTATCCGCTCTTCCGACTTGAGTTTCCTTTGTCAACAATAAATCCGTCATGTTTAAGCTTACAATAACGACTCTTAAAGTTCTTATATTCTTCAGCAAGTTTTCCAAAGTTTGGTTGTAACTTAGTGAAGCTGTAAGAAAGTATCATGAGCCACAGCTGTTAAACGCCATGTTCGAAGCTGCAAAAAGCTAAATGCACGGCTTTTGAACAGAATATACAGATGTGTATTTCTTTGCCGAAATCTCAGTGTTCAACCCAGATGATTGCATGTGCGGTTTGACATGAGCATCTGTCATGGCGGCCATGCTCCCGCCTAGTTTCGCGTCAGCAATTGTTGATTAGTGTGTCACATGTCACCGTTTAACGACGCTGGACTTTGACTCAGTTGTGTCACCAGACCCGAAATCGCAGACTTTCCGCGGAGAAACGGAGGCGACTAGTCATAGTGTCAAATTCATCGGACCCAACAAAGTTGTCAAGCCAAGGGCGCAACACTTCATGTTTTCCTTTTTTATTTCCCATAACACCCGCACCATAAAGGGAATCAATTAATAAAAAGACAACAAGAAAAACAGAAGTAGTAGCAGTATGTAATGATAGATTGAAGTAATTCTTCTTCCAAATTTCATTTATCACATCATCTCTTGATACGCAGGCTACACCAGCAATGCATACTGAAACCTAAATTGTCCTGGTTTAATTACCTCATTCAACTTTCTTGTTACTTCCTAGGAGACTCAGTTGCGCTGTCTGTGTCAATTAGCTACATAAGATAGTACTTTGTGGAATAACGGCCACTAGCAACTGCAGTAGGCCTGGTAAATATCAAGTTCATTTTTTTGGTATTCTGAAGCAACTGGAAAAGAACATTATGGGAGACTTCGATCATATCAAAGCACAGTTTGTTGTATTCGTTCGCTTTCGTCTGTTCTCGAGTGTTCATCTAGGCATCATAAATGTCTTCAATGTTGGCTTATCACCGGCGGTTACTTGTCAGGACGATGGAAGTAATAGTTTTTAGACGATCTAGACCATGTGAAATTGCAAAAAAGAAGCTGGCATGAATGAACTGGAATAGCTGTATTCAGGAACATGTCAATACGCCTTATTGAAACTCCGGACGGTCACGTTACCCCTCAGCACAATAACACATTCTATTGCGTTGCGTTACTGAAGTCACTCAAGCAACGACTGTCTGTGAAATATCTTCGAGGCCGACTGAGAAATTGTCTTTGGAGTTGAATGGCAATTTTACGCAATGTCGCTTCTGCTTGTTAGATTTATGCCCTAAACAGAATTTTTACGCAAAAGACCGTTCGTTGTCTTAGCTCATTACGTTATGCGACAAGAAAGCCGTTCTAATTGTGATTTTCTATGTCTATTCTGAATTTGAGGCTATTTGATTACCCTGGTATGAAACTCATATCGAGCTTTGATGAGATTTGCACATTAAGTTCCGGCAGCTTTGAGTCGGAGCCGGGAACTCGGTCTAGAACCGGGGGCCGGCTGACGGTGCGGGTCCCGGAGACATGCATTCCATCCCCCGAGTCCTAACACAACGCCAACCGAAAACGGACATGCGTATTTCTCAGTTTCGCAAAAAAGTGCCTGAGGAACATGTTGGCTTCAACCCCCGCAGGAAGTATTTAATTCGCCCACACATCCGCCCACGCGAACAAGTTAGGTACCAACAAGACAGATAAGATACTCTAGTTCGAACCCGACCTTCACGACATTGCGTGATGCAGCAGGGGTTCCCGAACGGGAAACACGTGTTCCAGAGCTTCTCATTGGTCCGGTTAACTAAGAACACAAGTCACTAAAAGCTGTGATTGGCCTGTTCAACGAAGGATCGTAATCCTTGAACGCCGAGTTCAATAGTTTTCGGTATCCTCCGTCGGTTTTTGTCTACGGGTGGAGTTGTTCATCTCAGGGGTCTTGAAGGGATTCATATCCCACGCCGAGTCACATGCGTCCACTCTGAACGTCAAACCACCCGCCGCCCGCGCCAGTCGGCTGCATCTCTGAGTCTTTTCGCGCGTCCTGTTGTCTCGTACATTGCCCGATTTGAACAAAGAGTTTCCTCCAGTCACCTGTTTCAGAGGGTTCTTCAGAAGATGGATGCCAACAAGTCCACGCCGGGCCCAACCTTGATTAGCCGGAGCTCGTCCCGATCGCAGTCGCTGAGCCCAGACACTGGCTCCGAGGAAGGGTATGTGTCTCTCCTTAGTCAAATCAGACGACGTCTGGGTCCGTGTCATGGACGATCCGTCCCGTCAGCCCGGGTCTTAGACTTGGTGAACCCTGAAACATAATGGAGCAAGTGCTCAGATCCAGCTGTGATTTGCAAAAAGGAACCCCATACTAACCAGCTGGGGGAAAACCGGTAGGCCCGCGCAGAAGGGCCAGGTCCTGGTCTTCTCGTTGTCGAACCGCCCTAAACAAAGCCGAGCGAGCGCACCCAAGAGCCGCAACGGCTGTAGAGAATGCAGGTATGTACACGCCGTTTGCATATGCAACCCGCCCCAAGTTTGCCCCCTTCGAGACACACTCCCCCTTATCCCGTTGGTAGCGTCGGACTCACGTGGCAAGCACAGGCGACGCCACATCAAGTGCGACCAGGCCAGACCGTACTGCATGAAATGCACAAAGTCCGGCCGAGAATGCGACGGATACCTGGACTCGGCCTCTCGCGCTCTGCCGGCCAAGCAGGGAGGAGGAGCAGGAGCGGCGGTGGCCCGTCGGAATTTAAAGGTGCTCCCCACCACAGATACCCGCATATTCAAGATGCTAGGCTACGAAACCATGCTCTTCGGTCAGCAGAGCGACTGGGAGTCGTTCCAGACCTTCGTGCTCTCCGTCGAATCGGGGGACACGCTCGTCATCGACAACACGTCCATGATGACCCCCCAGTACGCGACGAACGGGGCGGACTCGACCGCCGTCCGCCAGATCTGCTGCGGGATCGGCACCCTGTCCAAGTCCTTCCAGGTCGTCGCGGAGGAGGAAATTAACACGGCCGAATACCGCCGCGCGCTGGAACACTACGGTCGTGGGGTGCGCGCCATCTTCAGCCTAAAGCCGACGACGACCACCCTGCCCAGCACGATCCTGGCGTCTCTGCTTTTCGAGTGTTTCGAGTGGATGGCCGGCCACACGGAGGCCACCATCAAGCACCACAACCACTCCGTCGCCATGATGTGGCAGTACGTCGACTTGTTGATAGAGGAGCAGGGGGTCCCGCTGAAGCGTCTGAACCTGTCGGAAATGGAGCAGGCCATGTTCGACACGCTGGAGCGCCTGGACACGCTTCCGTGGGTCGAGGGCTTTGGCGAGAACGAGAGGATCAAGACCTCGTCCCCGGCGCGGAGGTTCCCGCACGGGTGCCGGCACCGACTCGACATGGACGAAATACCGAAAAGCTTCAACAGCACGCAGCAGGCCTTCACCTGGTGGCATTTCACGCAGCACAACATGGCCCACTCCCTCCACCCCCTGAAAACCTCACAGGTCGCCGATAGCGAAAAGGCAGCTGCGTACGACGAGTGTGCCGCTCTGTTAGAGACATGGCACTCCTCGTTCATGCCCCTCTTGCTCCACGCCAAGCAGCACCGGAGCAGTCACGGCTCCAGGTGGTCGCGCGCCATGATCCTCGAGTCTCTGTACGTCGAGACCATCTCGGCGCTCCACAGCCGCCACAAGCAGAACTCGAACGTGCTGCCGGCGGTGCAGCCGATCTACAGGGACCTCATAGCCATGTCGAGGCAGATGGCCGGGGAGAAGCCGCTCAACGGGATCGAGACGCTGGGGAGAGAAAACTCCATCATCCGGCCGATCGTTTTCGTGTTGCTTAAATGCAGGGACCCGGACATTGTGCGAGAGTCCAAGGCCGTGCTGGAAAGTCTTCAAGGCGGCATCAACATGGCGTGGACGATGCTCTTCTCGATGAATAATCCGAAGAAGACGAAATCTATTGTCTTCTGCGACAGGGCCTGGGGCTGGTACTTGACGACCAGCGGTTGCAGCTCTGGAGCTCACATATTTGACGGCATACTTTGAGACATGATGATCTGTCTGGCGTTTGACGGGCAGGGTTTCTGTGAGATTTGCCGCCGCCTTCGAGTTGCGTCTTCGAGAACCTCAATACATGTGATTACGTCAGGGGGGTAATGTATCGATTGCGGGTAGTTACATAGAGTAGAAGGTCCCACATGGTAATCATAGTCAGGGGTATCAATGTAATTAGAATAATCACTAAAGTCTACCCTCCACAACTTTTTAATCTCTTATTCCATGTCTGCAAAACTTCGTCTTTCACTCTCATATTTCCTCACCCGCCTTCTGTCGTGTACTTATGACCTTACGTCCTTGACATAATGGAAGTTATTTACCTCGAACTGAGCAATATTCTTGCAATTATTGACTATCACGAAGTTGTCAGTAATAACCCGATGAGTTCTTTGCTCTGAAGAACTCGGTCCACTCCTTTCTGTTCGTTCTCTTCATCGCAACGCCCCATGGAACCACTGAGAAAGTATGTGTTTTAGGAAATGCCCAGACCCAGCGACTGACACCGAGGACATTTCAAATATTATACCCAAATTGAGACAACAAACTTCCTGCAATCTTGCGGCACAGTATTATAGACGCAAAGCATCGGACTCTACTGCATCCTGGCCGAGAAACGTCACCCGCCCCCACAGAGATATCAGACTACCAGCGTTTCCACACGGCCCGAGCCTCGGAGCTTGGCAAGCCGGACGTGACTGTTCGACTTTGATAACGCCGGTCAACGCGTTCCGCAAAACAGCTACCTTATCGCCCTGCTTTGGTCAAATAGCAGCATCCGTCAGTCAGCCGGTTTTCAGATACGCTTAACCCCGGCGAGTCTCCGATGCCCGCGAAGCTTGCGCGGGGAAGCGGAGTCGCCAAGTGATTGGACACCGCCAGTCCGGCCGTCGGCGACACGAACCGAGATAGGGCAAACGGACGGGATACATTATCGGAACCAGTTGATCGTCGGTTGCTCGAAGGATTTCGAAGAGTCATCGTTATTGATCACGGAAAAGGCCGATGACTCCGTTTTTACATACAATTCGATGCATGCGGGTAGAATCCCCATGTCAGCTCTGCAGCAAATGGGCGCGACGAGAATGGAAAGATTGCCGCAAAGAGGGGAAGAGTACGTACGACGCTATCGTCTAAGTCGTCGTATATTTAAGGCTACGTGAGATTAAAGAGAAACCTCGCCCACCTTTGTTGTTTACTCACGGAAGTTCTGGTCTCTTCGCAGCTTGTCGAGCTAATTCCATTTGGTATAATGGCTTCCTGGTTCCGCGCTGCCATCACGCTGGCTTTGGCCGCCGCTGCTTCGGCATCTCCCATCGCCAGGTCGAACGTGCATGTATCTAGAAATGACTTTGACCTGGAATGGTTCTCGACCAACTCCTCCCTCCCCAAGGTCTTGTACGTCAAACCAGCTGGCACACCCCATCCTCGTCTCGATGTTGACTCCCGCGAAGAATCTACAGCACCGGCGGAACCATCCTCTCAGCCTCGAATTACAGCCGCCTCGACAACGTCGCGTACGGCTACGGCGACGGCCCTTCCCCGCGGGACCTGATCGGAAACGTCTCCGAAGTCCTCGACGTCGCCCAGCTGGCCGTCGTGGAGTTCCCGGCCACGAGCGGCAGCGCGGGTCTCAACTCGTCGCTCTATCTCAACATCAGCCAGTACGCTAACAAGCAGCTCTGTGCTGAGGATAGTGACATCGCGGGGGTCATCATGTTTCACGGGACGAATACCCTCGAGGAAACGGTAAGCTTGAAAAGGATGACTGGAAGCCAAGTCGAGAAGAACAGTTCTGACTGATGTGGCCATGTGATTGCAGGCATTAGGCGTGGATTTGACCTTCAACTGCTCGAAACCCTTCATCGCCACCGGCGCCATGCGTCCCGACACGTACATCTCGCCGGACGGACGTTCCAACTTCTACCAGGCGGTCGCGGCGGCCGCGTCGCCCTCCTCGCGAGACCGCGGCGGACTCATCGCCTTCAACGATAGGTGAGGCTATGCAGAAACAACTTCAAAAGTGAGGGTTATCGTGTTAGGCTGACCGAGTTCCTCTCACAATTCAGAATAACCTCCATCTACTACTCGACCAAGGTCAACGCCAACACGCCGGACACCTTCAAGGCCCTCGAGCAGGGCAACCTCGGCGCCTTCCTCGCCGGACAGCCGTACTACTTCTTCGACGCCGCGTACCCCACCGGCCGGCCCTACTTCGACGTGAGCGGCACGACGGAGCTCCCCGCCGTCATCATCGTCTACGGCCACCGTGAGTATCACCAGCCTTTCATAACCCCGCTAAAATAACGAGGTACGTTTTCTGATGTATTTTACTAACACAAACTACAGAGGGTTTCGACGCATCCTTGATGTACGCCGCCGTCCAAAACGGAGCAAAGTGAGTTCGCGACCGCCGATCTTTCCGGCCAACCTCCACATTTTTGCTACATGGACTAAAATGACGTTTTTCTTCTTGTGTACCAGGGGCCTGGTGATCATGGGACCCGGCGCGGCTTCCGTGAGCCCCGGCGCCAGCGCTGCGGCCGCCGATCTCCTCGAGCAGCAGGGGATCCCCACGGTTGCCGTCGCCCGTCCGGTTACCGGCTCCGGTGTTCCCAGTCCTATTCCCGGAACTCTGTGAGTTGCTTCTTTCAACCTCTTCTCTCGTTCGGTTGTTGCCGAACCGACGCCGTTCTGTTTGAATTTTAACTGTGAGTACGTGTTAATCAACTGTGGCTGACTGGATTGTAGCATCTATTCTAGTTACGTCGGAGCTGAGCAGGCGCGGATCATGCTGCAGCTGGCTATTAATGCGGGATACAGCCTCGACGAAATTCGCGATCTGTTCGAAAGTCCTCTGAGAAAGGCAGTCTACGGAACGGCAGCGAGCCAAAAGGCTTACTATTCCACCTAATCACAAAACGCAGACGTTATTCGATGAGACATGCCGGCTTATTCCGAAGCATAGACTGACGTGATGGAGAATGATTAGGTGTAATATACTATCTCCAATCGTATAATAAATAAGTCCGCTATCATACAGCACGTGAACGTAACCCTAGATCTCCCCACAACGAATTAATCGGCAAGCCTACATACGGCCAAGCCAAATTTCCCATTTCCCAAATACGCTATCGCTTATGTACAATCATCATTGGGCTCGCGCTTAGAGGGCGGCGAGGACCAGGCCGACGACGCCGACGGCGCCCAGGACGCCGGTGTTCTTGGAGGCGCCGGCGAAGACGGTGCTGGGGGTGGGAGATCCGGAGGGCTAGAGAGAGAGAAGGAGGAGACACGTTAATATTACTTCTCCCCAGATTACAACAGAGACCAGGCCCAGGCGGCACATACAATGACGACGGAGGTTCCGATGGAGGTGGTGCGGGTGACGCTGGTCGCGGCGGAGGTGCCGGAGGCGGCGGAGCCGGAAGCGGAAGCGGAGGCCGCGGAGGTGGCGGTGGTCAGGGTGGTGGCGGCGCCGGCGGCGGTGGTGGTGGAGGGAGCGGCGGCAGCGGACGAGGACTCGCCGGCCGGGGGCGCAGCGGCGGCGGAGGTGCTGGTGGTAGCGGGGACTTCGGCAGCGGCCGACGTGGTGGCGGGGGCAGCGGCGGTGGTGGTAGCAGCCGCAGCAGTAGTCTCGGCAGCGCCGCCGGAGGGGCTGGGGACGGGGGTCAGGCCGCAGCCCTTGGCGGCGTTGGTGACGCCGTTGCTGTAGTACATCCAGATGCCGAACTCGTTGGCGCAGGACATGCAGGCGGAGTAGCGCGTGCTCCACTCCTCCTTCTGGCAGTAGCCCTCGGTGCGGCCGAGAGAGATGAGGAGACCTGTGTGAAGTGATGCCGTGTCAGACTCTCTGCTGGGACGAGATATCGATATGACTGCCGTGTCAAATCGTAACAGATGGGGATCTTTTCTTACCGCAGTTCTCGTGGCAGGCGTAGCGGGGAGTGCCGGGCTCCTGGCGCTTCTCGACGACGGGGACGGCCTCGGGGTACTCCCAGCGGGCCTGGAGGGTGGCGGTGGCCAGGGAGGCGACGGAGGCCAGGACGGTGCAGGTAACGAATGAACGCATCTTGAAGGGCTATTAAGGGAGGTTTTGAGAGGCTCGAATTAAGGATGCCAAGGAAGATGCTTTTGGAGGACTGGGGGAGGTGGAATTGTCTTTAGTGCCAATCAGCTAATTTGAAGAAACGAGCGTGAGGAGGGGAGAGAAAAGACGGGAGAGAAAGGAAGGTTGGGAAAGAGCTTATTATATGCATAACAAACCGCCAACTTTACCTGAGCTCTCTCTGGGATCAGAGATTCTCAGGAACCACGCGTCAGTCTAGACTGCAATCCCGGCTTGGTATGCCGTATGCGTGTGTGGTCCTCCTTTTTTTCGCATTGCATCTTGGCCGCGGCGCCCCGTCCGTCATCCAGCAAGACAGGGAAGACGTGAGTATCGAAGCAGGGAAAGAAAACAGACAAGCGCCGTGAGCAGCAGCAGCAGCAGCAGCACCGGGCTCGATCTGACTTCTGGGCGTGCCTGCTCGGATTTGCCCCGGATCGCCGACCCGACATGACTTGGGGCCCAGCGAGCTTGTTGTCGTTAGTGTGATTTGGTGCGGGATGCCGAAGAAGAGTCCCAGTCTCTCGTACCAACCGATCCGAAAGCAAGGACAAGACCCATGTTCGAGGGTGGAGGGGGACTGGGAGGGAAGGGCAGGCGGGCGTTGGACAGGTACCCGCCGAACCAACGCAACTCTAAGTGTACAATGTCAGGATACGGATGCTACCTCTCGTTGTCGTGAAGGAACACGAACATGACTAAAGGCTTTGTTGGAATAGATTGAAGAGGACGAGGAGACGGCCGTTCTGGTTGGTGAGACTGATCCCACGCCCGCTCCGCTCTCGCGCTGCTCCCGCCTGTCCTGTCGGAAAACGGGTGATCTGATGCCAAGTGCAGCGTGCTGAGAACATGCGGTTTGGCCGACGAGGGTGCGTTCTTGCCTTCCCGAAAAGGGCTCTTCTGGCCGGAGCGTCTGGACGACTCACCGATATCGTTCGCGGTCCAGCTCACGGCGGCAGGGACCGGGGTATATGTGCCACAGGCTGCGGTGGACAAACGTGTGGACGATGACTGTCCGTGGCGTGAGGAGTGGTCGCTCGGCGAGACGGCCGACCTCTGGTTCCAGCTCTTTTTCCTGCGGGCGAGATCGGACTGGAGGAGAAGATCCTGGTTTGGTGGAGATGAAGATGGATACCACAGTAGGCTTTTTAAGGTACGATTAAACGAAGCGGAGCGGTGGGCATGGCGAAGGATCTTGTGATGCATCTAATCTTATCAATCACATCAGCTCCAGCCCATCACGGACGTTGCCCTTTTGGGTAAATCAACGTTGCTGCCAAGAGCCGCGGGCGGGCCGGACGGCGTCGTGTCATTGGACGAAGGGATCTGATAAACTGCACACTTGAAAAACGTTTTTTTCCCTCAGTTCCCCTCCCCTCTTCACCACTCAAAAGTCACGACACCTTGAACCATGTTCCCATGCTACTCTGCAACCCGCTCACTTTTCGCCAAGGGAACTTATCCGCCGGTAGCTACGTGCGTCTTGGTCCCAGTTACAGACAACAGACTGGGAGCTGGGAGACCGGCCCCTTCGGCGGCCGAGGGCACTTCGTATTTGCCGCCCAAAAACACACCCTGTCCCTGGCCGTGGTCCGTTTTCGTTCTCCGATAGACCTCTGTGGAGGAAGGAAACCGTCCTGTCAAAGGTTCCTCGGCCGGGCTTTATCGATGCTGTGAACTTGGACGGTACTCCTTCCAAGACTTTACCAAGACCGCCGTCGCCACATGCACCACCACCCCAGCCATGCCCGATGTTATCCAGTCGGCCCAACACGATTCGGCGAGGCTCGACTCTGATCGAATCCGCTCGCTGGGCCGCACCTCTTTTGTGTGTGACTCTGAGTGTGTGTGTCTGAATTTTCCCTCGTTGCTTTTGGTCGGAGAGGAGGGGTTCGTCTGGTTCTGTGGTTCTGTACCGCACCACACACACACATGTGCGAAGCGGAGGTGGTTGGTTCAAGGTTGGCCGTTCCGGTGCGGGACACATGCAGACGGGAACAGACAAGTGAGGACCTAAGCTCTACATATTCGTGCATGTAGGGTTTGGTTAAACCGGGTTGACCTGCAGCAAACTAGTATATCTTGACCCCGTTGCCGCCATCCGGTTCGTGTTCCCAGGAAATGCACACCCCTTAATTCTTAATCTCTCTCATCTCCCATCCCCCTCCTCCCAATCCCAGTTCTCTGTTCGAGAGTCCGTGGCTGTGTTGTAATCTCTTGGGATTCTGCCGAGTATCCGACACTGAACAGCATCATTAGTCGACGTTGGAAACGCATCGACAATGTACTCCTCGCTGAAGACTTTCCTGGCCCTGGGCCTGGCCTCCGCCGCTTGTGCCCAGCACACCAAGCAGGACGACGAGATGGGGTAAGCCGCACCGGATACGATTTCGTGTCGATGAAGATGCTGACGAGTTTCACAGCCCCGCCGCTTTCATGTGGCCCGCCGACAGAGTATGGAGCGGAGACATGGACAACCAGGCCCCGTGCGGCTCCAAGTCTGGTGTCGCGAACAGGACCGAGTTCCCCATCGGTAAGCTTTTCTCGACGATGTTCAGCAAGTGTAGTTCTCACGACTAACGTCACCGCAACTAGTCGGCGGCAAGGTCGCCCTCGTCGCCCAGGATGACTACTACAACACCAAGATCTCCATCTCCTACAAGAACGGTAAGTCATCACATCGTAACCGGCACAGTCGAGAACCGCAGCTGGTGTTCCAGTCCACCTGGCTACAATCCCTCAACATCACATCAACACAAACAAGCAGAGTACTGACAAAAGACCACAGACCCCACCGCCAACAGCGACTTCACGACGCTCATCGAGGAGCAGTCCGTCGCGGACCTGAACCCGGGCCACACCTGCGTCGACATCCCCAACCCGCCCGCCTCCGTCGCCGCCGGCGGCAACGCCACCCTCCAGATCATCTACCGCGCCGACTGGGACGCCCCGCACAACCAGACCTTCTACGCCTGCGCCGACATCACCTACGTCGAGGCCGCCAGCTTCAACACCCGCATCCCCTGCTTCAACGCCACCGAGCCCGGCGAGGACGACCTCGCCCGCGCCTCGGGTACCCCGGCCGCCTCGTCCTCGAGCTCTGCTTCCAACGGCGGTTCTTCTGGTAGTGGCAGCGGCAACAAGCTCTCGGGCGGCGCCATCGCGGGTATCGTCATCGGTGCCGTCGCCGGCGTGGGGCTGCTGCTGGGCGCCGCGCTGTTCTTGTACCGTCGCAGCCAGCAGAAGAAGCGCAACTCGCGTCTGGCGCGCATGGAGGAGAACGCGAGGGGTTCGGAGCACTGGAACGCGGCGAAGGACTCGACTTCGCAGAACAGCGTCAAGCTCCAGAACCTTCCGTGAGGGGGTCGTTGATTGAGGGGACCATGGCTGGGTGCTTTGGTGAAAAGGGCATTTAGGGCCTCTGGGGAGGACGACCGTGGTGATGATGCTGCTTGTAGGGGATGACGGGAAGGATGGTGTCTTGGTGGAGGTTTGATTGGATTATGTGTTATGTGCGATGAGATGATATCCGGTTCTTAGTTTAGTAATGAGATTTATGCTGAATTGCCTACAAGACTCTCCTTCATTCTGTTCATCATAGCAACCTGCTTCCAATGGGCCATCGTCTCTGCCACGTACACAAAGAATGTATGATCTCGTGTGCTCACCCGCAGGGTTACTCTCGAGGATGAGGAGAAGTGTGCGTCGGAGTTGCGGGCGTGACACCTCGGGCATCCCCCGTCTCGGCTCGGCGTTAAAGGGGTCATGATACCACGACCATGGCACGATTCATACGACTCATCAAGAATTCATTTGCAATTCATCTCATTGAGCGCCCTTGGATATATGTGCTATGCTAACTTTGAATCAAATTGTTCGGGTATGATGTTGCTAAATATCCTCTATATGCAAAGCTCATCTCATTCATCTCGGTCTCGGGACTCGGCCGCGGCGTCGTCCTCGAGACGGCTCTCCTTGTTGTCAGACTCGATGACGCCGTACCTACTTCCGAGTTAGTCACTACTCCACCATCAAGCATCAGAGAGAAAACAGCCAATAGAACTCACCATGAGATGACGGCCAGGCCCAGGAAGGCAGCCACGACGCTGAAAAACATGGCGACGTAGCCCTTGGCCGTGAATCCTTCGGGCAGGGGGCCGACGGGCCTGTTCTCGCCGCTCAGGTCGAGCACGTCCCTGGCGTTGCCCGCGGCGTTGCCCCTCGTCGGCACCCCGCCCGCGCGGCAGGCGTCCAGGTGGCCCTCGGGGATGCGGAGCCCCTGGAGGGCCTCGGGGGCCTCGACGACGGTGGCGACCAGGCCCTGGTCCATGTGCCACTCGATGTGGCAGTGGAAGAGCCAGACGCCCGGGTTGTCGGCCCTGAAGCGGATGACGAAGTTGCCGTTGCCCTCGACGACGAGGGTGTCCCGGCGCATCGGGTACCGGGGGAGGGCGGGGGCGCTGTCGTTGGAGAAGGCGCCGGCGTCCTCGTCGGAGCGGTGGACCACCTGGAACTGGTGGCCGTGGAGGTGGAAGGGGTGCTTGCCGTCGTCCTCGTTGTTGAGGACGATCTCGATCACCTCGTTGTGCCTGAGGACGTGGGTCATGGTGTTCGTGCCGTAGACGCGCGGGTTCAGCGCGTTCTTGTCGCCGACTGTCAGGGCCGTGTACAGGGAGGGGACCTTGGGGGCGACGTAGGTCTTGTCGTTGAAGAAGGCGCTGTTGCACGTTAGTCGCTGTTCTTTTCATACAAGCACATGAGACCTACTAGTTGGCACCATCAGCCAGGTTGTCCATCTTGACGGTGAAGCTGAAAGAGTAGTCGACCTTGTCGTAGAGCTCTTTCTTATCAACCGGAACAAGGTCAAAGTCATCAAACGCAGCGTCAAAATCATCAACGGGAGTAGGCTCGGGCAGGGGCTTCTTGTCGTCATAAACCAACCAGCCGGTAACGTTGGAGTTGAGGCCATCGGGGATGACATCAAACAGCTCCTCGTCCATGGAACCGACGATGGCAAAATTCTCAGACGCATGCTTCTTGGTAGTCAAAAGGATGCTGCAGCGCTGCGCCGGGGTGATGTACAGCATGTCAGCGTCGGCCTCCTCGGTCCAGACGCCGTCGACCTCGACGACGCGCATCTGGTGGCCCTCGAACCAGATGTACTGGGACGCGAATGCACCGACGTTGACCATGCGAATGAGATAGGTCTTCCCGGGCTGGACTTTCACCTGCAGGTTCTGGGTGTCATTCATGAGAGCCGAGTTCGGGACGGGCTCGGCGCCGGTGGGATTCTCGACGCTGATGAGCTCCTTTATGAGAGACCTCGTCGACTGATGGTACCAGTCCGAGAAAGTGATGATCAGCTCCTCGTCATACTTGCCCTCGTAAGGGCCCTTGGGATCGTGGATGACCACGGGGCCGCGCAGGCCCTCGGGGTACTGGCCGTCGTTGTGGGCGTGGTACCAGTAGGTGCCTGTTTGATCGAACTGAGAGGCGGCTGCATGAGAATCGAGTTGTGTCTTGGCTGTTGGCTCAGAGTTCGCATCAACTCACCTTGAAATCGTATGTGAATGACTTTCCGGGAGGAATGGCGCACTGAGTTACGCCGACGGCACCGTCCATGTGGTTCGTCCCGTTTTGGAACATGCCGTGAAAGTGAAGACTGGTGCTCTCGGTGCCCAGCTGGTTGTTGACGGTGAGAACGAGTCTGTCGCCCTTGGTGGCCTCGATGAGCGGGAGCGGCCATTTTCCGTTGACACCGATCGTTGGCTTTTCGAACTGGCCGTCTGGGTTGGAGGTGACCCATGTGATGTTCCAGTCGAGGGTGATGGTCTTTGCCAGCGCGGGCGTCATGAGCAGCATCAAGGCCGTGAGCCGGGCCATGAAGGCCGAGCTTGAAGATGAGAAGGCCATGGCGGCCGTGTGTACGGGGGTCGTGGTGCGATGCGATGCGCCGGTGTCGTCGCGTAGTCTTTGTCGCAGAGTCAATGACTCAATATAGCCTCCCTTTGGCGAAGTCTCACTCGGCTAACGTTGTCCAAGAGAGTAGGGTATCGGGGTCGTTATTTTTCAAGCCTCTTCCGAAATCCCCGACCTGAATCTTCCACGAACCGGGCCGAGTGCGGAGAACGTTGACATATCCCGTAGGCAAGCAAAGCAAGGACAGACGAGGCGAGAGACGGGGGTGGGCAATCGGAAGCGAGAGGAGAGACACACGTGAGAAAAACAAGTGTCGCCTGATGGAAAATTGCGTCCTTCTTGGCGATCTGATAAGGAAAAGTGCCCCCCTAAAGACTGAAAGACCCTTGAAAAAAACTCCGCAGCGGGTGGGGTTTATCTGATCCGCCGCCTGAAAATCAAACACGCAACCACTTCCCGCCGGGACGAACCTGTCAGCTCTCTGCCAACGCTGTGTGACTGTGAACCACCCCGGCCGACTCCCCTCCTCCAAACTCGGTTTTATCGCGCTAGCCGACGTCGCCGGCGCACCAAAGCTGCGAAAAGCGAGGAAAATCCTTTCGGTCTCCGGCCATCTCGCATCACACGACCACACGCCTCACTCTCTCTTTTTCTTCAGCCCCAGAGAAGTTCAGAGAGACTCCGTCGGGGCCCCGAGTCCACCACCCTCCCGTCCCGGCCGACGTCGCATCTCCCGCTTTCTGCCCAGGAGGACCGTCTCATCTTTCATCAGCTTCCATTTCCTCGATATACCGTAGCCGAGAGCCGTCTGATATGCTTCCAGATTCTTCGCCGTAGTCTTCCCAACTTTATCGAGTCAAGCTCGGCACCAACTGCCCCCTAGAGTTCCAGCCAGCAGCCCACCTGATTGGATCATTCGCCCCTAGTCGCCACTCACCACCAACAACTTTCAGCCTCCTCCACAGAGCATATCGCGACGTCAACAACGATGGAGGACCTATTTTCACTCCCCAGTAAGTCGAATGAGATGATTCTCACAGAGAAAGCACCCGCTGACGCCCTCAGTCTTCTTCATCACCTTCCGCGAGTCCCTCGAGACCGCCATCATCGTCTCCGTTCTCTTGGCATTCATCAAGCGCACCTTGGCCACCCAAGATGACCCCGTCCTCCACCAGAAGATGGTCCAGCAGGTGAGCCAGCCCGCGAGACACCCGTGAAATTCTCATTCCTGACGGACCCAGGTCTGGTCCGGCACCGCCGTCGGCCTCTTGACCTGCGTCCTCATCGCCGTCGCCATCATCAGCGGCATCCACAGCCTAGGCGCCGAGCAGTTCGCCGCCGCGGAGAGCATCTGGGAGGGCGTCTTCTCCCTCGGCGCCTCTCTCATCATCACCGCCATGGGCGCCGTGCTCCTCCGCGTGACCAAGCTCCAGGACAAGTGGCGCGTCAAGCTGTCCAAGGCCCTCAACGCCAGCGAGAGCCACTCCGGTCCTTGGGGAGAGCGTCTCAAGTATCTCGGCGAGAAGTACGCCCTTTTCCTGCTGCCCTTCATCACTGTCCTGCGTGAGGGCTTCGAGGGCGTTCTTTTCATCGTCGGCGTCGGCGTCAGCATTCCCGCTGGTGCCATCGCCCTGTCCTCGGTTCTGGGCCTTGCTCTCGGTGCCGTCGTCGGTTACTTCATCTACAAGTGAGTCCTGCGTAAGCACTCCCTTCCCGTATTCCCTTGCTGACCTGTCCGCTCAGGGGCTCCAAAACCGCACCCATCCAGATCTTCCTCATCGTTTCTACCTGCTTCTTGTACCTCATCGCCGCCGGCCTGTTCTCCAAGGGCGTCTGGCATCTCGAGCAGAACGAGTGGAACAAGATCGTCGGCGGCGACGCCGCAGAGCTTGGCTCCGGTCCCGGCTCCTACGACATCCGCAGGAGCGTTTGGCACGTAAACGTAAGTTCATCTCCATGTCTCTAGACACATCGAACCCGAATTGCATTCTGACTCGTCCGACAGTGCTGCAACCCCGACCTCAACGGCGGTGGCTTCTGGGGCATCTTCAACGCCGTCCTGGGCTGGCAGAACTCGGCCACCGTCGGCTCCGTCGTCTCCTACAACCTGTACTGGGTCGCCGTCGCCACGGGCTTCTTCGTCATGATCTGCAACGAGAAGGGCTACTGGCCGTTCGCGAAGAAGGACAAGACGCAGCAGGAGCACGAGGGCGACGACCAAGAGCCTCTCCTCAGCAGGCCCGCGAGGTAAGATCGGCAGTGCCAACCTCCTTCCGAGTCCTTCCCTGGAGACGCGTCGACCATCGAGTGGGCCACCCCGGTCCGGCGTGTCTCGTAATCTTCATTGGAAGAGGAGCTAGTTCTCCCAACAAGGCGATGCATTTGTTTTTGGATCATGTCGTGGGGAGTGAAGCCCGAAAGCGCCTTAACGAAGAGATGACAAGTAAAGATAGAGCATATCCTGTCCATAGACTTCATGTAACTGGACATACTGCAATTTTATCGCATATCCTGACCTGCTTCATAGACTCTTGGCACTTGGCCTGAGGGAGAGCCCTTCAGGGACATCGTCCCGGCGGCCCAAGTTGGCGTGAAAAGAACACCATCTGCATACGATCTACATGTTGGGTTACCAAAACCAGGAGTTTACAGTATCGATAAAAAAAAAATCTTTTTTTTTATTCCTTCTCCTAGACTTCACTTCTCCACATCATCGTTCTGGCGTCGAAGACAGCCTTGATAGTCCGCCTTCCAACCACTGTATAACTCCGCGATGTCTTCCTCAGCAAATCTCGGACTCCGAGTATCCCAATGCATATTCGCAAGGCCAGTCCACGTATCAATCCCTCCCACCCCCTCCTCACCATCCCCATCACCAGTCTCACGGCTGCTTGCTACTCGCCAACCCATGCAAATCCGCCTCCTCCCCGACCCGGAACCCCCTCTCCGTCGCCGCCGTCGCCTTACTACCACCACCGCCGCCACCTCCGCCACTGCCGCCCGCAACAGCAGAAGTCTTGCTCAAAATGTCATCCACTTTCGACGACAAACCCCCCGCGGCGGGGTCTGTGGATTTCGTGGCGTCGATCGCCGCGCCGACGTCGCGGTCCACGGTCGTGCCATGGGTATCCTTGGTCTCGTCGATGAGATTCCTGTGACGTGTCAATTCTTCATCACCCCGCTCACGCTGCGATCTCGGGCGTGCTTGGTGGCTTTTCTCTGTAGGGTTTTTTTTTATAACGGGCTGAGTTGAATTAAAGATGTTCGCTTACTGCGCTTGGCCGTGCTGATTCCCGTCGAGACGCGTCTGCTCGAGGCCGCGGTCGCCGGCGTGGCCGCCGGGTGAGGGGTCGTTGGGGGCTGTGCCGGACATTTTTTGATGGACTTGAAATTTTCCGTTGATGGACTTTTGTGTGTTTTTGCAAGGGCGATTTCTTTGTATTTGATGTGAGTCTGGTGAATGTTGGTTGTTCGAGGGCGAGGTAGAGGACTGGACTGTTTGTATGATAGTTGGTGTTGGAGTTGTCATCACTGGTACGTCATGTGGAGCTCTCTCAGACAGACGATTTGGCCGCGCTCACATGGTTTAGTAGAGGCTGATGTAATAAAAGTTCAGATTGTTGTGGAATGTCATATGACTTTTCCTAGCTTGTTATTATGATCCTGCGGTGATGATTATAGACTGTTGAACGGTGTGGCGCATTATGAAAGCGCAATTTACATCCTCCTACCACGTAGTGCTCCGTAAGTTTTACAGCCTCTATTTTCTTATTATAATGAGCCTGATGTAACTGGCCTGCTCACTTCCCTTGCGGCACCTGGATTTGACAGTTTATAAACACACCGTACCTTGCGGCCGTACGTTGCGGGCGTTTGAAGAAGCTTCTTCTGAGACTCTTAGGAGTCTACCTGAAAACGTGGGGTTGAGCTACTGGTGTTAAGCCGTCTCGACTTTTCTTGATTATTATGCCCATTTACTTTTTTCTGTCACTCGCAGTCAACTGTCTTTGAGTCTTGAATCTCGCCCGGCTACTTTCAATTGGTTACCTACATGACTTATTGGATAGCATAGAAGCATCAACAAGAATACAAATGCCCAACAACTCCATTATCAATAAACTCATTATTCATGATGCAGATGTTAGCTAGGCGGATATTTTCATCAGAAGGTTTATATCGCCTTCGTCCAAACTGACTCCGTGAGCAATTAGATACATGAGAAGACGACTTTGAAGGCCAGATGGCACAATCTAAAGTCCAACTTTTGTGAAAAGGGGGTAATGATGATGCTACCCCCCATGATCTACCACTCCAGCTCCTTCTTATCACCACCACCACAACCCCCTTCAGCGCCGCCCTCAGTCTGCGGTTTCCGCCACTCGTAAATGCCACCCCTCTTATCAAACGCCGCCCTGTCCCACGCAACCTGCCGCATCGCCTTCTTCACCCCGACATCGAGCAGCGAGTCGCTCTTCCGCATCGGCCCGTCGCCCTTGTCGAGGAAGCGCATCCGCTCGTCCAGCAACAGGTAGCTGCCGGCCATGGTCCGGTTGTCCTCGGGCACGTAGCACGGCAGGTGCTCGTGCCTGCCGCAGAACGTCCTCCACTGCGCCTCCGAGATGAGGAACCGCCGCGCGTCGCGCGCCCGCGTGGCGTCCTCGTTCTCGCCCTCGACGATCAGGCACTGGAAGACCTTCCACCGGAACGGCGCCAGCGCCGCGATCCGCGCCGCCATGTCCTCGTCCCAGTTGTGCGCGTTGACGACGGTGTTGAGCTTGAACATGATGTCGTACGTGCGGCACCACTCGGCGATGCGGAACACCTGCGCCACGTGGTCCCCGTCGTCGGCCTGGCCCCGGCCCTGGTTCTCCCCGCGCCCGATGGCCCGGTTCGTCTCCCGGACGAACGAGTCGCACGAGATGGCGAGGATGTCGAGGTGGCGGCCGTGCTCGCGGAGGAACCTCTCGCGGATCTTGCTCCCGTTGCTGACGATGCTGACGCTCTCGAGGTGCAGGACCTCCTTGCAGTACCGCAGCAGCTCGCCGAGGAACTTGGGGTGCAGGAAGGGCTCGCCGCCGGCGATGTTGAGCTTGCGCATGCCGGCGTCCCGGAGGAGGCGCAGGCCGCGCTTGGCCTCGTCCAGGGGCAGGATGTAGCCCGAGGTGTTGGTGTGGAAGCAGAAGCCGCAGGCGTAGTTGCACTCGCGGGACGGGAAGTAGTTCACGGAGACGGGCACGTCTGGGCCGTCGTCGGGCACCTGCTTCTGCGTCTTTGACTTCTCGGTGGTTTTTCCTTCCGGAGAGCGGCTGTGGTGTGTTTCGGTGCGGCGGCGGCAGGAGAGATAGACCGCGGCGACTCCCGGGACGGCCGTGAGCACGATGAAAGGTAGGATAGTTGAGAATAGCGCCAGCGTCACCTGGGCAAAGGAAGTTAGGATTCCCATCGTAATCTGGCGACCTACGCCAGTATGAGATCGGTTCAGCTGTATGTCGCCGTATATTCGTCGTTGTTTCTGAGCAGATCTATGAGAATGATATCTTTAACTTTTTACCCTCCGTTATCCGGCATTTTATACACACTTGGGTGCACCTCTATAGGTAGGTACTCATGCGAAAGCCCGTCGTTTAGATCACTGCCCTCGTGTCCGTGTGACAAGAGCGGGGTAGCAACTTCATGACCCCCTTCTCCCATATGGACATTACCTTAGACTTTCCACGCCGGAAAACTGTAAAACGCTTCGCAGCAGTTACCCAGTTACTGACTGACTACCCGAGGGGTAGCACCCTGCCGGGCCTGGATACGGACTTCTGACGGAGTAGTTGCGATGACCGCCCAATCCTCTTCACAAAGGCGCAAGTTCGCCGTGATTTTCGTCCTCGGTTCGTCCTCATATTCCGAGCACCCCAAAAACAATGGAAATCCACTTACCATCTTGACAGGAGCACCCGGATCGGGCAAGGGGACCATCTGCGCCTTCCTCGCGCGCCAGTACGGCCTCTCGCACTACTCCGTGGGAGACAGCCTGCGCAGCTGGATGCGAGCCAACCGCGACACGCCCCTCGCGGCGCGCATCCAGGAGAAGCTCGACCACCAGGGTTTCCTCACGTCAGCGGAGCTGAACCCGCTCCTGGGCCTCGCCGTCGAAGAGGCGATGCGAGGAGAGGAGCTGAGAGGGATCCTCATCGACGGATTTCCGAGGTGCGAGGAGCAGCTCGGCTCGTGGGCGCGGTGGCCCTTCCAGGAGACGCTTCCCTTGGTATGTCCATGCCCGGGGCGTGAGAGGCTTCCCCCGCCGGCGGCTGACTTTAGTTAGGAGGGCGGTGGTACCAAGCCCGATGTCGTCTTGCTGCTCAACGTGACGAGAGAGAATGCAGAGGCGAGGTATCTCGCGCGAGGCCGCGATCGTAACGACAGCCTGGAGAAATTCACGAGGCGGTTTGCTGAGTACCTAGAGGAGGGACGGCCTGTGGAACGACACTACCGGGAAGCGGGTGTACTGGTCGAAGTGAGTTATACTGCTTAGCCCTCTGCGCTTGTGATTTGCAAATCCTGGGATGTTAGACTTACAAGCTTCCAGATCGATAATAACGGTACCAAGGAAGAGAATATCGAGGGGCTCAGGAAGACGCTGGGAGAAAGCCTTCTTTGGAGTAGTGCAGTTGTAGATCAGGAGATGAAGTCGTCTTTCATTGTGTAGGAAGTTCGGAGCTATGAATCTAAAGGGATTGAATCCAGGTAGGCCCTGATTCAGATCTCGAAATAGACGCCTCTACTGTGCCGCATTATGTGCTCACCTGCAGCGTGACTCGGCGTTGTCAGAATAGGCATGTCTAAACTGGAAAGAGTCAGCATCGGGGCTTGCCCATGGGACGGTGATATCGATATCTAGTCTCAGGCTTCGTAAGAGCAGAAGTTAATTCCGCGTACGATAACCTAGAGCTTTTCACGAAGTGAATTTTGCAAAGGTCTTGAAAATGATGACAACGCTGTATTTTACTGAGACCAGCACAATCCGTGTCGTATATACTCATGTACATTGATACAAACAGGAAGAACAGAGTCCCTGTCACCCCTTAGACCGGAGCATGCTGCAGTCCGCGCAGTGAAATGCTCGCCCTCACCGACGCGCCGGAACCGACATCGAACGCATCCGCCCTCACCATATCGGGAGCCTCCAGCACCTCGGAGAACGGGATCTCCACGGCGCCCGTCTCGTCCGTCTTGTTCATCAGCACGATCCTGAAACTCTCCCCCGCGCCGACCATGTCCGGCGTGACGGGGATCCTGAAGGCCGTGTCGAAGTTGGGGTTGAAGATGTCCGTCCCGGGGCTGTACGTCTTGACCGGCGTCTGGAACTCGCTCTTGCCCCAGGTCACCTTGACGCTGGGGTGGAGGTCGCTGCGATTGCCCTCTAGCCCGAGCGCGCTGCCGACGAGGACGGTCGCGAGGCCGCAGATCTGGCCATCACCGAGAGCCTCGGACGCCGTCAGCGCGCCGGCCTCGGGGACGAAGTTGTAGAACTCGGCGCGGATGGTGATCTTGGCCTCGGTGGGCTCGCCGTTGTGGACGAGGTCGAGCTCGTGGGTGCCGCCGTCGAGGAGGATCTGCTTGACGGTGGTGGAGGCGAGGCCGATGTCGTCGTCGCCGACGAGGTCCTCGTCGTCGACGTCGAGGGCGATGATCTGGTCGAAGTCGGTGACGAGGAAGTCGTGCGTCTCGTCCCAGACGGGTTCGCGGTTGTCCTTGACGGTCTTGGTGCGCCACGTCTCCTCGGCGCCGACGGTGACGCTGCAGTAGCAGTCCGGGACGTCCTTGATGAGCTTGTCCAGCAGCCTCTTGGCGCCGCTCTTCTTGGGGCCGTTGATGCCGGTGGCCTTGTCGACGGTGAGGCGCAGGACGCCGAGGTGGGGCTGGTAGGCCTTGAACCAGTCGAGGTTGCCGTCGAGCTTGACGAGGTAGCGGTTGGGCAGGACGGCCATGGAGGAGATGATGTTGAGGATGACTTTGCGGACGGCCTTCTCGATCAGGAAGCAGTCGGCGATGTTGGCTGCGTGGGCGAAGTCGAGTTTCAGGGTTGGGGGGTTGATGAAGGCGACTTGGGCCGCTCCGATCTGTTCCATGTCAGTAACAAGTATCGTTCTAACATTGGCATGCTAATGAGACGTACCAGAGGAATGATGTCCGTTAACGGTGAAAGCAGGACAGAGAGTCTGCCGTGTACGTGGACCTTCTCAATACCCTGTCACATGAATTAGCAACATGAACGCATCATGCTAAATACTTTCCGAAGGCTTACAAGCTTGGGAACCATCTTTCCCTCGAGATCGATGTCGCACTGACCGTCCCAGTCCAGGTCCATGTCAAGCTTGATACCCTCATTATCGGTCTTGTGAACGTCTACCGCGGAGAATCTCATAGGAACATTTCCGAGATCGATCTTGACGAAACGCAAAGTAGAGAGGGGACCCGGCAGCATGGAGGCGAGCATCGGCTCGACGATCTCCTTGGTCATTCTCCCCGCGGCGATGTTGATGTGAGGCCATAGCTGCTCGACAATGTCGTTGAGGAATCCCGCCGACTCGGTACCGCCAGAGGCGGTTAGCTTTTCCACAAGCGCTGTCGCCATGATGAATGTGTGAATGAGGTTGAAACGGTAAGCGAGATTCTTGTTCGGATACCTCAGTGAAGAAGTACGAAAATACGACGCTATTACCAGAAACGTGGGTCAACCCGACTTTTAAAGAAGACTAAAGAAGAGCCGCGATATTGGAGCCCAAGCACCTAAGCATCAAGATAAGAGCTTGTTTTTGATGTCGACAAGTCGCTCGCGGGGGAGGGGTTCGTCATTCCTTGGCAGTGGGAGCGAATTGACGTCACTTGGCAATACAGCGAATCCGCATCAGCCCCCTGTGCCCCCTCGGTGCGGCCCAAACTCCAATTGGAGCCGGTGATGGTTTGGGACAATAAACATTTGGAGTTCATACTTCCAATGGGCGAGGCGCGTAACGGATTCGCTGATAGACAGAAAACAAGTTTTTGGGGGGGGGGGGGGGGGGGTTGGGGGGGGGTTATTACCCGCCGACGTGGGCTGATTTGCTGCGCCCCA